TATATATATATATATATATAGATAGATAGATAGATATAGATGTGTGTGGTGCCCGCGCGATGGATGCCCGAATTTGTCACTGGCGACCTTGGGGACAGCGGAGCGGAGAGCCGAAGACGGAGCTGCCTGTTGCCCTGTCTACACCTGCACCCGGCGTCTGATGCTGGCAGAACCCGTCCGACGTCTCGCCTACATCCTAATACCTACCTATGCCGCGAGCGAGCGAGGCCGGAGAGTCTAGGCACGGCCATACTTACACATACACACGTACATTCATACCTACATGGACATACATGCGTATATGTAGGTATGTAGTAAGTGCAGAGCATGGCCGTCGCACACGCGGCACAGACTTCCGTCGGTTACTCTCGGTAGCACGCCCGCCCTTGTGCCTCGACACGAGATTTGGGGCTACACGCACGAATATGGACGTTGTGTGTGTAGGTATGTAGGTATATATGTAGGTATGTGTGGGAGACAGGTCACGGACAATTTCCGCCCTCTCCCGTTGGGCGAAGACGATGGTGGTGGCACTACTACATCAACATCATCTGACACACCTGCCGACGGTCATGTCCTTCCCACAATGCCGTTTGCCTCGTCTAATATGTAAGTATAAGGCGCGGCGTAAACCTGGCTAGAAGGGGGAGCTGTCGCGCCGTTGCGGGGTCCTATGTTGGCTTCTTAGCCCAGAGAGCGCGCCCTCATTTCTCACGTACTACCGACGACGTATCTGGCGAGAGAGACATCACGGCATATCCTACACTCGTTAAATATCGCCACTATCGTGGGCACACGCTACGATCTTGGCCGCTTCCAGACTCCGTCGCGCTCGGCGTTATGTCCGATGTGCGTATGCATGACGCTGCCTTGCCAGGGTCCCTTGGGCATCGCTATCGTCGTGAGACGCAAACGCTTCGGTGGGATTCATCAACACTAGACGCCGTGCCGTGTCAGGAGTTGCGAGAAAAGCCTCGCGATGGACGAGGCGATGGCTAGAGCGAACCCGCAGTGTTCGTCATCCCCTACCTATGCTCAGACAGGGGAGTAGGATACGGCGGGTTAGGGGGGCGGGAGACCGAGGGCGAAGCCTTCGCCACGTGGTAAGCGAGGGTTTCTTCTGCCTATCCCCTATGAGCTTCGACTCTCCCGAGGCTTCGGCTCGCTTAGAGGGGAGCCGACACCATGTTCCGAGGCGGCACCTCGGGCGCGTCCCCCTTTCCCGCCACCGACGATCCCACGAGAGGCAGAAGGTCGAGACGGGCAGACGGCTTTTTAAACACGATGTATGTGTGTATGCGGCCACATACCGCAGCGTGCCAACCCGCTTTGGTGCCCGCAGTCTAGACGCGTCGCGTCGCGCACGTAGTATATTAAACCCTAGCCACCAGTGCTACCTCCGCACGACCGGTGAGGAGGGCCTCAAATCGTCGTCCATCCCCCAATAGTTATACAACCTGAGGAGAGGGAAGATCGACGGCGCAACGCAGAGGCCAGTCGCCGCCACGCGGGTCAAGAACCACCCTCGACGCCGTGGCGGCCGAATCACGGATCGAGCTGTTCCCAGGCCGAACCAGAAATCCGTGAGCATCTGACCCGCGAATTCAAAATCCCCATCATGTCGCCCCTCTGATCGCCCGCGCGCAGTGCAGTCATGCATACCTACGCATATTACCTACATTCCTGCATACACACGTCGGTAGGCAAGAGGCGGCGCAGAGGCGACGACGTGGCGAGATGTCCAATGTTTCGCACATTACTTAGATATATGCCTGCCTATGTCGTGCGCCCGGCGCTATCCCCGCCGTCTTATCGTGGGGTCTCAAATGCTCTCCGTCTAGAACCAATGACGGGCGGTGCAACTCGCCAGATCCGCGTTTCCCGTGTGCGATGAGCTTCCGTGTCTCGTCGGTCGGACGGGGGGGCGAATGGCGCGTGGCCTGTCTGCCGTACGTTTTCTCGAGTCATGATGCTACGCACCTACTGGAACACTGCAGAGGGAGAGGTAGAGAGGAGAGGGAATACGCCGAACAGAAAGAAGAAAAGAGAAGCGAAGAAAAGAAAAGAAACAGCCCGTCTCACTTTAGTACGCTCCAGCAACCAACGTCTCGCTGAGTGTGGCCTTTCTCCCTTCCTCTCTCCCTCCCTTTCTGTCTCTCTCTCTCTCCCTCCCTTTCTCTCTCTCTCCCCCTCTCTCGCATCTCACCCGGTTTTTCCCGCGAGACATGACCAATAAAGCGTGGATGACAAGGGCCAGGCTACTGGCCGTCGCCGTCGCCACCGCTGCGCGCGGGGCGGCCGGCACTCTAGGATCTCGAGGCCCTTTAGACGTTCTGGAGAAAGGGATTATGTGTTGCGATAGTCTAAGGAAATGAGACGCACCAGTAAGAAGGGCGGGCGGCGCGGATGGAGAGGGAGAAAACGTGGGGTGGGATCCCAGGACTCCCACCCAGTTGATCCTTGACCACCACCTCCAAGCCTCAGCCTTTGCCTATTGAGTTGTGCTGCATCTGCTGGCGAGGCCTCGATTCGTTTCCACGAGCTGGCCGCACATGCGGGGTATCAACTCTCTGTCGTGCGACTCCCACCCAGTTGTGCCGTCTTCCCCCCCTCCCCGGCCGGTCTCTTAAGACCCTGCATACACAATAGGAGTACACCGAGTGCGCTGAGCGAGCGCGAACGCGGGCAGCCAACGAAGCCGGTCGCGAGTTTTTTTCGTCTTACGCATGGGCAGGGCTGGCAAAGTTGGCCCTGGTGGCGCCTCTACACACGCATATAAATCCATATTCAGGTATATATATATCAGGCCTCTATCCCTCTCGCTCCCATGATCAGGGAACGCCCCAATTTCTCCTTCTCATACTACTCTCGCGCTCTCTCTCCTACTCTCATCATCATCGCTCGTCCAGATCTCGCCAGCTAGCCTTGCCTAGGAGCAAAAAGAGCGGGAAAAGATAATATACCAACCCACACACACAACACACACGCATACACACGTATACATCTACGAAAGAACGAAAACTCGCATTCATCTTCTCTCGTAATTCACCACACAACTACGCCGCCAAGTCCACATTCACCATGTACGCGGCTCACTGTTGCAAGTGCGGTGGCGTCTTCGTCATCAACACCGACTGCAGTTGGTGCAAACACAAGGAGTGCTCCGAGTGCAATTAAGGCCGGGGAACGCGGAGCAAAGCGAAAGGTCAGCTATCTATCTCTCCAGGCTGCCGTTCCGCCGGGGAAACAAAAAAAAAGGTAGAAAGTCCGTGAAGTTAACAACAAGCCATAGGCTCCTCTTCGCCATCAGAGATCAGAGTTGCGCTCGGGGTAGGCGCAGTCGCCACCAGGCAAATTTGTTGGGCGACGGAATGCGAAAATCTACGATAGCTGCGATTTCTCGTTAAACCAGGTGGGCTGCCTGGGCTGTTTTTTTTTTTTTTTTTTTGGTCTCCGGCGCATCGGCGACGGTATCGGTTTAATGCGAATGGTGGGCATACGAAAACGCAACGGCGCTTGAGGAGGGGGGGAAGGTCGAGGACGAAGGGGAGAGAGGGGTGTTCATCCTCATGGCCGCACCGCTTTCCGCGACGTCATATGTCCGTATGTCTTTAGGTACCTACTTATATTCAGACGCGGTTTAAATCTCTTGCCACTTTGTCCCCGATGGGTCTCCAACAAGGTCTCCAACGCCATGTCGCTGTGCCTACGCCATCGTAGCCCGCTACCAAGTAGTGCTGGACGGATAGGCAGGGTTCCAGCGCGAAGCTAGCCAGTTGCGCAAAACTACACCTAACGATGTGACCCATCAGAACCCAATCGCGGAGACTCAGATCTGGCCCCCGGCATAGTATGGAGTTAGGCGTAGGTATGATGTGGTTGGACCATGCGAAAACTGCCTGGCGAGGCGCAAGGTGTGTGTTTGCCGTCAAGGCCGTGCGGGGAGTTAATCATGTTGGGCGTTCTCGGATTCCCGGACCCCTTCACAAGCCGTGGGTGGGATGCCTCCGAGACATGACCTGGCTGCGCTCGACTGGGATAGACTGGGGGGTTCCCTGAAGAAGAAGAGCTGTTTAAAAAATGAAAATAAGAGCTGTTGAGGTGTGTAGAAAGTGAGGAGTGTGGAATGAAACGTACCTGCGCGGCGAATCCCTAATGATCACGGGCGTCCTCGTGGCTCGTCGCCATCAATTTGGCGTCATCCTTCAGGTCGTGTAGGTAGTTACACATACTATAGGTATAGCCAACTGGCGACGTGGACAGCCTCAACCTCGTCGGTGGCGCTGAGCGGGTGCAGGCAAAGCCACACATGAAGCATCAAGCAGGTACTTTAATATCCCGATAGCAATTGGCCAATGGCGGCATCGGCTGACAGCGCTGGGGGAACGGGGTCGGTCGCACGCTGCAGGGGTTCTTAGCATACCTATATATATATATTATATATACGTGTATATCTGTATTTAGGTATATTTATATAGGTAGGTAACATCGTGACAGACGACACCATGCGAGACAAGTGTACGAGGAGGAGCCCGAGAGAGGTGAGGTCGTAGTCCTCCTGTCTGCCTCGCCAATCACCAGCGCAGCGCCCAGGAGAGAACCCGGCTTGCCCGATCAGCCGACGGCCGGGCTAGGTGTGTTCGGCGTCATACCCGATTCTCTCTTTTTGCTTCCTCTTCCCTCCCCTTTTGCCTACTTCGAGAGGGCGAGGGTGCGATGGTGCGAGAGACTCTCGGCAAACTCCCCAACCACCAACTTCTTTACGCGCACTTACTACACGCTTGCCAAGTGCGCGTTGGCTCTGGCGACAGCAGAGGGGTTGGCCTCCCACCCCATCCCCCTGGACAGGAACCGCCCGTATCTGTCCACGATGTTTTGGCGAATCCCCCGTAAAATATCAGTAAGCATTACTCCGCCTGCCGACGGTAAGATCCGAGAGACCCTCGTCGCCTCCGGGCTCCATGCTTTTGACAGCTAGGTACACACATGCATAGACACACATGCACCGTATCGACGTAGGTACGTTCAACTGTCTTCGTCTGACGCTGTGGGCACGTAATGCTAACGAGGACACATCTACACATCGAACTAAAGATCTAATATGGTGCGCTCTGTCCAGTCTCGGCGGCACCAGCACGAGCAGATCCGAGCGAGCAAGTTTCTACAAGTACCACCCCTGGAGAGTTTCTTCCTAGAGAGCGCCGCTATCCACAGCCCAACCCCACAAGGCCAGTCCGGCATCGAAACCAGCAGGAAGAGGGTCCATCCGAAATCAGTAGGTCGGTGGCCCATACCGCCAGGAGGGGAGGGAGCTGCCTCGGATTGTCATCGCCCCAACGGCCCTCCCTGCGCCAAGCACAACTTCGACAGCTAAGGAGGCAGACAATAGGTATAAAGTCAGACGGTGACCTCGTAGATGGTTCCCCCCCGGTTCGTGAGTTGTGCCCCCTACCATTCGGCGTCTACCGAGTCCAGCTTCGAGCGTGGGCGACAGCGTTCAGGCGTGGCGCCACAGCAAACAAGTATATCTCCTAGAAAACGAAGAATCCCGGCGTCTTGGTCGACCGCCGCCCGCACGCGCACCCAAGAGCATTTGGAAACAGAGAACCCGTCCGTACAGGGAAACGAACGCCTCGGGGCTCGCCTAGAGTATCGATAAGAAAACTTATCCGTCGCTATCAAGATGGTAAGCTGCTGTGTCCAGAGAAACCGATAAGCGCTCCATAGCAGGGCCGGGCTAAGAGGAGCAGCGAGTTCCGGTGCAAAAGGAAGAAGAGGATGATGGGTTCCTGTTGGTGGTGGGGAACCCCCCGCCGTACAGCGCCTTCACGACCTCCTCCCCGACGGGAGAAGAAGTCGGGCTGAGCGTACACCCGATCCCGTCTTCCGACGGCGTAATCGTTCGAGTACAACCGCCGGCAAAGCCAAACGGGCCAAAACTTCGTCATGTCCCGTGCGATATCGTGTTGGTTATTGATGTCTCGAGTAGTATGGGTGCCCCGGCTCCCACCAAGATGAACGGAGAAGACGGGAAACCCAGCTCTGAGCACTTCGGGTTGTCCGTCATGGACCTCACGAAACATGCCGCACGTACCATCCTCTCAACCCTCGACGAAGGGGACAGACTCGGGATCGTCACCTTCAGCACCAACGCGAGGGTAAGTCTCCCTCCGCCCTCCCCATGCCTCATAACCGTGAGTGACTTTAGCTAAACGGCGCGGCCCGCGGATAGATCGTCCAGAAGCTACAGCCGATGACAGAGAAGAACAAGGCGCTCGCCGAATCTAGGATCGAGGCGTTGGCCCCCGATATGATGACCAACCTCTGGCACGGCATCCAGTCGGGGCTCAGCCTCTTCCCCTCTCAGCAGAGCACGGAACGCGTGCCCGCCGTCATGATCCTAACAGACGGGCAGCCTAACCACATGTACTTGCCTGCCAGATCCTAGCACCCTCTTCCTAGTATTGGCACTAATACGGATCGCAGGTGTCCCGCGCAAGGTTACGTCTCGAAGATACGCAGCTTTGGGGCCCTCCCGACTACCCTCCACACATTCGGCTTCGGCTACGACATCAAGTCGGGATTGCTGAAGTCCATTGCCGAGGTCGGCAGGGGTAACTACGCCTTTATCCCCGACGCCGGCATGATAGTACGAAGTCCGAGCCCACTCCTCTCAGGCAACTGGGACTGACGCGAGGTGATGTAGGGAACGGTATTTGTCCACGCGATCGCGCATCTCCAGTCCACATACGCGACAAGATGCACCCTCGAAATCACGACCCCCAAGAGTGTGAACCTGAGGACGACGGCCGGCAAGACCATCGATAAACAAGTACGAGAGGAAGAGACGTGCAATAAGATCACCATCGACCTCGGGAACCTTCAATACGGCCAGTCTCGGGACATATATCTCGAGAATGTCAACGGCGAGGGCGGCAAGGCCTCATTTGGGGCGCCTAGCGACGAGAAGCTTTTCATCGACGCCAAGCTCGAGTATTCGCGGGTAGGCGCCACGGAATCGTGTGCCTTCGCCCAGCAAAATCTCTTAGCGGGTGCCGACCTCCCCGCGGCCGAAATCGCTTACCACCAGAGCCGATCGAGGGTGTGCGATTTCCTATCCTCGCTATTCCCGCTCCGGAAGGACGGGGAGTATCAGACGCGGAAAGAAGCCGACCCGAGGCGCTACAAGGGCGACTTCGACCTCCTGCTAGCGAGTATCCCGGCGAGGAACTTTGACGACGAGTACAACAAATCCCTGATGGAGGACCTAGTGGGCGAGTCCCCGTCCGGGCAGGTGAGCCTGGCGCTGTCGAACGGCGAATACTTCAAGAAATGGGGTTGCCATTATTTCTTCAGCCTGTGGAACGCGCACGCGAAACAACTGTAAGCCGACCCCTTGCTCGTCGTCCTCCGACCCGAGGGCTGTTTCTCTAAGTTTCTCTGCCCGCCTGCCTGTTGATTTCCGCGCTCTCATTCTCGCGGCGGCTAACACTAGTCGGCTAGGTGCAACTCCTTCAAGGACCCCGGCCCCTTGATGTACAACCGGAACGAATTCTTCGCGCAGTGCCGAGACGCGCTCGACCGGGCTTTCGACACCCTCCCGCCACCTACGCCGTCCTGCTCCAACTTCGCCACCACGGGCCTGATCGACATGACGCGGCTCAACCGCCGGTACGAGCCTTGCTTCGCGGCCTCGAGCACGGTCGCGATGGACGACGGCGCCAGGAAACCCATCCTGGAGGTCAAGCGGGGCTCGAGAGTGCTCACGCCGGCGGGGACCCGGGCGGTGGCGGCAGTGCTGTACACGCCTGTAAGCGAGATCCCCATGTGCCGGGTTGGCAGCCTTGTCGTCACGCCCTGGCACCCGGTCAGGGCCAGCTCTGGCGAATGGTTCTTCCCGGCGCAACCGCCCTGTGTCTACGCGGAACCACAGGTGGTGCTATACTCCGGGACCATCGTTTCGGTGCTCCTGGAACCGGACGCGGACAGCGACGCTCACGCGATACTGGTCGACGGGGTCTGGGGCGTGACGCTCGGGCATGGACTGGTGCGGGACAGCGGGGATGTACGCGCGCACCCGTTCTTGGGCGACTACCGAAAAGTGGTGAAGGCGATGGCGAAGCTGCAGCCGAGAGAAGAAGACGGGGTCGCGATCACGGGCGGGGTTCTGCGACGGGATTCGGACGGTCTCGTTTGCGGGTTCCGGCCGCCCGACCGACCGTGTCTTCCTGGTGCGCGGGAGAAGATGGTGGCAGGTTAAACGCCTGCAGCTTCAGCGCCGACAGCCCAGTGAGAAGTGGTTTGTTTTTTATACAGGGAGTCAGATATCCGGTAGGATTGCCAGGAAAACTGGAGGGTTAGACGCCTGCTGGCTAGGTATGTTATCCGGTTGTACATAGCAGAAATCGAGACACGAGTGTATAGGCTGGTGTGTGAATATATATATATATATAGTAAGAGCACAGGTAGGAGCTGGGCACTAGCAATGGACGAATATGAAGAAAAGGCACCGCCTCTTAGGAGGCACCTAGGGAGTTCGTAAAGGTATGTGTGAATGGAGAAAGGTGAGCTTTAGTATGTTTGGCGTCATACCCGAGAAGGGGCCAGGAATCAGGGATCCGTTAGGCATGGCACACACCTACATACCAACCCATGCCCTGACAAGGTAGATGTCAGCATACCGGCCTGTGTGTATATATAGGCACACAGCCTAGAGTGAAGCCGGGTGGATGATGGGTGCTAAAGGTGAGTTGAGGACGGTGATAAGCAATACCTCAGGAGGTAGGTGAGCGAAGGCTAGGGACCTGAAGTTCTACTTGAGATGTGGGCAGGTATAGGTAGGTAGGTAGGCGTATTACAGGAGGAGTCTCTTAATTTTATAGGTGCCTCTTAGGTGCCTCTTATGGACAGTTAGGGGGTTAGGAGGTAGCTAACATTATAAGTAGGTACCTACAGGTACTAAGACACCTCGGGTGCTTTAGCTCAAGCTGACCCTGTACCCAGTACTTGGGTTCAGTACTACTTGCCTGACGTAACTCCACAGTATACGCGGCTGTACACCTAATATACGTGAGACAGAAAGTACCTACTACGCCTACCTGGAGCTGGCTTATGTACTCAATTCTTGCTATCCTTATTTGACGTCTGCATTGGATGCCAAGGCCGGGCAGGGGACTTGGAGGTACCCCCTCTAAGCTCTAGTGGGCATCGGCACCACTTTGGAGATGCTTTCGTGTTATCAACTTTTTTGGGGCCTCACAACACACAGCAGTGCCCTTTAATTGACAGACATCTTTATTATATATTGGCGTTCTCAACGTCTCCCCCCCTCTCTCTCCGCCACCGCCTCAACTTTCGTGAGTTGACTGTGCCACTGGTACTACCCTTCGACCCTCCTTTCAGTCTTGGTTATAAAATGCGGCCCTCTCATCAGGCTCTGGTGCTGGTGGGCATCATAACTCAGAATGGGGTTGTCACAGCTGGCTCTGCGTTGCCACGAGGTGTTAGTCCTGAATGTTGGTTCCCTTCCTTCTCCTCCTCCTCCTCCTCCTCCTCCTCCTCCTCCTCCTCCTCCTACTCCTCAATATCAACCCCCCCCCCTTCCCCCAAAATTCATTCCAATCGCTGCCCTCTCGGCGATGGTTGCTGAATGGCTGTGGACGTGGCGCTGATCAATCCGAACTCTAGTCGCCAAGTTCTACGAAACCAAAGACACATTTACCTGCATCGGCCACCCCTCCATAGCCATTCCTTCCTCGAGGGTGAACGACAACTCTTGCGACTGCCCTGACGGTACCGACGAGCCTGGCACTGCCGCTTGTGCTCTGCTGGACCGCCTCTCTCCAGAGCAGCCCTTTCCTTCATCTCAAACGGGGACTACGAATACCACAAATGCTCTGCCCGGCTTCTGGTGTGCCAACAAGGGTCACGTTGGTGCCTATGTCCCCTTCCTGTACGTGAATGACGGCGTTTGCGACTATGACCTCTGCTGCGACGGCACCGAAGAATACGGAAGAGTCGGTGGCATCAAATGCGAGAACAAATGTGCCGAGATCGGAAAGGAGTATAGACGGATCGAGAAAGAGCGGGGTGACGGACTGGAGAGAGCCAACAAGCGCCGCAGAACCATGGTGAAGGAGTCTAAGGAACTACGCCGCCGGGTCGAGGCTAAGATCGGCACTCTTACCGAGGAGATCAAGGAGCTCGAGGTTAAGAGAGAGGATCTTAAAGCCAAGCTCGACGAGGTAGAGCGCCAGGAGCGCTTTAAGGTCGTCAAGAACGAAGGAACCGGCAAGCTGGGCGTGCTTGTTGGCCTGGCCAAGAAGAGGGTCGACGAGCTGCGCGAGACTCTAAGAAAAGTCGCGAGTGAGCATAATAAGCTCAGAGCGCGTGTCTCGGAACTCGAAGGCATTCTGACGACATTCAAGGACGAATACAATCCTAACTTCAATGACGAAGGTGTCAAGAAGGCCGTTCGAGCTTGGGAGGACTACTCAGTGAAAAAAGCTGCAGAGGTTACCGAGGAGCTCAACGAGGTTGATATCCAAGAAATCACCAAGGAAGATACCGAGGAATCTGGAATCAACTGGAAGGAATACGAAGAGGAAGAGGGCACTGACACGGACATTCGTACGTCGCAGTATTATTAAATATCTTATGAAAAGATGGCGTTGGGAGATCGGGGTGTGTGCTGACTAACTCGATAATGTAGTGTACAGCTTCGAAGCTTACCTCCCTGGCTCGCTTCGTGAATTCCTCCACACCAAGATCAACCTTTTCCGGATCTGGCTGATCGAGAATGGCCTCCTGGCTGACACCGGCTCCGGCAAGACCGAGTCTCGTCTCGTCAAGGCGGCGCGGGAAGCGCACGACTCGGTCGCAAACGATGTCAACGCCAAGGTGCGAGACCTGGACGACCAGAAGCGCGACCTGGAGAAGGACTACGGGAAGGATGACATCTTCCGATACCTCAAGGGCAAGTGCATCGCGACCGAAGCCGGCGAGTACGAGTATGAGCTGTGCTGGTTGGACAAGACGAGCCAGAAGAGCAAGAAGGGCGGCGGCAAGACCAACATGGGCAATTTCGACCGTTTCGATTGGGGTGAGGCCGACGAGGAGGAGCGACACGACGGCAAGGGCCTCGGCCGGGGCAAGCGACTGGTGCTGCGCTACGAGAACGGCCAGGGCTGCTGGAACGGCCCGAACCGGAAGACGGACGTGTGGCTCGCATGTGCCGAGACGGAGGAGCTGTGGCGGGTCAGCGAACTGGAGAAGTGCGTGTATAAGATGGAGGTGGGCACGCCCGCCGCCTGCGAGGAGGCGGCTGCTGAGCCGGGGCACGTCAAGGATGAGTTGTGATGTGTATATGCGTAAGAAAAAAGAGGGCGAGAGAGCCATGATGAGACACGATGATGACGATGACGAGTAATAAGGGCCGCACAGACGCGGCTAACTGTTAGAATCTTGCGACAGATACTTGCGATCAATACTTATAGGGGGGGACGAATGTCCCGAAATCGCTGCCTATTCACGTTTTATATCGCCCCGGTCTCACTGCGCGAAAAGGGGGGGGGGGGGGATCGTGCGGTAAGCAAGGGATGGGTCCTGGGACAGGTAGTATGCCAATTAGTATCATTAATTCATCACGTACTACGCACTACGTCGTAGCATTCTTCTTCCAACTTGGCCCCGCCCTTCACCTAACGGGCTCGCCTCTCCTGTGCCCCTCTATTATCTTCCTCCGCTTCGTCCTCTCTTCCTGCTCCGCTAATACTTTAGCCGTAAGGGAGGCCGTCATAGGGTTGTTGATCCGGCTGGAGATGCCGTTCTTGCTCGCCTTCTTCTCCGTCCTGCTGCCATCTGGCTCCCTGCGCGCATCCTCGTTCGTCCCCTTCTCCTTCTCCTCGGCCTTGCGCTTCTTCTTCCCGGAGCCCTTGTCCTTTTTCAGACTGTGCGTCAGGCCCAATGCCTTGAGCTCGTCGATCCGCTTGGCGAGCTTGTCCACCTCCGCCTCATCGGTGGGCAATATTGGTATGACGTCGCGCTCGACGAAGGTGGCGCTGCATTCGGGACACTGCCTCTCCGTCTCCGGCCCCGCCACCTCGAGCTCCTTCATGGCCGCCTCGGCAAACACGTGGCCGCACGGCACCACATACACGCTCCGGGTCGCGGCACCCAGCTCCTTGAGGCTGATGGGACAGGCGCGGGCCTCGCGGCCCTTCTCGTCGCTGCGCAGCGCGAAGCGGAGCTTGACCACGTCCTTGAGCGTCTTGACGCCGGTGCGCGCAAACTCGGCCTGCTGGGCCTCGGGGCGCGCGGGCTCGGTCGACGAAGGGGGTATGAGGCACTGCAAGATGGCCTCGTAGCTGTAGAGGCGCCCCCGCCAGTCGGAGGCGGTGTTGGCAGGGTCTAGCGGCGCATCCGATAGCGGGCACATGGCCCAGGCGTGAGAAAGCGACTCGAGTGCGGTGGCCTTTAGCTCGGACGTGGTCGGTAGGCGAGCGGCCTCGCGGACGAGCTCGCGGCGTTTGGGGATGGAACCGCCGTCGTTCCCCATGGTCCGCACGGCAGGAAGTAAACGATGGATAAGGTTGAATACGGAGGGGGAAGAGTGTGTTGAGTTTGTATGGTGTGAAGAGTGTGTATACACGTAAAAACGTGCACAAAAGCCACTGGTGGTTGAAGAAGGGGTGGTTTCGGTTGGTGGCGCTGTTAGAGGAGAGAAGAGGAGGATTAGTTGTCTGTTTCTTAGGTACCTAGGTACCTCTAGGCTACTGATAAGATAAAGCTATTGTAGGGGAGGTACATTAGGTAGGTACTTCAGCACCTTTGGCGCATAAGGTCCATTGTAGGGGGCGTGTAGACGTGTTGAGGCACTCGAGGTTAGCACCATGGGTGCTAGGGTTACCTGAAAGTTAGGTGCATTTGGTCCTCTCAAGACCCTGAGCAGGTACCTAGGTACCTAGGTAGGTATGTGCACCAAGGGCAGAGAGGTACCTAGTATTTCCCTAGCATGTGTACCTACAGCCAGGTACCTCCCTTCCTCCCAGCTAGAAACTCAGTATGTACCATGGTACATACGAGTATACATATATGGATCCCCACCGCGTCCTGCCTCTCCTCTCTCCCATTCTGTCCCGCGAAGCTTGAGTCGCCAAAAAATGAGGCGTTTGACGTGTATCACTTGCGACCATCAATCAGCCTGTATGTAGGTCGGGAGGTGGGCACACACACACTCTCTCTCTCACAACTCTCTCTGTCCCTCCCCCTCCCACCTACAAATTCCCCATGCCATCTCCCAAGACAAAGTGACGTCCTTTACACTCCTCTATTTCTTTCTTCGTCTTTTCCCTCTTGTTGCCGTCGTCCTCATACTTGTTCTCTCTGTCTCGGGGCGTTGGCCGGCTAGCGCCCACAGCTTGTTCTTGCGATTGCCGCTGCCTGCCGCTAGTCCTCTTCTCTCGATTCTATCGTTTGTCCTTGATGCGAACACATCGTCAATTCGGCGCAGCCAGCTGACGAGGCTACTGCCCACCTGCCGCCGCGATAGCAGGGTTGACAGCCATACCTAGTTGTTGCCTGTCATGGCACAACAGCAGCAGCTGGCCCTTGAGGCCCTGGACTCCATCACTAGGGAGCTCAAGTCAAGGTACGACATTCCGTTTCGCGAAACACTTGGCATGGGCCTTGGATCTGACATCTTATCACTCTTGAATAGGGCCGGCGACGAAGTGCGGAAGCGAGCGGCAGTCCAGCTGAGGGATCTGGTCACTGTCTGCTATAGAGGTGCGTGGCCGTGTCTGCTATTATACTCCCCAATGCGGTCTGTTTTCGTCGTGAATGCTTACCGCATCCTCCTTTCCTTAGACTTCCCAGCCGAACAGTTCCACGTATTCTACAATTCGGTTAATAACAAGATCACAACCTTGATGCTCCATGGCAACGACTCCTCCGAACGGCTGGGCGGTGTCTATGCCCTTGATGCCCTCGTCGATTTCGACGGCGTTGATGTTACCGCGAAATACACCCGCTTCACCGCAAATCTCAAGACCATCCTGCGAGGCAAGGATATCGTCCCTATGCAACCTGCCGCCATAGCTCTTGGGAAGCTCTGTTACCCTGGCGGCTCGCTCATATCCGAGCTGGTCGAATCCGAGGTCAAGACCGCCCTGGAGTGGCTGCAGTCGGAAAGGGTGGAGGAGAAGAGATATAGTGCCGTCCTGGTCCTCCGCGAGCTGGCCCGACAGGCGCCTACCCTGATGTATTCCTACGTCGGTCTCATCTTCGACCTGATATGGGTTGGCCTGCGCGACCCGCGCCAGCTCATTCGCGCAACATCGGCCGAGACCGTCAGCGCCTGTTTCCGGATCATCCGCGAGAGAGACCAGGAGATGAAGCAGGCGTGGATGAACAAGATGTATAACGATACCCTCCTTGGCCTCAAGATCAACACCGTCGAGTCTGTCCACGCGTCCTTGCTGGTGCTGAAGGAGCTCCTGGAACAGGGTGGTATGTACATGCAGGAACATTACCAAGAGGCCTGCGAGATCGTCTACCGTCACAAGGATCACCGTGACGTGACGATCCGAAAAACCGTTGTCTTGCTGGTTCCCGACCTGGCCAACTATTCTCCGGCCGACTTTGCTCACACCTACCTGCACAAGTTCATGCTCTACCTCTCCGGTATGCTCAAGAAAGACAAGGAGCGCAACGACGCTTTCCTAGCCATCGGCAACATCGCCAACTCAGTCAAGAGCGCGATCGCCCCCTATCTAGACGGCGTCCTCATCTATGTTCGGGAGGGCCTCAGCATTCAGTCTCGGAAGCGAGGCTCCGTCGACCCAGTCTTCGACTGCATTAGTAGACTTGCCGTCGCGGTCGGCCAGACCCTTAGCAAGTATATGGAGGCATTACTGGATCCCATCTTCGCCTGCGAACTCACCCCAAAGCTGACTCAGGCTTTGGTTGACATGGCCTTCTACATACCGCCTGTGAAGGCGACCATCCAAGAGAGACTCCTCGACATGCTTAGCAAAGTCTTGTGCGGCGAGCCCTTCAAGCCTCTCGGAGCCCCCACCCCGAACACGCTCTCGGCCGTGCCTATCATCCCCAAGGACGCCAAGGACCTGCAGGCTTACGAGCATCGGAAGGCGGAGGTGAAGCTGGCGTTGAACACGCTGGGGAGCTTCGACTTTTCAGGTAAACGACAGATCTGCCCTGACACCCTTGAGCCCTATATTCGGGGCAACGACCGCCGCTGTGGACAATGGTTGCTAACCTTGGATCGAGGCCACATCCTTAACGAATTCGTCCGCGACGTCGCCATCAAGTACGTCGAAGACGACGACCCCGAGATCCGCGAAGCAGCTGCCTTGACGTGCTGCCAACTCTACGTACGAGACCCAATCGTGAACCAGACGAGCTACCACGCGCTGCAGGTTGTCGGCGATGTCATCGAGAAGCTACTAACGGTAGGCGTGTCCGATCCGGAGCCGACCATACGGAGGACGGTCCTCGCGGCCCTCGACGAACGGTTCGACCCTCACCTCGCGAAGGCAGAGAACATCCGAACCCTCTTCTTCGCGCTCAACGACGAAGTGTTTGAAATCAGGGAAGTAGCAATTTCAATCATAGGCCGCCTAGCGCGATACAATCCAGCCTACGTGATACCCTCGTTGCGGAAGACACTGATACAGATGCTTACCGAGCTCGAGTTTTCGGATGCCGCTCGAAACAAGGAGGAGAGCGCGAAGCTGCTTAGCCACCTGGTGCAGAACGCACAGGGCTTGATCAAGCCTTACGTTGAGCCCATGATATCGGTGCTGCTCCCGAAAGCCGTCGACGGTAATCCCGCTGTCGCGGCCACCATCCTTAAGGCCATCGGCGAACTCGCGACGGTCGGAGGAGAAGACATGCTCCCCTACAAAGACCAACTGATGCCCCTAATCATAGCCGTGTTAAAAGACCATGCTGCGACCGGCAAGCGCGAGGCCGCGTTGCATACGCTGGGCCAGCTGGCCAGCAACTCTGGCTACGTCATCGACCCCTATCTCGAATATCCCGAGCTCCTCGACCTCCTCCAGAACATCATCTGCGCCGAGTCCCAGCGTGGGCCTCTGCGTCAGGAAACCATCAAGCTGATGGGAATTTTGGGTGCTCTAGATCCATACAGACATCAGGTACAGAATCCCCAAGACGACGATACCTCTTGGCAGCGTGCGTACGGGTGGGGCCTATCGCGAGACGACGAGGACGATAGTCCCTCTGACTCGGACGAGGAGCCCAGCGCTCGGCCGAGGCGTAGTGGAGATGGAGGCATCGTCATGACGCCCATCCGGTGGCCGCCCCCGATAGACGTGAATTCCCAGAACGACAAGAAGATGAAAAAGGGGAGGAAGAGGCAGCAGCCGCGGCATCGGAAGAGGAAGAATAAGAGGAAAGTCGAGAGGTCAGCTGAACAGGACGCTAACGAAAATGATAAACAGCAAGTCGAGGAGCGCACCCCCGACGCCAAACGGCGTGTCGAGACCAACCGGATGACCGATATATCGCTAATGATGACAGGCCTCACCCCGTCCAATAAGGAATACTATCCTACCGTCGTGATCAATGCTCTCTTGAACATTCTGAAGGATGGTTCGCTCTCTACGCACCACGCTGCTGTGATAGAGGCCATCATGAACATTTTCCGAACGTTGGGCCTCGAGTGTGTCTCTTTCCTGGATCGTATCATACCGGCATTCCTGAATGTGATTAGAGAGTCATCGACAAATCGTCTGGAATCGTACTTCAACCAACTTGCCACCCTTGTCAGCATCGTTCGGCAGCATATTAGGAATTACCTGTCCGATATCATAGATTGCCTCCACGGCTACTGGGAAGTATCACCATCGCTCCAGGCTACGATACTGTCGTTGATCGAGGCGATATCGAGGTCCTTAGAAGGGGAGTTCAAAATCTATCTGGCAGGCTTGCTCCCTGTGATGCTCGGCATCCTAGAGAAGGACGCGACTACGAAACGGATCCCCTCTGAGAAAGTCTTGCACGCCTTTTTAGTGTTTGGCTCTAGCAGCGAAGAGTACATGCATCTAATCATACCCGTGATCGTGCGGACGTTCGAGAAGCAGGGCCAGCCGACGTTCCTGAGAAAATCGGCCATCGAGACCGTGGGCAAGATATCGCGCCAGGTCAACCTGAACGATTATGCTGCTAAGATCATCCACCCACTGACTAGGATTCTCGCCAGCGGAGAGTCCTCCCTGCGGGTGGCTGCGCTCGACACCCTGTGCGCCCTGATCCAGCAACTCGGGAGGGATTACCTGCACTTTATGGGCACTGTCAACAAAGTCCTGCAGACAAATCAGATCCAACACCAGAACTACGACCTACTGGTTAGCAAATTGCAGAAGGGGGAGGCTCTTCCGCAGGATCTGAGTTCTGAGACGAGGTTTATAGACCAGCAAGACGAACCGTCCTTTGCCGAGCTTGGCAATAAAAAGCTCGAGATGAACGCGATACACCTAAAGGCGGCGTGGGACACGAAAGGAAAATCCACCAAGGAAGACTGGCTAGAGTGGTTGCGGCGCTTCAGCACGACTCTCCTGACCGAGTCGCCGAACCACGCCCTACGTGCTTGTGCTATTCTCGGGAGTGTGCATCTTCCCCTCGCCCGCGAGTTGTTTAACTCGTCTTTCGTCTCGTGCTGGAGCGAGCTCTATGAGCAGTTCCAAGACGAGCTTATCCAGAACATCGAAAATGCCATCCGCAACGAGAACGTGCCTCCGGATCTGCTGGGCCTCCTACTCAACCTCGCAGAATTCATGGAGCATGACGACAAAGCCTTGCCTATCGATATTAGGGTTCTCGGTAGGGAGGCTGGCCGGTGCCATGCGTACGCGAAGGCCCTCCACTATAAAGAGCTAGAGTTTCTGCAGGATCAGAGCGGCCCCGCAGTCGAGGCTTTGATCGTCATAAACAACCAGCTTCAGCAGTACGACGCGGCCATTGGCATCCTCCGCAAGGCTCAGTTCTACAAGGATGGCATCCAGCTCAGGGAAACGTGGTTCGAGAAGCTGGAACGGTGGGAGGAGGCTCTGCAGTTCTACAACAAAAGGGAGGCAGAGATACCACCGGATCAGGCGCCCCCGATCGACATCGTCATGGGAAAGATGCGCTGCCTGCACGCCCTCGGCGAATGGGATGCCCTGGCCAGCTTGACTAGCAACACGTGGGCAAACTCAGCACCCGAAATCCAGAGGCGTATTGCACCTCTTGCGACTGCGGCTGCCTGGGGTCTGGGTAAGTGGGACTCGATGGACAATTACTTGCAATCCATGAAGCGACTTTCTCCGGACCGTTCATTCTTCGGTGCGATATTGGCGCTGCATCGTAACCAGTTCCGGGAGGCCGCGGCCTGCATCCAGCAGACACGGGAAGGCCTCGATACCGAGCTGAGTGCTCTCGTGAGCGAGTCATACAACCGGGCGTATCAGGTGATTGTTCGTGTGCAGATGCTTGCGGAGCTCGAGGAGATTATCGTTTACAAGCAGGCCGACGAGAGAAAGAAGGCTACAATGCGCCGCACCTGGGAGATTCGTCTGAAGGGGTGTCAGAGAAACGTCGAGGTCTGGCAGCGCATGCTGAGGCTCCGCGGCCTTGTCATAAGCCCAGCAGAGAACATGTACATGTGGATCAAGTTCGCGAACCTCTGTCGAAAGTCTGGGAGGATGGGCCTAGCCGAGAAGTCTCTCAAGCAGCTTATCGGCACCGATCACGCTCTCGACACCATAATACCGTGCTGGTCCCAAAATGGCCAGCCGCAGCAGGGAGCTGCGACAAGAATCCCCCCCCAAGTAGTCTATGCCGTCCTGAAATTCTACTGGGAGTATGGCCAGCAAGCGAAACTGCGCCAGACGGGTCATCCCGAGAAGACGCTCTTCTGCCTCCGCAAGTTCACGGCCGACTCTGCTCACAACCTAGAACTCGCCAGGGCTTCTCTGCAGGCCGCGCCTAGTGGCGTTGACCCGGTGGGTGACTACGGCTTCCATAACAGCGTGGATTCGGGAGTCCCTAGTTCTAGAGCCCAGAAGATAATCCACGACCAAACGGTACTGCTGGCGAAGTGCTTCCTCAAACAAGGGGAGTGGCAGGTGGCTCTGAACAAGCACGACTGGCAGAACCACAACGTCCAGGACATCTTGACCTCCTATCTAAAGGCTACCCAGTACAATCCAAAATGGTACAAGGCCTGGCACGCTTGGGCATTGGCCAACTTCGAGATCGTCCAAGCGCTCGCGTCGTCGGCCGATAGGAATGCTCACAGGCTTGACTCTTCTATCGTTATTAATCACGTTGTCCCTGCCGTCCAGGGATTTTTCAAGTCCATCGCGCTGTCGTCCGGGAGCTCCCTCCAGGACACGCTCCGTCTCCTCACCCTGTGGTTCGCCCACGGTGGCAACAGCGAGGTGAATGCAGCAGTCACGCAAGGGTTCGGGACTGTCAGCGTTGATACATGGCTCGAGGTAATACCTCAGCTCATAGCACGCATCAACCAACCAAACACGCGAGTGCGCCAATCCATCCATAACCTACTGGCGGACGTTGGACGAAATCACCCCCAGGCCCTGGTATATCCGCTCACCGTAGCGATGAAATCGGCCCAGAGCTCTAGAAGATCGAAATCCGCAGCCTTGATCATGGATAGCATGCGCGCGCACAGCGCCAAGCTTGTCGAGCAAGCCGATACCGTTAGCCACGAGCTCATCCGTGTCGCCGTGCTGTGGCACGAGCTCTGGCACGAAGGACTCGAGGAGGCATCCCGACTGTACTTCGGAGACCACAATATCGAGGGTATGTTTGCCACTCTTGGACCGCTTCATGAGCTTCTCGAGCGAGGCCCCGAGACGCTGCGTGAGATCAGCTTCGCGCAGACCTTCGGTCGCGACCTTACAGAGGCGCGGGAGTGGTGCCGCCAGTATGAGACGAGCCGCGACGTCAACGACCTCAACCAAGCTTGGGATCTGTATTATCAAGTATTCCGTCGGATAGGGAGACAGCTCCCGCAGATGACATCACTGGAACTCGCCTACTGCTCGCCGAAACTCCTGGCTGCCAAGAACCTCGATCTGGCCGTCCCAGGCACATACCGCAGCGGTGGCCCCATCGTTCAGATACTATCCTTCGACACGAACTTCAGCGTGATAAACTCGAAACAGCGACCTAGAAAGCTGAACACGAACGGCAGCGACGGAAACTCGTACGCTTTCCTGCTGAAGGGGCACGAAGACATTCGACAAGACGAGCGTGTCATGCAGCTGTTCGGCCTGTGCAATACCCTCCTTGCTAACGACTCAGAGTGCTATAAACGGCACCTCGGCATACAGCGGTACCCGGCGATACCGCTAAGCCAGAACTCTGGTCTTCTCGGCTGGGTGCCGAACAGCGATACGCTGCATGTGCTCATTCGCGAATACCGCGAAAGTCGCAAGATCCTCCTCAACATCGAGCATCGTATCATGCTCCAGATGGCACCGGACTACGACAATCTCACGCTTATGCAGAAGGTCGAAGTCTTTGGTTATGCCCTCGACAACACCACCGGGCAAGATCTCTACCGTGTCCTGTGGCTGAAGAGCAAGAGCTCCGAGGCTTGGTTGGAGAGGCGTACGAATTACACGCGCAGCCTGGGCGTGATGAGTATGGTTGGCTACATCCTCGGCCTCGGCGATAGACACCCAAGCAACTTGATGCTCGACCGGATCACGGGGAAGATCATCCACATCGACTTTGGCGACTGCTTCGAGGTCGCCATGAAGCGAGACAAATATCCCGAGAGGGTCCCGTTCCGCCTCACCAGAATGCTCACGTACGCCATGGAAGTAAGCAACATCGAGGGCAGCTTTAGGATAACATGCGAGCATGTTATGCGCGTACTTCGCGAGAATAAAGAGAGCGTGATGGCGGTGTTGGAAGCTGTAAGTTTTGTCCCATATTGCGAATCGGGTAGTGCTTGCTGACGTGGAGGGTGGTGCAGTTTATCCACGACCCGTTACTTACCTGGCGTCTTACCAACGCGGTATCGCCTGTCGGCCCTAATTTCCGCTCTGAGCGGGAATCTTCGCTGAACGCGGGTGCTCAGCGACCTCGCAGACCCAGCATACTCGACGCCGAACACCCCCCGTCCGAATTCCTAGCCGCGCAGCAGGCCGGGGCAGACTCGGCACACCCCGGCGGTCCTCCTGGTTCTCGTGCTAGGGCACGGACGAACTCTAGCCTAGCGAACGGCGCGGGTCAGATGGAGGGCGAGATGGCCGAGATACAGAACGCTCGTGCGGTCGAGGTGCTAGACCGCGTGAATCAAAAGCTGACCGGGCGCGACTTCAAGCCCACCGACGAGCTCGACGTGGTGACCCAAGTCAACAAGCTCATCATAGAGGCTACCAACCTAGAAAACCTGTGCCAACATTACATAGGGTGGTGCTCGTTCTGGTGAATGAATATCATCCTATTCGAAGGATGAGTATAAGCTTTCAAGACCTTGCCGTAATTGCGGAGTCTGCGGTACCGATCTAACCCCGGGGGGAGGGGGCCGGGTCTGATGGGAGAGGCACTTGTGTTTTGACTTGATATAGTAAAGACGTAACGGAGAAACAGGAAGCGTGGTCGTCTACGTTTTACGCAACGGCCACACACGAGCCTCACACGAGCCCTAGGGCCTGCCCAGTTGTCCTCCTCGAAATCCGATGGGCAACACATTGTGGGGTTTACTTTGTTCTTTAGACGGCGTTCAATCAGGGCACGGCAGAGGGACGACGGGTTTTCTACTATTCGGCGGCCTCGCGAGACAGAAACCGTCCGTTGTTGTTGCAAGGGGGCGGTTAATCCTTGTTCATCCTACCTCTCGGCTCTTGCAGCGAGCCATGTGGATGGATTCTAGCTCGTCGCGTAAGTGTAAGTGTGCATGGTTATACACAGAGATTCTGACAGGTCGGCGCCTCTAAGCTTGGCCCCTGCGGGGATACAGAGACGGGTACATAGATGCAGCAATAAACGCTTTAGATGGCAATATCCAGGGTGATTGATGCTCATGTTGGCATTGCTTCTTCACGCGATGCCTGTTCACCGTAATTCGGTGCCTTATTAGGCAGCCCCTATTTGTAAGCAGAGACGCCCAACCCGCCATAGCGTAAGTACCTTTTAGGTACCTTAGGTACCTCCCTACGTTAAGTACCTCCTACCTCCTAGGCTATCGATAGGGCAGGGCAGGCACCCCCTTGGCTAACATCGCACCACCTCTTTCCTACCCCGGAGACTCGCCTGTTCAGCTTGGGCTTCGTTTTCGTCTTCGTCTTCTAGCCCAACCATGTCCTCCTCCTTTTCTTCCAAGAAATGGCGGCTCATTCTAAACCACCATCAGCAACAGAATCTCCCGGCGTTTGCTACCAGCGCCCGGCCCTCAATTCGGACAGCCTGGCGGCCCTTGATGCCCACGAGCGCGAGACAATCTCCTCTATCCCCTCTCTGCCTTCTTCCTCCCCCCCCGACAGAACCGCCGATCTCCAGGTATCGGGGTCAACGGCTACCAGTGCAGATCCTGACATCTTTGGCCAGACGACTAAGCTGAGGATTAACCACGCTTGGGGGCGCGTAGGCACGTCTCGTGCCTTGCGGTGAATCCTCCCTCTCTCTTCGCGATAGCCGACCTGATCAACCATCACCTACCCTCCGCCAACCTCTAACCGCCCTGTCTTGATTTCACGGGCCGGCATATCCGAGCAGTCTCCTCTCCAAGGCCCGGGCCCCGAGGGCAACGCCCTGGCCAACTCACCCGTCCTTTCAATATGGATCTCTCCGCTGCCCTCGACTTCCACGGAACCTGGAATCAACGGGAAACCGAGATGAGAAGGAGCCACGAACTGGTCGTGTCTTCGCACAAAGAGCTGCTCGAGAGGATGAAGCAGGAGGTCAGAGCGCGTATCGAGCACGAGCTTCGGGTGCTGAAGGACCACGTGCCTGAAGAGATCTACGAGAGCATCTGTGTGCGGATGGCTGACGACAGTCTTGAGTTGAAGCTTCAGCGCATCGAGAATAGCCATAAATTGCAGCTGGAAATCATCGAGAACCTGCACCGAGAAAATTGCGACCGCCACCAAGCCGCTCTCCAAGAGGTCCTCCGAGTCGAGACTCCCAGCAGCGAGCACTCGTCGGCCGCTGTGCCCACTGCTCCGGACGATTGCACCTCGCAGAAGCAATACGATGTAAGTTGCACCGTCGGTTTTACTTGAATGCGCGACGGCATCCCCTGGCCGAGGCCAGTGGCTGCCTAAGCTGAAAAAACCACTGATTTGCACTTTCCAGCGCCAACTTGCTTACGGGGAACTCCATCTAATGATGCGCGTACAGTCCAAGAAACGCAAGATACCTGTAGACCGAGACCTTCCCCCTTCTAAGCGGCCACGCATTAACGCGCTGACCGACCTTCCGCGTACCCCTAGCGTAACGCCCCCGGTCAACTCATATCGACCTTTACAAGGAGCAACTACGGGGTCAGGAGCTGCTGAACTAATGGCTGTGAGCCGAACCGTCACTTTCGATGAGGTCTACCGAGAGGGCAACGCCGAGTATAAAGACACCATAGTGGAATGGCCGGTTGGCAGTCGGAACTGGTATATATTAAAGTGTGAGGAGCATGACCTTCACTTTTCGAGAAATGCCGTGCTGGGTGCCGCGAAGCACTTGAACGGCCTAGGCCACGGGTTCCCTGATAGAAATAGGACGGTCGCTGTGCAGACGCTCGGCTACCGGGTATTGGGCTGTACGGAGAGCCTCGTGCGCTTGAACAACCAGGCCGCAGATGAAGCTTACGCAAACGGCTATAAGCCGCCGGTTTCTAAACTGGCAAAGTCACATCGCATAGCTCGCAAAGGAAAGCAGGGAAGTGGGCAGGGGCCTACCAAACTTGCCTCGACCCGTCCGTCGATACCGACGGCCAAGGCACCTGGGGCCTTAGCTGTATCACCTCGGCCTCAAAGCGTATCGGGACCGCGGAACGGAATTGCCCACCCCAGATCGTTTCGCATTTACAACGGACTTTGGAGAGATGTCGGCCAAGTTTGTCCACTCGTGATCCTCGGCTGGCATGATCGGGATGGAAGCGGACTAAGAGACGGCCACCCTACTTGTACCGATCTCCTCAAGCAGAATGCGCGCCGGCCGGACTGCTATATCTATAAATTAGATACCATCGTCGCCTGGGCACCCGGATACGAACATGGCGGCTCAAAGGTCCAGCTGAGGGAGTTTCCTGCCATGTTTTTTGACCCCTCGCGGACTTTGGCATGGGTTTCCGCCAAAGACCTAAGCCCGCTTTATCTCTCTAAGAAACATGTGCCGAAGAAGCACGCTCGCAGTTTCGGTGCGGCCCGTCGCTGGATCGCTGAGAAAGAAGGCTTCAAAACATGGGAAGATCGGGAGAGAGCGCGGAGCCGCAAAAATCAACCTGCACAGACGCTTTTGACGAAATCAGGTAACGCCGATGCTGCAAACCGAGCGGAGGTGAAAGTTGGCGACGTCGCTGCTTCCGCCTTCGACCCAACCGACCGCGTGGGCGACACTATTCTCGTGGCCGAAGATCGAGAGGTCCATCAGGCTGTCGCTGCTAACCCGGCCGTACCTGCGGAGGGCGAAGACTCCGACGACGACAGGGCTTCCGAATCGGATGCAAAGTCGATAACATCTGCGGGGACGGAGGCAATTCTGGAAGAGTGGCGAGAGAAGGGGGGCGAGATTACAGATGACGAGGATTTTGAGGATTCCGAGGACTCGGAATCCGAGGTTGACAATGGCCTCGCCTTGGAGGCCGAAGAGTGGAACTGCATCCGCCAGTCTAGCAGAGAGGCTAATAATGGTGCTGAGCGCCCATGGGCGTTTTACAGCTTGAGGAGCATAGTAGATGCGAAGGAGACAGCGCCGCCAGCCAACATGGCCTGCATGGCGCAAGAGAAAGGTTTGAGCAAATCTGCAGCGGGCGAAAGTACCGGCCTGACACCCGGACTTACAAAACTAGTACACTCCTCCGTACCGGGCGCTTCCTCGTCCGTGACGGATGCTCGGAAATCCCCCGAGTCACCCGTTCCTAAGGTGACAAAAAATGCCAGCGAGCCGAAGCGACCAGCCCTAGGTGCTGCTACACCTCCTGAGCCGGTCACTCGAGATGATCGAGGCGTTCTCAGCCGAGTAGTCGAACGAACTAAGCAAGACGAGGGCCCCGCCAGCGTGTTAGAAGGCACGAAATCTACTACCAAGCTCGCCGAGCTCGACACTACATACGTGGCGTCCTCGACATCTGCTAATATCCCCCCGCGGTCGACCCGCTCGGGTTCTAGCGCCGGGGGGGATGCTGTGGAGCCGCTACCGAATGGTCTCGAAGCCGGACCTCCGGCCGAATCGCCGGCGGCGGTATCGGCACCGACGGATACTACGCCTGCCGGCCAGGCCGACTTTGAACTGTCGCTTTACACTGGCGGAGACGTGTCGTGGAAGAGAGAAGACGAGCGAGGAGGTTGCGCTCAACTCTTCGGCAGCGCCGACCGGAGGACGATGGAGATGAGAAGGGGCGTCACGCGGATCACGATCGACCCGGGAAAGATATCGGGCTTCTGGAGGGAAAGCGTGGCGGGCTCGAACGGGAACAGCGCTCTGGTGTTGCGGAACGGGGACGGGTCCTCTTCGAGGCTCGTCTTCGACCGCAGTACGGGGAGTAAGTTGGAGACTGGCAAGATCCAGGCGCGCGGATTCATCCGCTGGCTCCGCAGCGTGAACGCGGACATCAAGTGTCTGGAGCCGGAACAGGGCCGGAGCTAAAGCGTAGGCGACGCCGTCTCGCGGGGCGCGTTCGGCCGTCTCGGCGAGGTACCAGGCGCAGGGGATCCGAAGTGCGGACAGCCGGCGGTTCCTCCGAGACGACGCGACGGCAGCTGTCAAGTATAGACCAGGGGATAGCGTTAGGAGGGAATAGGGAATAGGACAGATTCTAGCATCAGGCCAGGCGTTGGTGTCGCAGGCTGTCGAGATTTGCGGCGAGGTCGGTATTATCTAGCCCCCTCGCAGGGTACATAATCCTAGGTGGTTACTACGCATTAGGCAGTTATGAGTCCGCTTACAATTCGCACGCACATGAATCGCAAAAGGCCGGCCGGGGAGGGAGGAGGACGGATTTGCATGTGAAGATACAGGCATTGTGAGGTTACCTAGTGGGCACTTACATGCCCACCTCCCATGTAGGGGTGTGTCCGCACATGTCACGTACGCTCGTGCATGAGGGTGCCCTTGGTTCAGAGGTCGATGCCGTTATCAGACCTCGCTGTCTCCTCGCGCATCTTTTCTTCTCGTCCGGCCTGTTTCCGACTTGCCCTAGGACCTGTACCTTTGGGGGCCTATCTTCGGTGTAGGTACCTACCTAGGTACCTAAGGCCCCTGACCTAGCGGGACGGAACCGGGATCCAACCTGTAATGACGTCGCGGTCTGGCAGTCTGGGCCGATCCTGAAGCAGCAAGCCGCGATCAGCAACGGCCTGACGCGTGACGTCTGACTCAAGTAGGTACCTACAGCTCTCGGGCAAAGTACCTCCTCCCTAGGCTTTCATCGCCTGAGCAGGGTACCTCGGCTCGCCTGGCTGCGCTGCGCGTCCTGGGAGGGAGTACGTGACCTGCCCGTGCACAGGTACTCGATAGAAGAGGAGACGGACGGCAATCCGGTAGGTAACGGTATCTCCTAACCCATTATTACCTGCCTCTACTACTCATAACAGGTACCTACAAGGTAAGTATTAAACCGACCCCGGCCGCGCCCAGTGCCATCTCGACCTCCCCTTCTATCACCTCCACTCCACCGCAAATCCACCAAGAGGGTCCTGTCAACCCGCCGAAACCCCCCCCCCCGTCGTCGCGATACACGGCTTCGAGTACACGGCCCTTGATGGCTGCCCTGGTAAGCTATCCACCTCGTCTTTTCGTCACCGTCATCTCGTCCCATCCTTGCCTCATCTCGTGTCCCTCGCTCTCTCGTTCGCCGCCTACCCCGTAGAACATTACCTATACACGCTTGTCCATCTTGCGGCTATACCTACCTGTCTCCCGTCTCTTAAGAGTTCGGCGAAGCCGTCGTCCCCATCGTCGTCGTCGTCGTCGTCTTCGTCCCCGTCCCCGTGCTCCTCCATCCTCACCTGGTTGGTTGGTTGGGGTAGGTAAGTTACCAGCAAATCAGCAAACCCCCCATCCTAGCCCAACAATCCAGATCCGCGACGGCGGGCGGCGACAGCGGCACCAGTCCAAAACCCGCACCGAGACGAGACCGGCGCGCAACGTCAGCAACACGACCACCGGCTAGTGATATGCCGCGCTTGTGATATCCGACATGTTTCCGCGCCGAGGCTGACCCTACCATCTTCTTCTTGCCCCCGCGCCTCAGGACACGCCTTGGCTGACACAGATGTCGACCCCGAAATCTGCCTCCCGCGGCGATGTCGACGGCCCTGCCAGCCCCCCCGAACTTCCTCCCACCTACGCGCCCCCGACCTACGCCGCCTTCTCTCCCGCCAACCTCTCGAGCCCCGCGTCCGCCGCCAAGCGCAGGTCGACCATTCTCGTGCACCAGAAGTCGCCCTTGCTGCTCGCCACGCCCCCGCAGATCACTCGCGCCCTCGCCTACAGCCACCCGTTCCTCCTACCCCTCAATAAGCTCGTCGGCCTCCTTACCTGGACCACCGGCGACCCCTGGGAGAGCTTCCTGCTGCTCGTGGTCTTCTGGGCCGCCGTGCAGTACGGCGATGCCGTCGTGCGCTTCGCCGGCCCCATCGCCGTCGTCGTCGGCATCATCGGGGGCATGTATGGCCGAAGGTACAGTCCTCTCTCCAGCAGCGGCTGGGCCGAGCATCCGAGCCTAGCCGGCGGCAAGGATAGGAAGGCTGGCGGCGCCTCCGCCGGAGGTGGCGTGGCCGGGACGCACCAGCGAAACGCGAGCGAGATAACGAGTACGAAGCATCAGAAGACCTTGGACGAGATCGTGGACACCGTCAAGGCCTTCACCACCCGGTGCAACATCCTGCTCGAGCCCTTGCTCGAGATGACCGATTTCCTCTCCACCCAGCGGACCGCCACCAGCGCTACCACCAGACCGGCACTCACTACGCTCTTCGTCCGCATCTTGGCTGTCACCCCCGCCTGGATTGTTCTGACGCTGCCGCCTCTACGAATCATAAGCACGAAGAGGGTCATCCTGGTCTTCGGCACTCTGGTGCTCACCTGGCACTCCAGGGTCTGCCGAGTGTCTAGGACGCTCCTGTGGCGGAGCGCCTCCATCCGGAGGCTGGCCCGGTTGGTGACGGGGTTGCAGTTTGAGGAACCGCCGAGGACGAAGCCCGAGGGCGCCAACGGAAACCCGACGAGTTCCGCCACCTCCAAGGCGAAACCGTCGAGCGTACCTGCCAAACCACCCTCGTCCTCCGCTCTCACCGCGGCGCTGCAGCGCCGCGGTCGCTCCAGTGCGAAAGACTCGGGCTTGCGCTTCACCTTCATCCTCTACGAGAATCAGAGGCGCTGGGTAGGCCTCGGCTGGACCAACAGCCTGTTCGCCTACGAACGCGCCGCCTGGACGGACGAGCACAACAATTCAGTTCCTCCCAAGGACGATTTCGAACTCCCCGAGGTCGAGGATGGACACGCGAAGTGGAGGTGGGTCCCGGAGAGCAAGTGGAGAGTCGATGGCGCGCCTGAACTCGACGAGGCCGACTACGACACCGACGCGGGCAAGAACGGGTGGATCTTCTACGACAACAAGGTATGTTTTCCCCAGCGGACATCCATCGGATCAGCTTGGTGTTTCTCACCGCCGGACAGTGGCAGAACGGCCGGCGTGGTAGCGATGGCTGGGGCCGCTGGACGCGTCGACGCAAGTGGTATCGCGATGCCGAACTCGTCGAGACGCCCGATGACACAGCCTCGACACCACCTCCGGAATTGCCTACTCGGCCACTCCCCGCCCAAACGCTGAATCCGGAGAAGGAGTACGTGTCCGCACTCTCCACCTCCATTCCGGAAACATCCACGCCATCGGAGACCGACAGGGACAGGTCGAAGGAGGAAGACGACGCCGTATCCCTTCTCAGCACCTCATCCAGATCCAAGGTTAGGTTATCTGGCCCCCCGCTGCGCCGACGCACCACCGGCGGTACGCATCGATCTAGGAGGACGAGCGAGACGGCAAGTTTACGTTCGAATGATGACGGGGGCTGCTTAACCCCCGCACTCGAGCTAGAGATTCAAGGGCACCAGCGAGATCAAGGCCAATGGGGTATCGGCGACGAGGCTCAGATGGGTCTCGAGTGAGATGCCGGGCGTCGCGTCGTTTGGTTACCGTAAACATCACAGATAGCATCGGGAAGGCGTTTGGGTAGATACCAGTGAATATTTTGTCTTTTCTTTCCTCACCTCCCCTCCCCCCCCCCCTTCTCCCCCCAACCCGCGTCTAAGATCCTACTCGTATCTCGTATCAAGAGATTCTAGCGGTTCGGAGGCGATGGTCCATTAGCTAACCCACGATGGCGGGCCCTTTCGTCACAAACCCGTGAATGGAGACTGGTGGCACGTTTGGAATCACGCTTGCATTTTCTACTCCATCTGCCTGCTCTGCGCTCTCCTAGCTTTGGCTATCTAGGACTAGGATTTAAAATTCATAAGAGCTCGTGCTGCATATGAAGCATACTTGGGCTCAACTTCCTACGGCTTGCAAATGAATCTGGTACCCGCCGGGTCCCTAGTGGCTCGTTCTCATCTCCGTACTTTCGGCCGGCGAGCTCAAGACGGGCGGTGATGCTATCCTCGACCAAGCTTTAGGAACCTTGAAACCCTTAGCTCCGAGACGGGCGACTGCTATTCCTCGGCAGAAGTGGCTCGGTATGCTCACCAGCATCTCCTCTGATCCTGACAGCTGCCCCTTTGTTGAATAGCAAGTCCATGTCCTCGAGCGGCCAGCCTTTTGTCTCGGGGTAGAATAAAAGGATGATCTAGCCGAGGGTCAAGAACCAGTCGAGCGCGCAAGGGATAGCGGCCTACCGGAATGCAGACAAAATTGACTGCCATGAAAAAGAAGTAGATTTTGGAACCGATGGTCTCGATGCCAACGGGCCAAACTTGAGCGACGACGATAGAGCCAATAGCCCCGCCGGAAGCAGAGAAGTTGAGACCGCGTGCGCGAACGGAAGTCGGGAATATCTAGATTCATCCATCGCGTATTAGCGGCTCGCCCGACTGGTGTAATACTAGATCTCGTGGAATCTCCTCAGGGTGTTAACCTCAGAGCCGTATACCCACGCTGCCGGACCAAAGCCCATGCTGTAGCCTATGGCGTAGACGAAGATAAACACGATGCAGGCGACGTCGGCAGCACCGTTAGTATTGTCGGGATATGCCTGGCCTAGCACTCCGTTGATCTGGGATCTGGCAGTTAGCTGTTGTCTCGGCGTCTGCTGACAACATGTCAGATTCGCCTACCAACATGCCAAACCCCATCGCCACGCAGCCCGTAGTAAGCGTAATCCTCCGCCCCAGACGGTCGATGAGGACCATCTCGATGACCGTCATCCCGATCTTTAACGTCGACTCGATGCCCCCGGCCATCAGGGTGACGCGGGTGGGCAGACCAAGCTTCGCGAAAAGAGTCGGTAGGTAGTATTTCATCGCCGTTGCTCCGCACATCTGGGCCATAAACTGGAGGAGCGAAGCGCGCCAGAGCCTGCTGAAAAGACTTGGATCCCTGAAGAGCGACAGCCAGTTCGTTCCCGACGCCCTGTGGTTCTCTACGTCCTCGCGGATGTGCGCCAACTCGGCGCCGATCTGCTCGTCCGTGAAGCTGCCCTCCCGTAGCCACTCCAGGGACCTCCTGGCTTCTTCGTATTTATCATGTTCAATAAGCCACCGTGGGCTTGTTGCGGCCTGTTAGCATTTCCTCGTCGACGCGTTCGGTTCTCACGCCCGGGGGCCGGCCTGACTTACGTCTCGGGAAGAAATGGGAGTCCGGTTGCAAAGATGGCACACGGCAACAGAATAACCGCTAGCGAGACTCGCCACGATACATATATGTCGTACTCGGAGCCGTTCCAAAATGTCACTCCGTATCCGACCCTACACGACGCTTCGTTAGGAATAACGAGAATGAAAACTATGTACTGCCTCATCCGATAATTCAGGCTCGGGGGACGGAAAAAAAAGGCAGAGGAAAACATGGATAGGCTTACCAAAAGCCGCAGGCAAGGCCGGCAACGAAGCCGACATGATTCAGAACGACATATCTGCCACGCTTACCAGCCGGAGCGACCTCACTAGAAGAGAACGGAAAAACGATGGTTAACATGAGAATCATCCCTCCCCCTTTCTACCTCCCCGCCGATAGAAGGCTGCAGGGAAAAGCGGGATAAACAACAACCTTTGGTACAGCGGCACGGAGGTCGATAGCATGCCCACACCGAGGCCCGATGTAATGCGCCCGACGATCATCAGGGAGTATGCGCGCGGCCCAGCGGCGCCGCACTCGAAGGCGTTACCTACCGCGACGATGAAGATGCCGGCCAGGGCAGCGTAGCGCCGCCCGAAGGCATCGCTGACCGGGTGCGAGACGAAGACGTAGCTCAACCCTTCCTACCCTTTAGCATATCCGAGCGGGAACGAGCGTGGCGCACAACGGCGCACCAAGAGCAACTGGCTCTACAAGGGAATAATACGGCGTGGACCAGGCTGGCGGGAGGAGCCCAAAGGGATGTTGGACTTACTAGATGGTTATCAGTCTTTGCGCGAAACGCAGCAGGGCGAGGATGTTTTCAAAGGATCGACCACATGCTACAAAAATATGCTGTCTCTCCACTTGTCATACGCACCAAGTCCCGAGGTAATATATAGCAGTGATCACTCCTTTCCGTGACGGGTTCAGGTGGCCCATCGCTCTAACAAACCCAGGATGAACCAGGACGGACGAGAGGATGCCGACATTATATCTGTTGGGAGACCAGACAATTAACGATAGCTCTAGAGCCCTGAATACCCCCCCCCCCCCCCCCCCCAAAGGAAATCGACATCTCTTGTTTCTGCGGCTGAGCCTTGCATCCATATGGCTGGCCGTCGATGCTTTGCTCGGTGGCGCGACAGAGAGGGCCGTGACTGGGAAGAGCAGCAGCTACTTACCCCCAGACGAAGGAACCGACGGCGAAGAAGACGCAGAGAAGATGCAGCCGGATATCCGCCTTTGTCGCGAACGCCATCGTCGTGAGCAACGAATGCGCAGGCTCGTTTCCCACGCGGGCGTTAAACCGGTATATCAAGATATGCGATGGTCGGACGAGGAGAGAGAAAGAGTGAGAGAAGACTCGACGCAACCGTGCCTGACCGGATTCGGTCCAGGTTCGTACAAGAGAATAGGTAATAATCTCTGGGCGATGCTGTCTCCAAGAGCGGGGACGATCTATGCCGCCTAGCGGACGCGAAGTTGGGAATGCTTTACGCTGCCATCGGATCGAGATATAGGTAGTCTTCGTCCTGTTCTGTTCTGATGTCGTTCCCTGCAGCACCACGTTATTATGCGTCTAGAAATCCGGACTTGTTCGGCTGCCTGCTCGCTAGTCAGGTCATGGCACCCCTATTCATATAGATACACCTATGTATGCCTACACATGCCTGATGGCCCGGTATTCTTGCATGGTGCACGTAGGGGCATGCACATGCACAGCCCGACTACCGTTGCGTCTCTCTCCGCGCCATAATAGTAGAGTGGCATTGAGCGCGGGGGGGATGAGCGAGAGGATGGGGACGAGCGGACACACAATACCCTGGCCGAGGACAGCACACGGTACTCTATTTGTTTCCCCGACCTCCCTCTTGAGCTGTAGGCCAAGATTCCGGGCAACGTATGACGACGACAGTGACCTTTCGCGTAAAAAAGGGGGTAGCAAGGGAAGCGGGGGTAGCAGTACCGAATCCCACCGGCTGCCTGTCCGCATGCTACCTTTACATGGATTATATCCGGCGTCATTGGACGCGGGTAAAACGGACCCAGACACGCATAAATTTCCGTGTCGGGATTCACAGCCTGGCGGAGGATCCGGGGATGGGGCCTCGACCGGATTCGAGCGGTTCAATAAAGGCTGCAGGTGGTGAAGGCGTAGCTCCAAGTAAATTAAGAGAGGTAGGCGGCCGCGAGTTCGTGAGATTGCCAGAGAATGGCATTTAGCCCTGTGAAGCTCCGACGGAGTGGCCCTCCGTTGACGATATGCCGTATACGTGGAGGCGCGCGTGGAGCCTCATGGGGGTGCTAGAATAGAGACATATAAACGTACATGTTCGGGACGATCTACCAACCTCTTGTTTGTCAACGAGGATATAGGTAATACGCTATCTTTCCTCAGAGGAGAAGTTGATATCGACATTCACATCTTGCGAATCACTGAAAGACGGATATAGAGGAAAGCAAAAGGGGGAAGAAGAAGAAGACTGCAAACTCGACAAACGAACCCGAGACGGCGATGAGAAGGGAGAGTCTCAGTGAGCCACCACCGTGCGGAGCCCAACTTCGTATTTGTCCTGTCGTGGCCGCGAGTTCGAGTATAATAAGATGGGCCGAGAGGTAGACGAAGAGGCCAGGGCACCGCTACGCTCGGAAAATGGTGAGTGATCTTCTGGTATATAGGGGCTACGACCGGCTTGGTTTTGCCTCAAAAAAAGAGGCACTGACATTCGACAACGGGCATGGTGCCGTGCACGGGGACTGAAGCATCTTGCACTGACAGAAGAAAGAAGAAAGAGAAAAAGAAATCGACAATGGCTCTATAGATGACGACGTTGTAACCACTACCTCGCCGACACGATACGACGCGAGAGGCGAGCTACGTCTAGAAGTAGACGGCATAGCTGCGGAGGCGAGTGAAGTCCGGTGGCGAGACCTGCCAAACAAAGACCAGCTCTTCATCCTGTCGCTGTGCCGCCTCTCCGAGCCGCTCTCCAACGTCTGCCTCCTGCCGTACATCTTCTACCTGGTGCGCTCGGTGCTAGCTGCCGCCGCCGAAGACGTCAACCAGGCCGACGCTCCCGGCCGCGGCGGCAACGAGGCCGCGCGGGTGTCCGAGTACTCGGGCCTGCTCGTGGCCGCGTTCCCGCTCGCGCAGTTCGCCGTGAGCCTGCCGTGGGGCTGGCTGTCGGACAAGCGCGGCAGGCGCCTATCCATCATCGTCGGGCTGACCGTGTCGGCTGCCGCCAACGTCGCCTTCGGCTTCAGCAAGTCGTTCGGCGCTCTGCTGTTCTGGCGGATCTTGGCCGGCCTCGCCAACGGCAACGTCGGAATCATGCGCACCGTCACGGCCGAGATAGTCCGGGAGCGCAAATACCAGACCAAGGCGTTCCTGCTGCTCCCGCTCGTGTTCAACGCGGGCATGGTGGCGAGCCTGGCGCTGGGGGGTTGCCTCGCCGAGCCGGTCGTCAACCTCCCCTGGCTCTTCGGGCCGGACGGCCTGCTGAACACGAGCGGAAATCTTGAAGGCGTGAGCTGGGTCCTCGAGTACCCGTACGCACTCCCGGTGCTGCTGAACGCTGTCTTCTTGGGAGCGTCACTGCTCCTGGCCGTGTGTGGCCTTAGGGAAACGCTACCGGGTAAGGATGATCGAAGCGACGTTGGTCTTAGGATCGGGGCAGCGATCGTTCAGCTGCTCAGGCGCATGTGGTCGCGCAAAAGGGGGCAGGGGTATTACATGGTCGCCGAGAGTAGCGAAGATACGCTCCTAGGCCAAGCCGGGTCAAAAGAGGAGACGCCGAAGCCAGATGACACACCCCTTACTGGGCGCCGAAAGGTGTCTTTCAGACGCATCTGGACACGCAGGGTGATGTGCGCGCTGGTGTCTTTCGGGCTGCTGCCGCTACACAACTCAGCCTTCATGCACATATTCCCCGTCTATCTTAGCAGCCCGCCGGAGGACAACAGCGACGCCACAGCGTTCGCCTTCTCAGGGGGCCTCGGCTTGCGCTCCTCCACTATCGGGTTGTGGCTCTCGACGTTCGGCATATGTGGTATCCTGCTACAGCTATTCATCTATCCGCGTCTGCAAGCGCGCATCGGCACCCGCGGTGTCTTCCGCATCGCGCTGTTCCTATTCCCTGCCACGTACGCGGCCGCGCCGTACCTGTCGCTGTTAGCGGACGGCGTGCCCGCTGCCCGGTGGGTGCTCCTGGGACTGGTTGTGTGCGCCCAGATCATGGCGCGCACCATGGCGATCCCGAGCACAGTCATCCTGCTCACGGAGGCAGCGCCAGCGAATACGGTCTTGGGCACGATCCACGGTGCCGGAAATATGCTAGCGAGCCTGGCACGCGCCATCGGCCCGGCGATTGGTGGGCACATCTTTGCCGTAGGTGTCGAGAGAGGGATTGTTGGACTGGTCTGGTGGCTGTACTTACTCACCGTCGCCCTGGCTGCCCTAGCCTGGTCGTATGCCGTCGATAGGGATGCTGGTTAGTCCCCCGAGAGGTCGACCTCTTCGATACGGAGATAAAACAACTGGGATGGGGACAGAGGGGCACTCAGTATAGATGTAGTAACTCAGAGAGTTTTCACAGCGAATTGCTCAAGCGCCCCAAGTTGACTGTGATCACGGGTGGTTGGAGAGGAAGTACGTTATGCTTGCCAAACCAAGTCGAGAGATATAGAGGGAATGTGCTGCCTATTCTCCTCAATGAGTCCGGGATGCGTCTACTTCGCCCGAGCGTTATACGGATCATGTCAGATGAATAAGGGTAACATGCTGTCACATGCACAAGCGTATACAAAAGCAGACAGGGGGTCTCGAAATAACGCGCAAGTTGCGAGGTGTAGATTAAAAAATATGTAACTACTTTGAAGCGGGCCAAGGAGACCCTTATGTGAAGAGCTCCACTGCGTCGAAGATCTGCAATTGTTAGCGGTTAGCCTGTGGGAGATGATGCGCGTAGCTGAACGAGTGATGCTTACAAAATTAGGATTCAGGAATGTGGTACCGCTGCTGCCCGAGATGGCAGTGATGGTAATGGTGTTATCACCGGCAACAAGAGTTCCTGAGGGGATGCTGACATCGTAGACCTCCCCATAACCGCGGTAAGCGCCGCGAGTCACGCCGCGGCTATCGATCTTTTGGGGCGCCGCGGGCGCCGATCCAGTCCACGAGTTCACCTGAGCCTGCGGACGGGCTCCGTTAAAGGAAAGGGTGGTAGCGATCCGGAGGGTGGCGCTGCCGGGGGCGGACGCCAGCTTGAATTTGATGGTAACGGGGTTGTTGACGTTTTTGAAGAGCGCCATGGGGAACTGGCTCAAGGTCGAAGTGCCTATGGTGTAAGTGACGACGTTCCAGGCGGCCATGCGCGAGTCGGAGGGGTGCATGCGGAGGAACTTGTCGGCGTTGAGGAAACCGGTCGGCTTGCCGTCGTATTCGCCAATCTTCCATAGCGAATTCCGTGTCGTCTCGGTGCTCGCGATGCTCTTCGACGTAGTCTTACCGGCCGTGACGGAAACGCCGGTGGCACTGGCGACTTTGTACTCGCCCTGGTATAATATCATGGTGTAGGTGCCGGGCTTCATCGCGGGCGACGTGAAGGCACCGTTGGAGGAGGCGATCGCCCAGTACTGGGCTTCGGCATTGAACCAGTGAACGACGTTCTGAAAGCTCGTGGAAACCCCCGAGGCCGTTCCGGAGACGTAGCCGCGTCCGGATTCCGGTACGTAGCCCGTGATACCGAGTCCAGAGAAGAAGGACGTGTCGCTCTCCCTGAGCTTAGGAATGCCGGATCGCGAAAAGGTTAGAATGTAGGGTCCGTGAAGGACGTTGGTTCGGAAAGCCTCGGTCTGGACGTGACCGCTGTTCATATACCAGTAGAGGTTTGTAGCCGCCCCGGCGTTGTTGGTTTCGATATCGCGGAAGAATGGGCCACCGGAGGACGACTCGGGGTGCGGCGCCAAGACGCAGACATGGGTCACGTCGGATCCGCCGTAGACGCAATGCGCATCTTTGTCGATGAATCGAGCGCTCGAGTAGAACTTGGACCGTGTCTCGCCATTGACAACGAAGACATCGGAGCCCTCGACGGTAGACGAACTGCCAGCGGTGGTGGATGCGTTACCGAAAGGGTACTCCTCGGACAATATCGACGATTTCAGCCGGGCGATAAAACGAAGTTCCCCCACGGACGGCTCCTCCTTGATGAAGGTGGCGAGGTAAATATTGCTCTCCCCCTCCTTAACCACCGTGTAATGGGTCAGAGTCGACGTGGTGCAGGTAACCTTGACATAGTTGACGGAACCTAGGGCGAGAAGAGTTTAGAACGAACGGGACGGTGGTCATCCTCTCGGGGGAGGACGTACTGGCAGTGATGGACTCTACCGTGACAGTGGCGGTGCCCAGGCCAGAGGACAGGTGGGTGCCCTGAGAGTCCTGCAGCTCCGTGCCGCGGTACTTGATGGAGGTGATATCGCAGCTGCCGCCGTTGACTGTGAAGACCAACGAGTTGCTTGAGCCGGCGTCGATGTCATAGTTGCTGCCAGACTTGGTGAAGCCAAAAGCAGCAAGCACCGAGGAGGCGAAAGTCAACAGGGGTAGAACCAGGCGATGAGGCCGCATGGCTAGTTTCGTCGGCGATCGGTGAGGGTAACTAACAGGACCAGACCAAACCGACACCCCAACTACTACACGGCAGAAAGAGTGTGAGGTAGAGAGAGAGACGGAGAGAGACGGAGAGGCAGGGACGGCGGTTCATCTCGTGGACGGCAAGATTTAGCCGTTTCATAAGTATACACATATTTATATAATAGCTAATACCCCGGGGTGGAAGACGTGCTCTTGTTCCCCTGAACCGGGATTCGGTTCAGTATAGGACCGAGACGGGCTCCCACATCCCGCTGAGCGTGAGTGCGTGCGCGGCCCGAGAGACGTGTACATGTCCATGATTGGCGGAATTGGTCGTCCTTGTTATGGAGAGGAAGAACTAAGGTATCATCCGACTTAGCCTCGCCGGAGCTCTGAACAAATCGAGACAGAGGAGCCGACGGCGTACACGTCCGTGTCCATTATATCCATATATATATACCGATGGGCTCTTGCGTCACCCATGAACGAGCGTAGTCTCGGGGCTGGAAATGGAGCGGCGCTTCCCCGGGTGGCAACGCTGGCCGGAATGAAGATCAGCGCGAGGTCGACGATATGGGAAGGGAGGATATAAACACGTGTGTGTCTGTGTGCGCGCGTGTGTGTGCGAGAGAGGGAGGATACAGATAATGCTGACGACATTGGGGGAGTTAGTCGAACGACAATGAGCGCCCACCGCGCTGACGCCGTTCCGAGGCCTACCAGTTGGGGCAGGCTTGCCGGTTCCGTCGGTTTCATCAATATAGATGGCACCGCGAGCAGAGGCGGTACTATTTACGGAGAGAGGAGAGCATCAACCCGGAGATGCGATAGCACCTATACGCCTTGTGTCAATGCGAGGTACGAACACGTGAGGGTGGTACTTGTGCGCATATATATAGGTGGACATGGGAAAGGGGAAACAGAAAGGCATACGAAAGCACCAGTCATGATGTTTCGAGGAGGTGGGAGGAAATAAAATGAAAGGAGCGCGAGGGTTGGGGGGGGGGAAGGGGGGGAGAGAAGGGGACCTTGTGTTTTTGCACTTCTACACGCAAGCATACCGCTGTAGTGCATACCTCTCGGTAGACGACATACCTACGTATATATATATATATCCTCACATATACCTACGTATATATCCGTGCGTGCCTCTACCCATATTTCATAACCCGAGGTACCTGCCTACTACTGCCGCGAGTACATGACCTCATAACCGTCCATTAGCGATAGATGCCCAGCACTATAGGCTGGGATAGGTACTTATTCGGTACCTAAGATACGCCCGTACCTGGTGATGAAGAGTCTGTGGGTACCTACCTGTCCCTTGTACTTCTCGGAAGATACCTGTAGGTACAGATAGGAGGTACAGTACGTATACGTGTAGGTAATACTCGGTATCTTGGGTTCCGTACTCAATGGCACTCGAGCAGACCCCAGATCTCATGTTGACGATGGATGGATCCTCATTCGGTGCTAATGTGTGTGTGTGTGTGTGTGTGTGGATGTAAAGACGAACGAACGGGGGCGCGCCCTTCAGTAACCTACCAAGAAACCCCATCGTCGGCCCACTAACAGATCAGTAGGTTACTTAACGAAGGATAGGTTCGACTCCTAACAGCGCTACTTGGTAGTCTTCGTTCGTTAGCTCATCTCTAACCACCTGCTGTCTTGCCTGGGGCGGTCTAAGTAAGCTCCCTATTTTTACCAGAGACGACAACTACGTCGCCAGCCGGGTCTCCCATCGATATAAATAGCCGCTCATGCGCCACCCAAGGTCGAGTCGTGTGGGGTTATGTCATGTATGAGCAGGTAGGTAAGCAACAGGAGCACGGGGTTGGTAGCAGTGGGAGTGGAGAAATATCTATTACAGAAACCAACTACCTATATAGGTAGGTAGTAACCTATATAGGAGGTTACACGCCGAATCGGGAGCTTCTCTTCCCAACTTCAGTGAGTGGCCATTCGCAATTGTCGCCAATGCAAGGCAGAGCTTGCTGGAATTCTGCCGGTCGCCCAGAGGCAAGCGAGAGTGCCGCGCGGGAGGCTCTTATAAGCCTATGCACAGTATTCTAGGACGTCTGAGACATACCTGGGTATACGCACACATATTATTAATACCGAGCGAAGAGCTATTCCCTATAGTCCTCTTCTCCTCGTGTCCCGACGGGGCTATTGCCGGTTTCCCTCCCCCTCTCTAACGCGCAGGCATAGATATAACTGTTAATATAACGAGTCTGACATGCATCGTGAGGAGTAGGTATCGGGTAGTATATTACTGTGTCATCGCGAGACGCGGACGCCATCTACCTACGTTCCCGTCTACATAGGTTCCCGATTAGGAACCTAGGCTGGGAATAGCCAGGTATAGATTCCTTCACGATGTGGTGCCATCTTGTCGCGTACCCGTGGACACGTATGAGCAGACCCCCCATAACTCCCTACTTCCTCCTGTAGGCTTTATATAGGTAGGTAGACAGGTCGATCTTGAAGCAGGTTGCTATGCATCCATACGGAGAGTAATAGTGGGAGCGAGCTAGAACGAACTCGTAGAACTTCATACCGTATTCCCGCCCGCCCGTCCAATATTTCGGTATCATGTAAGCAATAAACCACCCGCGGTCATAACATGCGTTTAGTATAACCGTCTGCCTCTGCTACCCGTCATTTCCTCCTCCGCCAGACGGTGTGTCTGCTTATTCGTCGTCGCCTAGCCCCATAAACGCACCCTCGTCTCCCGGCTCTTGTCCGGCTGTGGCCGGTCTAGAGCCCATCGGCTGATAAATTGTTATACCTTATATCCGACTAGACAAGGAGAGAGGAGGGAGCTAGGGGCCAGCTGAGGTTCAGATATTCTCAGCAGTACCTCCCCTAACCCCCCTTGTGGACGGTCCTGCGGCTGTCCATCGATCCTGGCGGCTTTTGCTGGCGTCTGCGCCCCAGCCCTGCAGAACAGCCCGAATCCCCTGCCCCGATGTCACAGAGAGAAGGGAAGGACTTAGACTCAAATTCGGACTCAACACCACGCGCCACTAGTTGTATATAAGCACGACGTCCCCATCTCCCCACGTCAAACGATGCCTGATGGGATTCATTACATCGCCATAGTCTCTTTTCAATTCACTCATTTCCCTTCTTATTTCTCGTTCATTTGCCGTACTCTTTCTCCTCGCTTTTAGTCTCTAAAACTAGCAGGTAATCAATCGCACGAACCGCAACGGACAACGAGCAGCGATGCGTCTTCTAAACTGCGGGTTGGCCGCCCTGTTACTGGCCAGGTCCGCAATAGCCAGAGTGCTGCCGAGGCAGGGAGATGGGAAACATCAGGTTTTTGCCCACTACATGGTCGGCTTGACCAACGGCCAAACCAGAGACCAGTGGGAGAAAGACATCACCGAAGCCCAGTCGGCCGGCATCGACGGCTTTGCTCTCAATATCGGATCGGCCGATTTCTGGAACGCCGATCAGCTGCAGTTGGCATACGACACTGCCGCATCCCACGGGTTTTCCCTGTTTCTCTCCTTCGACATGCTTGCCAGCTCTTGGTCCATCGACCAGGTCGTTTCGCTAGTCAACCAGTACAAGGAGGTGGGAAGCCAGCTCAAGGTCGACGGCAAGCCCCTGGTCTCCACTTTCGAAGGCACTGATTGGGTCGACAACTGGGCCTCTGTGCGTTCGGCTACTGGTGACATCTTCTGTAGGTTAAGAAGCAAATATCGAGTCCCGGAGAGCCGGGTTGGCGCCACTCAACTGTTTTCCGTGCGTGGGCAGCCGCTAACTCGGTTCGCGACGAAATAATAGTGGTTCCGGACTGGTCTTCGCTAGGAGCTCCCGGCGTTGGCGAGAGGCTTCCTCTAATCGACGGCGCTTGTACGTGAACTCTTTCTTCCCGCCCTCGTATCGTACGCACTCTAACCTACTTAGTCAACTGGGGCGCCTGGCCGAACGCAAACGAGCTCACCATATCGACCGGGAACGACATAGCCTACCAGTCCGCCCTCCAGGGCAAGGCCTACATGATGGGTGTTAGCCCTTACTTCTACACGAGTATGGGAAACTGCCGGCATCACCCCGACCAGGCCTGTAAGCTAATCGGAACAACAGACCTTCCTCAGTACAACAAGAACTGGTACTCGTCGAGCGATTCTCTGTGGTACGACCGCTGGAAGCAGGTTTTGGAAATTGATCCAGAGTACATCGAAATCATCACTTGTAAGCGCGTCGTGTATGCTGGTGGGCGGACGATACCACGTCAACCGGGACTGACCAGCATAGGGAATGACTATGGAGAGTCTAGCTACATCAACGACCCCATTCCAGCTCAGATAGTAAGCGGCGCGGAGACGTATGTCGACGGGTTCGCGCACTCGGCATTCCGCTTTATCCTGCCTTACTTTATCAGCGCCTACAAGACCGGAAATAGAGACGTGGAGCTCCAGGCCGAAGGGGCCGTGGCTTGGTACAGGACGACGCCCATCTCCGTGTGCTCCGATGGCGGTAAGCGGCGCGATAACCACGTCCGGGCATGTTATATTTCACGTGTAAGCTAACAGCCGATCGTAGGTACCGTTTGGGGACAGGGAGGAGACGCGTCGGCGGCGGGCGGGACGAGGGACGTCATCTCCGTCATCGCGCTTTCGAATTCCCCCCAGAACATCACCGTCACAATCGGGGGCTCGACCCAGACCGTCAGCCCGTCGGATACCGTAGGCAAAGCCTCGTTCTACCAGGTCCCGTTCGACGGGCAATCCGGCGCCGTTACCGTGACGATAGGCTGCAAGACCACAACCGGCCCCGAAATTACCAACGCCTGCCCCGCTTCCGGTCATGTGAGTGTCCAACTCGGTTCAACCCCCCCTCCCGTCCTCGCGGAGCGTTATGCTGAAATTCATATTTGCGAAACTGACGGTGGAACAGGTCAATTTCAACTCGGTCGCTATCCAGCTGTGAGTCTGCGTAGCCGGGTGGGGAGATCTCCGTCCATAGTTGTGCTTCTCACGTGTGATAATTACCGTCGCAGAGGTAGATCCCTGTATGCTTTTCTTGTGCGAAAAACGGCTGGCCCCTTGGCTCGGATAAATAGATGTGTATATATAGAGAGAGATATATACACATATATTTAAGTGTCTCAATGGTCCTGAACGGTGTGTGCGTCGCTAGTCTGGCTTCTTGATGCCGACTTGGAACTTCTCGGCCCACTCGGTGAACTCGTCTCTCTGGCCCTCCCACGGCTTCATTAGCATTTCTGACGCGGCAAAGGCGTCAAAGAAGCAGCAATCCATTGCTCGGTCGATAGAGTCGCGATCTAGCTCATAAAATGCGCACGCCACCTCGCCGAACCGATGCGGCAGTCTCTTCAGCAAGGGAAATACCTCATCTAGGCGCTGCGTGATCGTCGACTGCGATGCGGTGGGCAGCGACGGGAGAGCTTTTAATCGTCGTTTGACGATGGCCGCGTAGAGTAGGGTGGTCAGACGTAGCCGTTTTAAGCACGAGTCTAGGCGCTCTCGGATCTTGTCGGGATCACCCCGCGGTATACGCCTGGGCGCCATAAGATCGTCCAGCATCTCCTGGGCGGAAAGGTGTGTGCTTTGCATATGGACGGCAACACTCGGGATCCCGGCCGCTTGCGTCTGGTCTCCATCGCTATCTCCGTCATTCTCCTCGTCAACCTCCTCTCTGTACTCTTTCAACTCCTCGAGTATGTCCTTAAGCGTATCTCGGTACTCCTCGGCCTTTTTGACCAGGAGCCCTACGGTTCCCATATTCTTCAGAAGAACGACGTCGTCGCAAGCCGCCCAGATGACGCCCGTTGCGGCAAGGCTGCCCTTGCCTCCCTGGCCGCCGTTCTTCTGAGTATCTGGGAGGACCCTCCCATCGAGAGGGATCAATTCGACGAGGCTCTTCAGCTCTTTCAATACACGAAGGCACCGCCATGCCAGGTCCTGACGGAGGACTGCGGTGTATTTTTCGACGTGACAAAGCTGGACGGCGGAGGCAATGGCTGGCACGGGGCTGGCTACTAGCTCACGCAGGACCTTGGCGATGGCAGAGGGCGTAAAAGGCTCGTTAATGATGAGGAGGGATAACTTCGTGGTGTGAGCTTTGATCAGGATGGCGGAGTCGTGAGCGAGGGAGAGCGGATCGATGGACCCGGCGCTCGACGACAACGGTGGCGGAGCGGTGACATCGGAGGTGTTGCCAACGGCGGTCGAGTGGACGCTTGCTTCGATCTGAGATATCACGTCCGTCGTGGTCCGCACCAGCGCCGTAAGGGACACCGCTGCATCCTCAGCCGTGCTGCTGTTCGTCGTCATGCTTGGGCCGGGTAGGATTTGTATGCGACGGCAGTGGGTTGGGGGGGGGGGGTTAAGAGGGGTTATTTCATACCTAGATGGAGCCGGGAGCAAGAAAAAAGACATTTGGGACACCCCACCCCGCTACTGGCGTTAGGTACCCACCAGGTACCTAAGTACAAGTAAGTACTAATCGGCGGGGAGCAGTCAACGTAGAGCCCCTGTGTGTTTTGGTGGTTCCTTTCGTGGCCTCGCTGCCTTCATTGTAAGGCATGCAAGACGAGTTGAGAGGTAAACCTAGTTGATCAATTGAAGGTATAAAAACTAAACTACTAAAAGGGCTTAAATACAGCGTTTTACGAATAGTTAGCTGTTGCTTGTTTTTCTTCCATTCCACCAATCACAGGCCTCCAATTCTGGATGCCTGAGGATCCACACCCCAATGTTGCATACCTAATGCCTGCCTGCCTCTCATTATCGCATCATCGCGTCTACTGCCTCTACGTCAGGTAGATGCCTGGGTAGTAGTATATGCGTACGAAGTGCGGTAATCCGTTAGTACGAGCGCCTAATGCACTTATCGCATATCATTGGCGGTCACAGCAGTCGAGGTTTTGGTTGGGCAGAATACAGGCTGGTAGGAGGTGACCTCACCTGACATGGAAGAAATTGATTCCTTGAGTTGTTGGGTAAGAGGTTACAGGATCAGGTGTGTATGTATTACTTACCTACCTTAGGTATCTACCTACCTACCTACCTACCTACCTACATCCTACCTACGATCCCTTCTATCAGAGCTTACCTCTGATTCTGCTTGTCTCGCCTAACCTACCTACCTACCTCTTAACCTACCTCCCATACCGGCCTGCCAACCTACCTACCCAGCCCGACCCGACCTCACCGAACTTCCCTGCCTACCCCGTCCTGGCAACAATTCGACGCCGCCGATGGCTTCGACGGACGCCGCCAAGCCCCAGCGAGTCGTCGTCGACCCGAACGGCGAACTCTGCCTGACCGTCGGAGGCGAGAACGCCGTCGCTTTCGTGGTGTGCGCCAAAACGCTAGCTCGGGCATCTCCGGTGTTGAGGACGCTGCTATACGGTGGCTTTGCTGAGTCCGTACAGCCAGATAGATCTAGCGGCGAGGAATGGACGGTAGAGCTCCCCGAGGACAATCCCGGGCTCATGGAGATACTTCTCAATATCATGCATTGTCTATTCGACCGAGTGCCCCTTTCCCTTGATGCCAAATCGGACGTCGGCCCGCCCCAAACCGACCGTCCCGCTCTTCGTGGCTATCTCCGACCTGTAGAACTGTATTCTCTCACTGTGCTGACTGATAAGTACGACCTCACCCGGATCCTCCGGCCCTGGGTTAGGAGCTGGATGGACGGCGTGGCTGATGCCGGCCCTCCCAAGGATTCCCTCGCGTGGCGCGGCGAGCTAGATATGGACCAGGCTGCCTGGGTCTCTTGGGAGCTAGGAGACAAGAATATGTTCAAGAGGACGCTTAAGTTCATGATCCTGAACTGCGCTATCGATCCCGAAGGCAGACTGCTGTGCTACCGAGTTTCTTCGCTATTTTCGAGGGCCCTATTTTCCGACAGCCTCGAGCCCCCCGACATCTCCGGTAAGCAAGCTACCGTCCCCCCCCCCCCTCTCCCCCGGACGAGGACGTAACGAGACGGCGTCGCTTACTCGGCAGCAGATCTAGTCAAGCGCAGCCGGCTGGCGGCGATCGAGAATATGCTGAAGCCCATCAGGGACGTCCTCGAGTGCCTCATGCAGGGCACTACCAGCACTAAGCGCCTCTGTAGTCAAGCTAGGGGATCCAGAGGTTTTGTTGACGACTCACAAAAAATCGATTGCGAGATTACCATGCTCGGTGCCGTTATCCGCTCCCTCACAAGCCATGACATGTGGCCCATCCCCAAACCCGAAGATGTTCAGTTAAGCGTGCAAGATATGGCAAATAAATTACTAAGTTTGGACCTGCGAAGCCGGGCCTACTACCATTCATGCAGTGCTTTGCCCGAATTCAAGGAGACGATAGCCAGGGGGCTGGATAGCGTTTGTCCTCCGCTTGTAGGGTCGCACGTACACCACCTCGAGGCCCAGGCGGAGAAAACGGGACTTGCCATAGCACACGAGCAGCCGTGAATCCTAGGTTCTTCCTGAGGACCGACCAAGCTTCGGAGAGATACTGAGAGACGTGTGGCTTGTAGCGGCCCTAACTCCCAAGCAAGAGTTCATGTTTGGGATGGAATCGCGACAGCATTGGCTCCGGGCACCTCGACGTCCGAAGACTACACCATCAACGTTTCAGGCAGAGGGCATCATGTATTTGCAGACCTGAAGTATAATACTACTTCTGCTATGTCGTGTGAAAATGGTGACCCCTATATTTCCTCTTCTGGATACGCAGGCTTAATCGGGCTTTGGTTCTTCTACGCCATAACGTACACACAGGTGCAAGTAAGGAAAAGGAGGTCTTTTTATCAATATATTTCTACCTAACGCCGTGCTTAACCAGAACTCCTCCGTTAACATCGCGATTCGTAAGTTTATAGTCTCCGGTAAGAGGGCAGATGACATTAACCAAATTACCGTATGCACAAGTGACGATGCCACCTGCGCTTGCTCCTAGGTAGTTCTTGTTAAAACATCTGTTATAAGAAAAGTTAGAATGGCTTTGTGTGCGACGATGCATTGTATTAATAGTGAAGGATGCCTCTGGATCCACGAAAGAAAACTGGCTGGTCCGCTTGCACGGGGTTACCATTTGCCTAGAATGCTAAATATTACGCCCGGAGAAGCGTAGCAACCTTTGCCAGGCTTAATACACTATCGCTAACACACGTATGTAAACGCAAATACGCCCTTCCTAATACCGAGCCGCGGTTGAGGGGTGTAGGCCCTCGTTGTTTACTAACACAACTGTTAGTGTCTCGATGATTGAGGTAGCCTTTTTTGTGTTTTACTACGAGGGCCTATCTTGCTAATATCAAGTCAAGGAGTCTCACTTCAACATTCTGGTTGTATCGTCCTGATTAGGCACGTTGTTTGATGTCGAACCCGGAGGTTGTTCTCGTACTATATTAGGTTGATTCCATCACGTATTCCGTGCCTCTATCCACGGAATGAGTCGTAATACTTGAATCCTCTAAAGAGTGATCCTCAGCGTCGCTGGCTCCCTAAGTACTTTAAAAGGTGGTAGCTTGCCCGCTGTATATAGTCGGATTGTTGTTACCCTATGAGAACCTGCAACATATATGGAACCGGGATACTAGGTAAGTTTTCGCTTGCTGTTGGACCAAGTATATCATTTGAGTAGTGTGAATAGAACGATATTATCTGGCTGCCTACTTAATACCCCGGGGGAGGAATCTAACATGATTAAACACACGTGGTGAATTCGGCGTATCTAGGCAAACTTGGTTTAATATTACCTATACCTAATAGCAATGTCGTTCCTGAGCCGGGGACTATGGGGGTTGTCGGTGCCACGTAGAAGGGATCTGGGGACGTATAACCAGCCTAAGATCGGCATACCGCCATCACGGTAGGTCATTACCTCTTGGCGAGGGGGTAGTAGTGATAATGGAAATAAGGTCGCTTACCATGGACCGGATTCTATAGGTAGGTTTATGTGTTGAGAGGTCTATGATTTACACAGAGGTACCTAGGTACTTAGGTGCTTTACCTTATCCTTACACGCTTTTCCATCACCTTATACCTTAGGTACCTACCTTAGGTACCTGTTGGAACCACGCCTTGTCCTTGGCCTTTGGTACCTGGGCAACCCGCCCCATCAGCCTATAATACGCTGCCTTGAGTGCCTAGGAGGTACCTAAAGTATCTGGATATTCGGTACCTTCTACAGGTATCCAACATACCAAGGCAGGTATTGCCACCTGGAGATGAGCTAAAGAACGAAGACTACCAAGTAGCGCTGTTAGGAATCCTGATCTCCTGGGAATGCGCCTCACGTAGCGTAGAGATCTTAGGTGCCTAAGTAGAGGGTACCTAGGTATACCTTAGTAGGTAGGTACCTAACTTCCAATTTTGAAATCATTTCAGGTAAAGAAGAGGAGGTACTTATATCTAGAAGTACCTGGCTTACCTGCTCTGGATACCTACCTATGTACATGAAGAGCATCTACCTCTCTACCGACGTTAGCTTCAGTACCGTATCATGTTACCTAATGCAGCAATGGCAGAAGTGAATGGCCGTAAGAGAGAGGTAGGTACCTTAGGTACCTACCTTAGGAGGCACCTACCTACCTGTAGCCTAAGGTGGCTCGGATGGGTACCTAGGAGGTACCTGAATTATATACCTCCCGCCCTCCCGCATTTGGGCACACGTATGCCTGAGGTTACAGACTAGGTTCATTCAATATTACCTCATCACATAGCCCAATCCCGGCCCCAGTCTCTCTCCCATCCTGCTTCCGAGCCGGGTCCATCTCTGACCTGACTTCTAGCACGCCTGGCATGACATTCTGACCTATACCATCACACTGATTCTGTCCCCATCCTCCGGTTTTCCTGCCACGGAATAAGGGAACAAAAGGAGGCGAGACATCCAGAGGCGTCGTTGTCACCATCTACACCCCCAAACCGGCCACTTCCTCCTTCTCCTTCTCTGCCCGTCCAGGCCGAGCCAGCTTGCCAACCGCGATACACAGATACCCGAAGACCGGCCTGCCTTATATACCTCTTCTCCATCGATCTTCCCGCCTGCCTGCTCGTCTGCTTACCTACACTGCCCATCGGAATCCTGATCCGGGATCACTGGCCACGAGGGCATCCAGGCCAGCTAGCAAATAGCATAGGGTCAAGGGCCGAAGCCAAGCGCAGAGAGATCAGGTAGCCGGTCGGCTCCGTTCCTTGCATACACCCTATCCCTTTCAAGCAACTGGATCGTCTGGTCTACCGCACGCTCGCACACCCGCACTCCGTATCGACGCTCACGCTCCGATTCACCAACTTGAGAAGCCATCCGCCTGACAGATGGCCGCTAGGCCCACACCGCCACCTAGTGCTATCGACGACATGCGTTGCTAGCGCTGCCATTCATAGGCACTCTGCTCCTCTGATTGAACCACGCCGATCCGGTGCGTGTGCATATGCTGCCGTCTGCTCTCGGGCATCTGTCGATTTCATTCTGGTGGTCTGACAGCAAAGACCACCCACGACGAGACACCATACCGCACTCAACTACACAACACGATCACGAGCCTACCCTCCCGTGGACAGCTTTCCGCGGCGGCGACGGCAACGAAGACAAAGAAGCGCTAGACAGAATTCGAACAACAGACGGGGCGCCGGACGGTTGTTCTCTAGTCCTGGCCATATTTTCGTCGGGACTACGGTAGGAAATCACTGAGGAGGACCCTCGGTACCGTCCTGAAGATGGGGAATACGCATACGAAGGAGGCTGGGGGTGGTCGCCGTACGTCACACCTGGACCCCAACGGGAGTTCCTCGGGCGCCGGCTATCACGGAGACCCATCCGATCGGTTGAGACGTGCTAGCCGGCCCGACCTGGGTGGCCTGGGGCTGCCGTTCGGCACGTCGTCTAGCTCACGGCACCAGGACGTCCCCTTTGAGCACCGGGAAACAAGGCAGGAGAAGGAAGCCCGGAGGCTCGAGAGGGAACGAGTAGCACGGGCCAAGGAGCGTGAGCGCAGCATGAGAGAGGAACACGCGGATGGCGGCTATCTTGTGACGATGGGCGTATACACTGCATCCGAGGACTTTAGCAAGCCGGTGGTTCGCCAATTGCAGGTGAGTCGCCTAGTATCATTTTGAAATCCCTGTACTTGAGGCTAATCCCCGGTAGCTCGAGCGGAAACTGGCACCGTTTTGGCGCGGCCTGGATGATTTCGACCAAAACTGGGCCGAGCATCAGATCGTCGCAGCCGCCCGTGGCCTCGACATCCCCCCGGCCGACGAGGTTCCCGAGAATCTAATGCCTCAACCGAGACCGGCCGAATCGCCAGGTGCTTCGATGCCGAACCTCACCGTCCCGATAGGCCCCAGAACACTTTCCTCTGACAGGACTGGTTCGATCCCTGGCTCGGTCTTACCCTCTCCTATCTCGCCCGTCTCGCCGAGGGCCAGTTCGCCTTTCAAACCGCACAAATCCCTCGCAGCGGCTCTGAATCTGTCCCGGAACGGGTCTCACACGGATATCACGCCGCGCGAGATTAGTCTTCCGTATGACCCCTATGTCAACGGTCAGCCACTCGAGGTTTTCCTTTACAAGGAGGGACTAGAATGCCCTCTCTGCCTTATGTACTACCCGCCGTACCTAAACCGTACCCGCTGTTGCTGCCAGATCATCTGTAGCGAATGTTTTGTGCAGATCAAACGCCCGGATCCCCATCTTCCCGAACATCATGGTGACGACGAGGGGTCTCACGCCCAAGCCGGCACAGAAGAGCATGAGGGTGAACTCATCACAGAAGCAGCCAAATGCCCCTATTGCACGCAGACCGAGTTCGGCGTCACGTACGACCCTCCCCCTTTCCGTCGTGGTCTGACGTATGCATTTAACTCTGTTCCCCTGGGAGCTATGAGCACCGCCATGTCATCATCAAGCTCTCTCAGCTCGAACCTCTCTCCGGCCTCGCCCGCGGCCCAGAACGCTACCCGTCGACGGACACAGAGCGTGTCTGCAAACGCGCCAGGAGTCATCACCACCGACCGCATCCGCCCGGACTGGTTTACCAAACTGACCGCTGCACGTGCGCAACAGCGGCGGAGAGCAGCAGCTGCCGATGCTCTGCACCATGCGGCATTTGTGATAGGCAACCAAGAATCCCGCACATTTTTCGGCCGGTCATCCCGGTTCGGCCGTAGGAATGTGGGTGGGAGCCGCGCCGCTGAGAGCCCCAGTAGCACGTCTAACCTCCAACCGAACGATGGAGCTGATGACCCTCCAGTTCCCGATGCGGGCCTTACCACGTCAGGCCGAGCCGGCCCAGGCCGCGAACGGTTAGACGCCGCGCAGCTCGAGAACTTGATGATGGCGGAAGCGATACGATTGAGTCTGGCTGACGAGGAGGAGCGACGTAAGAAGGCAGAAAAGGAAGCTCGTAAAGATGCCAAAAAACGAGAGAAGGAAGACCGTAAGGCTGCCAAGAGGAAAGGTGAGGTTTATGGCGGCAGCAGCGGCAGCGCCAGCGCCAGTTCTCTCACCCTAGGGCTGGGGCGCAGACGAGATAACAGTGCCGCCAGCAACTTGCGCCTGGAACCGAGTATCGCTGAGGCCAGCCGTACCTCAGCTACCCAAGAGGGGAGTGCATCCCAATCCGCTGCCGTACTTGCGCCCGTTTCCCCGGCGGTAGCATCAAATGACAAGGGGAAGGCGATCGATCGCAGGAAGGCCGAGGACGTCTTGACGTGCGGACCTAGCGTCTCGCCCCTACCGATACCTGCAGCATCGCAGCCCTCGCGGGGATCGTCTCATCTCCGCCAGATGAGCAATGCTAGCTCAGTTAGCTCCAGCGGACTCGACACCGCGCATGGTAGTTACAGCGGGAGAGGATCGGGTGCTCCAGTCGAGGATCAACGGTCGAGTGGTCCTAGTTTCGGCAGTCGCAACGACGAGGGCGGCGATAATTCGAACTCGGAGCCAATGCTCAACTTTAGGAGTCTGGCGGAGATGGTCGGTGTTCCGATAGATGGCGAAGCCCAGCCACACAACGGTGACGATCTAAGCCCCACCATCAAAGGCGCGGACGTCGATGAGGCCCAGGGGGGACATATACAACAAGCCCAAAGCCTAGCTGCCTTGGGCAACGCACGCGAAGAGAACGAGACTCCGCCAAAAATCGAGACCCGCGGATACGTCCAGGGCTCGGAAGAGAGGAGAGAAGACGGCACTTCGCTTCCCCATCTCATAGTAACGCCCGACACCCCCGGGACGGCGGGGGGTGACGAGTATTTCAAGCAACTCGGGCATGTCAATGCCACAGAGCGCCCGCACGAGGTCACCCAATAAACAATGAAATCTCTCTCTCAACCCCACCCAGACTATATTTCCTTACGCACCTTACCCGTTCCCTGTCCGAAGGCTAACTGTAGGTCTGGCCATTATGGATATTTGGGTCGAAGAAGGGTAGTCGTTATTCTTTCCACCCGCCCGGAGTTGGGAGTTCTATAAATAGGGTTATACTCGGCACCCAATGGCCGTTTAGGGGGGGAGGGAAGGGGGGGAAAGGAGGGCAATTTTCTCGGCTGAACTAAAGAAACGATAAGGTGCACCGGAGGGTCTCGGGGGTTGAAACTTTCTTTTTGCATTCATCAATGCTCGGTTCGATGAATGCTCGGTTCGGGAATCATCTAGTGTATTCGGCGATATTGGCCGGGAAGAGTGGAGAAGAAGAATCAATCTCATCACAATGCAAGGTAAAGAGAGAAGGATTTTCAGATCTTTCAGCGCGCAGTGCGGCCCCCTTCCCTAGATAATCTCAAAGCCTTGCGATTTGTGATCGTGGTGGATTAGGGGAAAAAGCAAATTCTAAGCTCCTTAACCCTAGGGGAACTCGTATAAAACGAAAGGGAGGAGGGTATTATATACGGGACTGCAGCTCATGAATGCGACAGCAGAGGTGATGAGGAAAGGTTTCTTATATTTGCCTGTGGTGCAGTGTCGGGCCTTTCCTACGAAGCACGCTTTTAGGCTCGTCTATCTTGTACAGCTCCACGAAACATGAATATTGATAAATTGGCACATTTAAAACAAACGACTTCAAGCAGCCAACTCCGGCAGCTCTTCAACTCTGAAGCGCACGGGATGCTGCTTGGATGAGTATTTGATAAGGATACCGTCATCGGGGGTGGCGCCGACGTCTGCGGGTTTTCTCCCGTTGATAAAGCCGGGCTCGGGACTGTCCCAGCTGTAGTCCTTCCAGCTCCCTAGGACGGACCACATCTGCTCTACGAGCCCCTGGACCTTTCGGCGGCGGTCCAAGCTCCACTGCCTCCGCATCGCCTGGCCCTGATCTGATGTCTCGGGTGCTAGGCCCTCTGTCACACTTTGGAAGACGCGGCACGTCTCCTCTAGTTCGGCTACACTCGAGATGCCCATCACACTCACGCCCACCTGGCCTGCGGCTGGGAGGGTTGGAATACAACTGCCTCTCGGCGCACCAACCCGCGACCAGTTGTCCAGCGCCCACCGGATAGCGACAGCCTCGAGCTTTTCGCCCGCGGCGGTCGCCAAAGGTACCAGATTTTGACACGCCTTCCTCAAAGCCTCGGGGCTGGGATGCCACTTGGCCAACGGGCCCGCGTCGGCGCCTCTTGTGGTCAGCAAGCCCATACCCAACATGCTGGCGTTCAACACGACGTCGACGCCGGCCTGTTCGAATCTCGCCATGGCCGACGCGCCTAGGGTCGTGTTCTGGATGGTATAGTGACCGTAGCTCAGCACGGCGTCGAGGGGCTCACCCGTTTCCTGGTGGATCATCTCCGCAAGCGAGCACAGCTTCTCGACGGGGTACCCGCTGATGCCTACGTACCGGATCACACCCTCGCCGCACAGCCGGCGAAGCTCTAGTACCGCGGCCAAGACTTCCGGCGGCGACATAAACTCGACGTCGTGCATGTACACTAGGTCGAGATAGGAGGTATGCAGCCGCTCCAGACTTCGGTACACCGAGTATCGAACCCAGGCTGGGCTGTAATCGAACGTGTCGCCGGCGATGCGGCCCGCCTTAGTTACGAGGAAGTACGAGGGTCGCGGGTGCTTGGCGGTGATGGAGGGGTGCGAAAGCGCGCCGCCGAGGATCAGCTCGGACGGACCGTAGTAAGGTGAGGTGTCAAAGGCCTTGACCCCAAGGTCGAGCGCGCGCGACACGATAGACAGGGCGGGGAGATCGAACGGGTTGGGGACATATTGGGTATTGAACGTGGCCGTGCCGAAGACGAGAGGAGGGATAGATTCACGGAGCGGGCGCCGCATCGGCCCCGCGTCCTGAAGGAGAGAGCCCATATGTGGCGATGTTCGCCCGGGAGGGAAGGCGGGCCGACCGGATGACAACGACCTTGAGGGAGTTCTCTCTCTCTCTCTCTCTCTCTCTCTCTCTCTAAACAGCAGAGATGGTGAGTGAGTGAGTCTGGAGAAGAGCTGGTCTCTGCCACAACTTGGTGTCGCGGGCGCGGGCGCGGGCGCGGGCGCGAGAATCAAGAGAAGAACATGGTGGGAGTCAGAGGGGTGTTTCTTCTCAGGGTCCTGATAAGCGATAGATGCCCATGAGAAGTGGACCGATCGTGAAGGTGCGTATTTATAGAAGGTAGATCGATCTACCTACATTGGGTACCTGATAGGCACGCTTCTTGTAAGTACTCTCATGTACCTCCCTCCGTGGGCTCCGCGCTGTACCTGAGGTACCTCTACCTATACCAAGATGGGTGCGAGGTAGAGCGTCGTCTTCTAGACCTTATGAAGGGGCACCTTAGGGCCCAGAGGTACCTATCTTAACACCTCCAACGTTAGGTACCTACAGGTATAGGGAGGTACCTAAGGAAGTCGGTAGCACGCCATCCCGTGAACATCTTGCCTGATCCGATCGCTTGAGCTCAATACATTGGCTCGCCTGTAAGGAGGGACCTAAACTCCATGTTAAGGTCCCCTGCCTCAGGTACCCTCGGTACCTGGTGAGCACTGACATAGGTACCTTGTATCTGGATACTTTAGGTACTTACCCGGGCAGTTGGGGAGGACCAGCGGTACTTACCGAGACCTAAAGCCGGAACGCAGAGGAATTATGCACCTAACCATATCCGTCAACCGTCTGACAATCTCGATACTAGCCCTCCTCTTATCAACTTCCCTCGCATCGACTTCTTTCTTCGGGCGTCAACCTGATGCCGATTCGCACGAACGTCTCCCGACCGGATAATCTGAAAGCACGTTCACGCTTGCCGGTCTCCCGCCCTACCTTTGACCGACGCCTGGATTGGCACCCTGCCGATGCTGTCGTGAGGTCATGAAGACTAGGAGGAAGCCAGGTCAAATTACCAGTCCGGGCGGGTTTGGCGATTTGTAGGTAATTTGCCTATCTCCTCGTAGGCATGTCTCGCTACCCCCCCCCCCCCCCCCGGAATGGCCATTACTGCTGCGCTCCTCCATTCTGACGCCACCGGCTTCCGGGGCACAGCACCTATGAGCGACTGGCATGGCATCGCCCGAGACATATCTCCCGGTCGATCATGAGCAATACTTATGCGGGAGCGCGTATAGTAATGCGCCGCCCGAAATTCGCGACCGAGGCTTCGAGGAGGTGATCGGTGAGAGGTGGTTGTGATTCTCAGTCAGATACGACTAGATAAACGGTTGGAGACGCCGGTAGGTCCCCAGAAGTTACGTGGCAGCTGACGAGCTTAGGCGAGCTGTTATTATACTAAAAGGTGCATCTCAAGGCCCAAGGGAAATTGCTCGTCGTCGTCATCCTACACAGTAGGCCACATCATCGGTGATGCTCCTTTCCTGCATGGACATACCCGTACCCCTGGGTTCGTCGGCGACTAGTGTGCGGCAGACAAACGAGCCAGGAGGCACGAATGTCTTATATAATACAGCAGAACGACGAGCCGAAGCAAAGCAGCCACCGGAATTGAGGCATTCGGGTTATCTCACACCAGAATGGCAAACATGGGATCCTGTCGGTCTGTCGGGCCTCTGGTACACGTTTCCGGCCGCGAGATTAGCCTGAATATTCTCTCTCGACCTCTTCGCTCCGCGAGAAATTCTGGGAATGAACCGCCTGCCGAGGCTGGCACGATCTTCCCCCGGCTGTCGAATCGGGGCCCTGACAACAGCCCGTCGTCGAGAATCATTTGCCATTCCCCTCGGATCCCCACATGGGAATCAACTCGTAAACCTAGCCTGCTCTAAGCCAGCATTTATCCTTCCAATCACGTCCGAGGCAATACTAATTCGGCCTGCCCAGGGCGCTCGAGTTGGCATGCGCCGACACCTCTTGGTCTTATCCTGCTGCTACCTAGACGCGTGCTACTATAAGAGGGTGGTCACGCCTTTCCCTGGCCTGGGATCGTCGCGATTCCGAGTCACCACTCGGAGTGGCCGGCTCCATTCCTAAATGTTGACCTATCTCTGTGAGAGGGCTCTGGGGCCTGCGGTACACAGTATGACCTATACTCCCATGTCCGGGAGGCGTGCGCTTGGCCACACAGATTATCCTAGCCCGTCTACTTCAGCCGCGTTAGTGCCTGTGTGTCTGTAAGCGACACTTCGGGTCGTTCGTGATGAAGGGGTCCTGGATCGTCAACGAGATGAAGGGCACTATGCGCGATGGCTCGATTTATCCTCCCCCCCTCTGAGGCGGTCATATTGCCACACACGCATCCGCCGCTGCGGAGTGATATCTCTAAATTACCGTATTATTTCTGTCGATGTCACCTCTTGACATGCGATCGTGGAGGGTGGTGTCCGATGTTCGATGGTATAAATCAAGCAAACCGTCCTCTCTCTCATCCCCTCGGACACCGAACATGTCTTGCTAGTTACTGTCTCAGCTGTACCAGGGAAGTATAATCATGAAGTGGTCTGTGATCGCTGCCGGCATTGCTGGCCTGGCTAGCCCTGGTGAGTAGTGCCGCGTAACTAAGCTGTGGTTCGGATGCGAGGGGGGAGGCTTACCGCAGCATAGTCCTCGCCCAGCTAGACTCCACTCCCTTTGTCGACGCCGACACTGGTATAACCTTCCAATCCTACACCAGCGCGGAGGGTATCACCTACCGATTAGCACTTCCAGAGAATGCTACGGATGAGGCCGGGTACGATGTGATCCTTCAGGTTGTGGCACCGGTGGAACTGGGATGGGCCGGCTGGGCTTGGGGCGGCGCAATGGTCTACAATCCGTTAACCATCGTGTGGCACGACGGGAACACGGTCCACCACTCTCCGCGGCAGGCCACGTGAGTGATGTTGCTTTGCATGGATCCGCGAGGGCGTTCGATTTTGGCTGACCAGACACAGCGGATACTACGTTCCGGCTGTCTACCCGGATTCCCAGTACACGGTTCTTGACGGAACCGGCGTCAACGAGACGCACTTCAAGTTCACCGCGCTTTGTGCGGGCTGCGCCAGCTGGGCCGATTTCGAAGGGAACCCGTTCATCCTGAACGGCGCTGGCGACACCAACTTCGCCTACGCGTACTCGATGTCGCCTGTCGAAGAGCCCACGAACCCGGAGACGGGTTTCAGCATTCACGACCACGTCGGCCGATGGATTCACGACCTGGCCGGCGCGCGATCGGACAAGTTCGCGGAATGGATAGCCACGAACACGCCTGAGTAGGTGTATCTATGACGGCTAGCTGTCCAACGTGGCAACTCGGACTTCTAATCAGAGCAGTACGGAACTATAATACTCGAGGCATTCGTTATCATGGCACGGTTTAGAAGGCGCCCGTAGCCTGGGAGAAGGAGGGTACGGAATGTGAGGACAGGTGATGGATAAGACGTGGGTATTATGGGTAGAGCAAGTGAAGATGAAATACAGTACCTACCTCGGCTCGGGTACCCATTGATAGACGATGTAGGTAGTTATACAATGCGCACACGTGTAAGTGTATGATGGCTCTATTGCCTGCCTGCCCGTTACCTATGTACCTACCTTCCTGGTACTCATACAGGTCATTAGCAGTAATCCTCACCTCGGAGATCAATGGGTTATTTAAAGGAGGATAGGTTCGATTCCCAACAGCGCTACTTGGTGGTCTTCGTTATTTGGCTCGTCTCTCGGGAGGTACCTTTAGGCGCGTACCTAGAGTGATTAAATTAGCCGCTATTATGCGCGTGGCGGGTGTATTACTTTCAGGGGACTTGCATATGCGAGGTATCCATGCTGCTAGGCCATTCTAAGTAGGTAGCTTCTTCTCGCCTTACCTCCCTCCCGCTTGCTTCTTAATCTCCTCCTCCTCCTCCGCCTCCTCCGTCGTCTTTGTGTGTCCATCACCGCTGTTTACGCGGTCCTTAACCTTTTCTGGTCCCTATGGCGCCGGCTCGCAGGCTGTCCTCGCCTTCCCGGACGCTCGTTCTCGACAATGGCGCCCACACGATAAAAGCAGGATATGTGATGGGCGAGGCCGTGGATGAGCCTCGCGTGATCCCGAATTGCATCGCGCGCGATCGATACAAGAACATTTACGTCGGGTCCGAGCTCTCCAACTGCACCGATTTCAGCGAGGTCGCATTTCGGCGCCCGATCGAGAAGGGCTTCGTCGTGAATTGGGAGGCCGAGCGGGAGATCTGGCAGCGCGAGTTCTTCGGCGACAAGGCACCGCAGTCGTGCGACCCCTCCGAGACGCGACTGTTGCTTTCCGAAGCCCCCAATTCCCTCCCCACCTTACAGACGAATTGCGATCAGATGGTCTTCGAGGAGTTTGGCTTTGCTAGCTACTATCGCGGCATCGGTATGTCTGTCTCGTGTCCTGCTGGCGCCCGTGGCGGCTCCGACTCTTCGCAGCCGCCCATGGCTTACCCTTGTCGTGCTAGGCCCGTCCTTCAATGCCTACCACGATATTCAGGCCTATTTTCGAACCCTGCGAGATTCTGGAACTGCCCCCCTGCTCCCGGCTGAGATCGTCTTGGTTATCGATTCCGGCTATTCCCACACCACCATCACTCCCGTCCTTCAGGGCAGGCCGATTCACCCTGCTATCCGAAGGCTTGACATCGGGGGGAAATTCCTGACCAATTATCTGACACGGTTACTTTCGCTCCGCCATTACGATATGCGCAACGAGACTTACATCGTGAACGAGATGAAGGAGGCCGTATGCTACACCTCTCTCGACTTCCAGGGCGATCTTGAACGTACGTGGAAAGGTACGAGAGGCGAGCGGCGGCAACCTTACCTCGATGGTGGAGGTATAGCCAAGGATTACGTCCTCCCCGATTTTCACTCGAGGACCAAAGGTGTTGTGCGCGAATTCGACCCCCTGCAGGCCTCGAGAGCAAAGAAACTGGCGGCCGTGAGAGCTGGCGAGTCGAGCGAGGACGTCCTGACTCTGAGGAATGAACGGTTCACTGTCCCCGAGCTCCTGTTCCATCCTTCTGATATTGGCATGCGCCAACCGGGTATTGCAGATCTCGTCATGCAATCTCTGCGCGTGTTGCCTGTCGGGTTGTGGCCCGGCCTCCTCTCTAACATTATCGTCGTAGGTGGCAACTCTTTGTTCCAGGGGTTTGTTGAGCGGTTGCGGAAAGAAATCGTTCAGCTTGCGCCCGACGAGTGCCTCGTTCGAGTTGGCCGTCCCGCAGACCCGTTGACGAGCACCTGGTTAGGCGGTGCTAACCTAGCTCGACACGAACATATCAACCTCCTCTCAGTCACGAAACAGGATTACGAAGAATACGGCGCGCCGTGGGTTGCCCGCAAGTTTTCCACCAGTTTGGGGACGTGATACTTTACGTAGTCGTGAATCACGACAGTGTCGTTCTTCGCGCATACGCGTCCCAACCGCGGAACGCCCGGCTCGTAGTCCTCTGCAACATACGGTGAAACTAAAACCACATCTGTTCCGAGCCCGCGCAACTGTTGGAGCTCCTGGACCTCGTAGGATCATGCGCCCCACACATTTCGAGCATCAGGTATACGTCTCCGATAGCGTTCAACGACCTTACGTTTAGTAGTGCAGCTATACTAACTGGCAAGTTAAGGCGCTCTTTTATTGCGCAGCAATCAGAGCTCTCGACGCAGCAATACTTCGCAGCTGTTATATCTTGTTGGATCAACTGAGACAATAGGCTATATTATTTGCTCATTTGTCGTCGACATCTTCATATTACCTGCTGTGTAGGCGAGACTGGGAATTCTAGCGGACGGTTGAGCCTGAGGAAGAGTAGGGTACTTGCCCCCATGTAGTTTGGCATCTATCCTAGGTTGAAGGGTCCCGTCAACGAGCTTGAACATGAATGTAGCAGCTACATTATACAGAGTCCTACACGCATATCCAAACTACGATATATGACGAGGGGCAATATCAAAGCGCGTGACGCAATGCTATGACACGCGAAACGCGGCCTACTATAATGTGTAGTTGGACAGACTCCCGGAGCTTACGCGTGAAAAGTGTGCGTATTTATCGTATTGGGGCTGGGTATCATCTTCGGGCCTACCGAAGCGTGCAACAACTGCGAGAGTGCGCCTTGTTGAACTCCAGATCCCGCTGTAGCAAATTCCCGATTTCCCTTCGAATCCGTACCGAGCCTATAGCAATCAAAAGAAACTGAGTAGAGGTGACCTGGACGCCCCCAAATGACGGCTATATGGTAGGACCAGACGGCGTAACAACGTAACAACGTAGGGCGATCATACCAAAGGCGGAGGGGGGAGAGTGGTGGTGGCGAGGGTTCGCAGATCGTGTCCAAACGTCGGGACCCATCACAGCCGAGGGCTCTCGTCGGGGGTTTTACTTCTGATGTACCCTTCGAAACAGGCGGCCGCGGCGCATCGAGCACCCTGTACAGGTTCTACTTAGCACAGATAAACCACGGAGACGGCTAAGAACCTCTCATACAGTCGCATAATGTGAGCGTGGAGCCTTCGTAATGAATGATGCAGTAACCGCCGCCGCAGGCTCTGCAGAGCTTCTGGGTGCTGGCGATACAATCGAGGCACTGGAGCCGGCGAGTTAGCTGGGAATAGACGGGTGGATAGATCCCGCACGAAGCGAATCGGTTAGGCGACACGTACGTTATGTTCACATTCCCAGCAGCTCCGACTGACGCGGGGTTTCTATGCAGTCAGAACAGTTAGCTGTAGCTTCTCGCTCTGTGAGGAGGACGAATTCGACGACGACGGCGACGACGACAAAACATCACCAGGGGAAGGCATATCCATGCCGGGGGGGGATCTCGCCGCATACAATTACCGAGGATGACCGTAAGCGAGCCGATGCCCGCTCTTGTCACCCTTACATGATGGTGGGCCACGGGGTAGCGCCGTCGTGGCGGGAGGGACCACTTAGGCTGGGAAGGGACTCCGGTTCTCTGAGTGACCCGCGGACCTCAGGTTGCAACTAGGACAGTAACCCATCCGTACCTTGACAGTAGACGGCTTGAGACCTTCCGGAAGATCATCGTATGTCTGGTCGGGGATGTGGATATGCTGCGCGGTTAATTCCTGTAGGCTGGGTACCTGATAGCACGCCTCGCACCACCACTGGTCGCAACTGAAACAGTACCGCTCGCGGATGCACTCGAGGCACCTCGGGATGAACTTTGGGTCCGATCCGCCCGTCTCGGGCCCGACGCCGGACTTCGGGCAAGTGGCCGCCTTGACGGTGGAAGAGTGGAGAGGAACAGGGGCCAGCAGCGGCAGTTGCTCTCCGGGCGACTCTCCGTACACGGTAAAGCCCTCGGGAGCCGACCCGCAGGACGCGCACCCGCCCAGGGCGAAGGTGGCAACGCTCCACGGACTCTCGACACCGGGCGCCGCCGTACCGGACAACCCGGGCGACGGAAGTGTGCCGAATGCGGGAGAATTCTGGTGACGGGGGCCGGTGCAGAGCACCGCGTCGAACCGGATTACCTCGCGGCAGTCGAGGAGCGTCTCGGCCCACCCGTCGGAGATGTGTCTCCCGAGAATGCGGCCCTTCTTGTGGTACCAATCGTCGCCCTCACTCCGGATGGACTCCTCGAGTGCGTGCTGGGACTTGAGGTTCCAGCCGGCGCTGATGTTGGCACCCCGGCGGGCGGGTTCCGGCGGCGGCGGCTTCGCCGTCGACGAGGGGGGGAGCGCCGGCGCGTCCCTGGTGCCGAAAACGTACAGCCCCTTCAGCCGCGGGGTGTCGTCCGGGCGGGTCGATCGGCACACGTAGCGCAGAGACTGCATGAGCTTGCGTTCGTTGAGATTTTTGGCGTCGCGGATGGACAGGATGCGCACGCGCATGGCGGGGTCGACGAGGATGTCGTTGCAGAACTCGGCCGTGACGGAGAGGCCGTCGAGCACGAGGGTCTGCACATGCTGGAGGATGTCACGCTTACGGATGCTCTGGAAGATGCCGCGCAGCGGTCCCGAGTAGAAGTCGTCCTCGGTCAGGTTCTCGTCAACTTGGACATTACGCCATACCTCGCCGCCGCGGTCGATGTTGTGGGTGTCAAACTGGGCGGTTCGGAGGCGGGTCAAATCGAGATGTCGGAAGACGCCGGGGGTGCGCCGTAGCAGGAGGTCGCGGAAGGACGGCGAGGTGGCGGCGAGGTTGAGGAGGCTCGAGATGGGTAGGTAGGGGATGGTCTGGTGAAGGACGAGGGTGTTGGCGAGTAGGCTGAGTAGGTCGAGAGTGTCGGAGCCGGATACGGTGCGCGCGTGCTGCTTCTCCTGGACGTCTCTAGATGCCATTACATGTGAAGAGAAGACAGGCCAGCTGCTAGCGAGAAGTGATGCGAGTCAGACCTGTTCAGAGTCCGGGATATATATCTCCAGGTTAGTAGACGGGTAGGTAGGTAAGTCTGTAGGTGTCGAGCAGCCTCATGGACAAGTTGGTTGTGGGGTAGAGGGATACTTTGGTCTTAAGTACATAACATCCTGGCCTGACCTCAGCTTGGGTACTGCTACTTTGGGTAGGAACCACACTAACGGCGCTCTCATGTACGGGAGGTACCTCCCGGGTGCTTACTCGCTACAAAGGTACTTGAGGCAAATGAAGGATCTTACATGGTGCTTATTGGAGGAACATGCATATACCTACCGTATTGATCTAGGAGGTGGGTATCGGATTATGACGAATGTAAGGGGATGGACCCGCGAGGTACCTAGGTACCTAGAGCAATTAGGTGCAGATACCTACCAGATAAGTACCTTGGGTGCCTATAGGTTATCTGAGGCGGGGTTTCAAATATGCACATACATGCATATGCGTAAAAGCCCCCCACACATGCATATTAGGGTGTACCTGTTATCGGAGGTTCTAGGTATTGGTTCGGAGCCGGCTCGGCCACTAACTGTAGCAGCCGCCCGCCTCTATATTCATCTGTATATGTGGGGACCTGGCGAGGGCATGTATGGAGACACGCATGTGTTAGGCATGTAGCCCGTACTGGGCGCTATACCATCTCAAGTCCTTTATAGGTTCGCTCTGTATGCCTTCTACTACGGACGGGGGTAGCTGTAAAAGCATGCTGCCTACACCTACCTAGGTATTCCCACCGGAAGTTCCGACTCGCCGTGACTCTGGGGCTCTCGCGACTCTTTGACCCAGCCAGCTTACAGTATAAAGCCTTGGCTAACTGACAGCTCACTCCCCCTGCCTCCCCTGCCGTTCTTCAGCTCCGCCACCTTCCGCACCGCAAGCCCAGCGCCCGCGCCGGGTAGAACCTCGACCACCCTCAGGCCAGTTGGCGGATCGAGAGACATGAACTTGCTTCTCGATTTGCTCTCCGCCGTTTCGACGCTACAGACCTGCTTATGCACCTTCCCGTCCGCCTTACAGCGCTCTACGGGTTAACAAAGTGGCCTCTCTATCCGAGGTGGGCCGGCCAGGGAGAGGTCGGGCCGGCGAGCCTCCCGCAATGCTTCCGGTCCGATCCTCGGTACGGCACATGAAACCTCGCATCCACCGAATGCCGACGGGACGATAGCTTGGAGACGCGCACGTTATAATACACCTAGGCCGGCCTGATTGATAGGCACCTGTTCACTATGCATCTCTGCTAGACACCCTCTCCGAGATACGTCCTGAGGGGCTACTTACCTAGATCCTAGAGTAATCCGCACGTAGGAGAGTTATCCACAGACGAGAAGGGTAAATTACGCACGAACTCTGGACATCGCTGACCCGGAAGCAAAATTGAGAAGACATCTTGCTACTTATATAACGCGTCAGTAGTACTCTCGAGGCGAACCAGGAGCCAGAAAGCAACAGCCTCAACGCGTACAGACGAGGATGAACCGACGATCAGATTTCCTCTGGATACTCGTTTCTTAAAACAGGAGCTTCTTACGGGGGCTGGCAGGTAGATTGTAATAACGATGCTGAACCCTGAATCCAGGAACCAGAAAAGGACCTAGGATGGGAATACGTGTAAAAAAGAGGGCTTCGAAGCCGAGGCCGCTCCATGGTACTCCCTTAACGTCCATAGAAGCACCTAAGGCGGGTACATTCATGCCTCCTGTCTTAAGTACCTTCACCCTAGCTGTGTAGGTACAAGAGCCATACTTCCGAGCTTATAATGTGTACATTATCTAATCCTCCCGCCCCCCTGGGCACCGGGGCGGCGCCCAAGTAACCTCGTATTCTAGGTCTGTTTACTATAAGTATTGACCATGTATCTCCCGCTTGTCCCCATTGGGGTAGCGCGAGAGCTGCGTCATGGAACATGACGGAAATGGCTGACTGATTTTCATCATGCTCCCGAGGAAAGCCGGGACGTGATTAATTCATCGCGGCCACCGCGATAAATTCCTCCCCACTGCTTCATTTCTCATCCACCTTTGCCTGGCTTGCCCTCGGTCCCATACTGCTCGTGCGCGCGCGCGAGCAGGCCTGTCTGTCCGTCCGTCTGTCCGTCTGTCTATGCACATACTCTACAAACCCTGCCCTATTTTTTTGGTTTCTATCTTCCTCTTCCCAGGGGATGCCATCCCTAAATAACCTTCTACTTAATCGCAACCCCTTCAAAAGGCGACGCTCTAGTCCGACAACCCGCCCGACCCTCCCAATACCTCTCACCTTACACCTACGTCGCCCACCAGTATAGTAACCATGGCTGAACAACCCTCGATAAAGTGGTCGGTCACCCTCGACGCCAGGAAGGCAACCCGAGACCTTAACGGCGATAAGATCATCCTCCCCCAGTCAGCTCTAGAGCAGTTGCTCTCGGCCGCAAGCTCTGCTCCCGTCCCTGCCCAGGCCTCGGCCTCCACTCCCCTACGACACTCGTATCCGTCGACGTCTGCCCGCCCTCCCTACGCGTCCGATAACCACAATTCGCACCAACAGCTTCCCAGCCCTCTTATGTTCCGCCTCGTGAACTCGGCGAGCGGCAACGCTGTTCATGCTGGAATCCGTGAGTTTTCGGCGCAAGAAGGCGAGGTGCTGCTCAGCCCGTATCTCATGGAGGCCCTGGGGATCAATTCGGACGGCAGCGACGGGGATGGCAACAATTCTGATGCTGCCGAGGCAGCAGCTCGCATCACCGTACATGCGGAGCATCTGCCCAAAGGCACGTATGTCTGCTTGCGACCGCTCGAGGCTGGATACAATCCCGATGATTGGAAGTCTCTGCTGGAGAGGCAGCTCCGGGAGAACTTCACTACGCTCACGAACGGCGCTATCTTGTCAGTGCAGGGGGCGAGGCGAGAGGTGTTTCGCCTTCTTATCGATGGATTTCGGCCCGAAGGGAACGGCATCTGCGTGGTTAACACCGACCTGGAGGTTGACATTGAACCCTTGGACGAGGCACAGGCCAGGGAAACGCTGAGGCAGATCACAGCCAAGCAGACGAGGGCGCCGGGGAGTGCCGGCGGCAGCTCTGTCGGGCAAGAACTGACTATCTGGAAAGTGGTCGACGGGCAAGTCCTCCCCGGCGATTATGTAGATTACGAATTACCGTCGTGGGCTCGGTCGAGGGTGCTGGAAATCGAGATTAGCGAGCTGCGGGACGAGTATGGTGTAGACCTCTTCATGAGCCCGAAATCCTCTCGGCAGAGGGTGCCGCCCCGCGAGTCGGAGCACGTCTTTGGTGCTTTCAGCTACGCCGAGGACGGCAGCAAGCGGATAACCATCCAGCCTAGCAACCCCGGGCTCGAGAATGCCGAGAGCTTGCTGATATCCATCCACGGGTATCCCGGCTCGCCGGACGCTACCAACCCCCGCCCGTTTCGCCTTAGAGTTAGGAATGCCAAGACGGTAGAGACGGCCGCGGCACCGAACCCCGCTGATCCAGACGCCCAAGAGCGGTTACCGGATGAAGAGCAGTGCAAGAATTGTCTACAATGGGTCCCCAAGCGCACCATGATGTTGCACGAGAACTTCTGTCTTCGGAACAACGTAGTGTGTCCCCAGTGTCAATCGGTTTTCCAAAAGACATCGGCCGAGTGGAAGGAGCATTGGCACTGCCCTAACGACGACGCTCACGGCTCCTCGCCGGCCACGAAAGCGAAGCACGATCGCCTCTTTCACGCCGAACAGCCGTGCCCGTCCTGTCCCTTCACCGCCAAGTCGATGCCAGACCTCGCCCTCCATCGCACCACCCTGTGTCCCGCCAAGATCATCCTGTGCCAGTTTTGCCATCTGGAGGTATGTCAAGAAGGCGACCCGTTCAACCCGTCCACGGAGACGCTGCACACGGGCCTCACGGAACATGAGCTTATCGACGGGGCGAGGACTACGGACTGCCACCTGTGCTCCAAGATCGTCCGGCTCCGCGAGATGTCGGCCCATCTAAAATATCACGAGCTGGAGAAGGCGCAGCGACCGAAGCCGCCCGCGTGCCGGAATGCTAATTGCGGCCGTACTCTGTACGGCGTGGGCCGAAACGGGACGGTGAATTCTAGCGCCCGTCAGGGTCAAGGCCTAGGAAATGACATCGGGTTGTGCTCGCTATGCTTCTCGCCCTTATACGTGAGCCTGTACGATCCCGAGGGCAAGGCGCTGAAGCGGCGGATCGAGCGGCGATACCTGACGCAGCTCATGCAGGGATGTGGCAAGAGGTGGTGCGTCAACGAATGGTGCAAGACGGGACGAGCGAATCTCAAGCTCGAGGCCAAGCCGTCGACGGCGCAGCTTGCCTTACCCCATATCAAGCCCCTGATGGAGTCGATCCGAGACAAGCACGCAGCTTTCTACTTCTGTGTCGACGAGGTGAACCAGCGGAGGAGGAAGCTGGCGGAGGCGATGGCGGCCGAGGAAGATTGGGATCTGGAGTGGTGCATAGCAGCATGTGAGGCGGAGGGCCCCGATCTAGATATGGCGCGAGGCTGGTTGATCAACTGGGCCCCTTCGAAGGAGTAGTAAAGAGCAACGAGACGAGTTACGGATGGCGGAATAGACGGCGTTAGTACATATTTCACACGATGATACCCAGATGCGAGCATGACCGGGAGTAAAGGGAAATCAGACAGATCTTTCTCGCCAAGGGGTGTGTAAATTCTTCGTGCTGTCGGACAATCTCTGCTAGGTAATAAGTGTGACATATCATGACCAGCGCCGCGACCCCCGGGGACAGCTAACGACAGCTATGACCCCTGTCCAACCTTTCCATCTCAACACGCCCTAACGCGCCCTCTCTATCCGGCGGGATCCCCGGCGGGGTGCCTGGCGAGGCTCTTGCGCCTAGTGGCTCTGCGGATTACAACATGAGTACGGCAGCGGAAGGGTGATCAGGGGTGTGACCCAGTAACTTACGCAGCAGGAGCACGAGTTGCTGCAACGTCTAGTGTCAGCGATGGTTCCGTGGGCTTCCAAGACGTGTAGGAGGGTAAGGGTAGCGGATGCAGGGGGGGAACAGGGGGACCGATGGGGATTTAGGAGTTCGGCGGCAGCTTACCAGTCGCTGCAAGAGCAGGTGGCACAACCACAGGTAGCGGGCTCCATTGTGTTGGCGTTTAAGGGGGGGGGAGGGTTGTTGGATCGATAGTATTTGGTGTGTAGCTGGGGGGTTGAGAGTGTTACTTCGCAGACTTATTGCATGAAGTCGGTGGTGTCGAGCGGGCTCCGGGCTGTCGAGAAAACGAGGAGCTTGATGGCCTTAAATACCTGTCCGAGCCACTAGTCAAGTCGTGACGAATCCTGCCCCCCGGGACACTGTCCCCCCATCTTCACCCTCATCCGATCGCCTGCCTACGCACGCCCCCTCCCCCCTTGCTGACCCTGGATGGATGAGTGGGTGGGTGGGCCGGTGTGTAGGCGCTCTACGTGGCCTGCACGACCTATCATGGCATGCTAGGCGGCCATTCATATCGTGATGCCCAGTGGGATATCCGGAGCTTGGTCCGCGAAAGGATACGAGCGGGGAGGTGAAAGGGAGGGGGGGGAGCGAGAAGGAAAGGGGGGCAAAGGGAGGGAGGGTGGCACATACATGGCACCGGATGTGTTACCCAAGCCAGATCTACAATGGAGGTATACTCGTCTTTACCAACACTCTCTTGCGTCTGATACAGCAACCTGGATATGATGAGAGGGGAGGTTGGCCTATCGAGTATGGGAACAAAGAAGGATTGCTGTTCGCCTCTCTACGTGAAAATCCAGGCTGGCAGAAGCATAGCTTTGTGGGCAGCGCCGCGAGCTTTTCTCAGTCTGGAATACGGCCGTGTCCGCGCTTCGTCTGCCCGGGTTAGCTCTCCTATCCGTACCTCGAGTCGGGTCTGCCGCACACGCCACTAGCAACGACCACAACAGCAGCGTGGGACTTACGCGGTGAACTAAGTCGCGGGTGCGTGGCCAGGTGCGGCGTCATTATCACTCGGCTGTCCCCGATCCCTCGCCCCTTCTGGAGACGTACAGGCTTGGCTTGCATGCGATGAACGCCCTCGACACCGGTCACGCTCTCGGGGCTGCTTGGTTGGGATACCTACGCACGCTGGCCTTGGTGGGATCCAGTCCTCGGTGTCGGAATCGGCGGGTAGATCCAACGAACCGGGACCAATGACATGGTTCCCGTCTCGGCTCCCTCCACCGAATGATAGCCAAGGTTAAGTTGTGTGGGTTGCCTTCGTCACCGTGCTATCTCTGTCCGCGTTGTATTGAGAGTCACGAGGGCCGATAACACCCTGATCTCGACGGATAGCGTGTACCTATCTAGCAGGTTCCCGCGCCTGGTACAGGACGGCATGTTCCGCCATGTTCTCTTTAAAAGAGCACTTTTGCTGGGTAGGGTGGGATCCGAGTATGGAAAGCAGAAGAACAACGGCGAGATCCTGGAGGACCTCCAAAACTAGGACTAGGACTACGCGGGATGGCAGCAAGACTCGCACTAACGCTCCAACTCAGAGCCAGCTGAATCCCGTCCAACCAAGTCATAAGACATTATGCTGACCTACCTACCTGCTGGACCAACAGCCTGCCCGCTTGGACCTACGAAAGCCGGGCACGGCCATCCAGGCGGCAAGACGCGGAAATGCGGTGCCACGACGCCCATCCCCCTCCCCCCCTCCCGCGTACAGCCTCTCAGTCTCCTGACGGATTCATTACGTCCCTAGTAAGGTCGGCGGACAGATAAACGTTACCTAGCTAACACCGTGGGGTGATCGAATCTCTACCGTGACCATGGTGCTGGCCTTCTTAGCTAATGCTAACTCGACGGATCCCCTCTCCCGCACGGGGGAGGGGGGGGTTTGGCGGGATTAGGTGGGCTTCTGAGTCTCCTCTAGGGCGCTCTCCTGATCAATTGCCTCAGGTTTGGGAGCTCGTCCCACGCATATGACACATCGATATATCGCCGGCCAGTCGGCGCACAGCGCGGAGGCCTACGCGCGGTGATTTCGGCATCCTCCAACCCGCAACATTAACAGCTTCGGTTTCTCATTGCCCCTTTCGGAATGTTGCAATAGGCAGACTTGGCGTTGTGCTGCATTGATAGATACGCGCTTGGCACCGGGGTGCTCTTCATCAAGACGGCCACCCACCTGTAAGGAACCCGGAGACTTTTGCGCCTAGCTGCTCTTCTCATCATGCTAGAGCTGCCTATGAGTCCATTTTCGGCGAGAATCTTGCTTTCCGCCCCATTTACGATCCTACCGTCGTGAAAGCTCCTACGGACATTGCAGCGTCTGCGATCGGTGACTGAGCATGCATGCGAGTAACTCAGCCCAGCATATTAATAACTACTCCAAGGATGGAACCGGACTTATCGCATGCTTTTGTTTGCAGGGGGCCGAGGAGGGAGGGAGGGGGGGGGGGAGAGATGAAGTGGGGGATCCTCTCTTCCTGCGTATGTGCCCAGGATGGCTCTAAGTTTCTCGGGGGGGGGGGGGGTTTCTTTTCCACCTTAAATTACCTCTGGGCGGGTATAGAACGGTCGTCTTCTTTTTTAACATCATCTAGTCTACTACGTATTATGGCTTGGGTCTTCAATATGTCGATCTTCTGTCTCCTGTCTTAGGCTCAATCTACCCACCTTTACACCTGTTTTAATCGCAAGTTTTCCCTCGCCGTGGAGAGACTTTTGAGTGGAGGCCGTTGAGCTCTCGTCTCCTTAACCGAAACCTGGATTCTATTTCGTCGTTATCCACCTGCGTTTAGTAGCAGTGCAATTCCGATCCCAGCGTTTCGTGATCTTTTCGCCTCTCTATTACGCTGTGTGGTTGCATTACCAACGGCAAATTGGTAAGCTTCACATTTTTGGTTTCTTCTGACCCCCGAGATTCCTCTCAGCGCCCAGTATCAAACATACGTGCCTACTGGTAGCAACAAGCTCGCCTTCTCGAGTTAGAATGACAACATCTAAATCCAATCTGCCGTTCTGGATGGACTTGGCCGTGTTTCTTACGAATAGCCACTCTACCTCGGCCTCTGATAAATCTTTCTTTACGTCGAGGTTGAGAGTGATCGTCGGATACCAGAACACTTGGTCGTGCGGGAACGGGGTCTGCTTGTCACCGGGACCCGGCCGCCACGACTCGACGACGTAAGGAAAGGCGTCGGCGAGATACGCCAAGGACACATTGGTGAAGTTCTCACCGCACACCAGCCGGCACCAAAGGTTCAGAACGCCGCCGGTGGGCTTTTGCCGAGGCACGAATAGATCCATGTTCTCCAGCGCTCGCACGTAGTCGTCCTTGGTGAAACGTTTTGTTCTCAGCTCCCAGTGCTCGTCATCGCCCCGCAACAGCTTCTCGGGGTCCATGGGGCTGGGAGGCGACCTCAACGTCCATCCTGTCGCGAGGGATATCCCTCGCTCGAGACTTATCCGCGTGTTCGTCACGAGTCCGAGGATGGCCTTCCGCGAGCTCGGCGAGACCCACGGCGCCGTGGGTTGGATAGCCCCCTGGTAGAGGGTGACCTGGAGCGTGGAAAGGCCCCGGCCGATCTTGACCTCGTCGACAATGAGGACTGCGAGGCCAGCCTCGGTCTGGTTGAGGTATTGGAAATGCGCCGTGATGGTGTCGGGCTGGCCGCGTGACTGCATGTGCATCGACGCGGCGCGAAGAATACACGATGCGACGTAGCCCCCATTTGGCACTGAATGCGTGGGAGGTAAGCCACGCACGCAGGCGACGACGCTCAGGGGAGGGAAAAGGGGTGGGCAGGAAATGAGATTCCCTTACCTCGGCCGAAGCAATACTCGTCAACCAGCCGCACTGCGTAAGACTTCTCGTCAAGGGCAGTTACCTTGGTCGCCTCGGAAAAGGGAATGATCTGGCGAGACGACATGCTGGCTATCGACAATGCGCGCGTGCGCGTTTGAGTCTTTCTGCAGGCGACGAATCTGGGTTACAGCTGTGAGAGTGAGACTAAACATAAGCCGGAAACCGAACTCGGTCCCCGTCCCCGTCACGATCCGTTTCGACTTGTTGCAACCTTATATAGCACCGGAGTGTGATGAAGCTAGGAAAGGTAATAAAATCGGCTCCCGAGTAGGAGTTCTATGAGAGACTCTTGTCGCTATACGACTCTTTGAAATAACAGAGTTTATCAGCACCTCTCGCAGATTATTGCCCTACTATATCTGTGTGTATTAGATCAACCCTGCGGTGCTTTCTGGATGCCACTTTCTATACGTCACCTTCTGAACCATACTGCGCCCCGGTTACTCTACGCATACTTAGGTGCAGGGAATGCACTTAATTTAGAACTATAACCTCAGCTAAACTTGCACTTTATACAGTAAGGAAAGACAGGTCGTTCTAGAAGATCACGTTGCCATAATAAGCCAAGCTATAAGTTGAGATACCCTTCCATAGGCTGCCCCTTTATTCTATCTGAGGGATAGTTATAATCCGTTTAACCCTGTGGAAGGAAAGTATCAGATTAGGTTTATAGTAAACGTTCAACTTAGTTGTTTTTTTTTTTTTGAAAACGCCCGCATATGAAATTTTTCCTAGATTTTATTTTTACGATTTTAAATACTTTTTAAAATTTCCTTTTTCGGTAGTCAGGCCTACTTATTAAAGCTATCGTATTAGTTAGATAAAGCTTTAGTAGTCGCATTACCCTGCCTACTAGGTATCTCTTATTATAACTGTACTATACTTATTAGTATTATAAGTAATAATACTACTTATTTTAATATATCAAGAAATTAGTTATAGTTATAAAACCTATACTTTATATACTTCTTAATCTAATGATTTAGGATACTTATTAATAGTAAATTATATATTTAAAATTAATAACTAAGAACTAAGGACAAAACTATCTAAAGGTAAGAGAATTTTCTAATTTTATATGAATCATTATAGTTAAGTAACTTATAATCCTTTTCTTACGAGCGCCCTCTTTCTAAGGCGGACGATTACTGCTCGGGCGGGCGATTATCGCCCTTCTTAAAAGGCGTTGCCTGTGTAATATTAAATGAAATAACCTTTTTCTACTTAGAACTTCCGTACCTTCCCCTCTTATATCTTTTAACTCGTACCTGTTGGTACCCTCCCAACTATGGTTTCTAACACCATGTTAGTACTTAAGAAAGCAATAGCTAGCTAAGTTAATAATCAGAAAGGCGGTATTAGTTTTTAAATATACGCACAGGTAGAATACAAGAACAAAAATAAATAGGTCTAATTACCGAAAAAGGAAATTTTAAAAGTATTTGAAATCGTAAAAAAAAAATATAGGAAAAATTCTATATACGGGCGGTTTCGAAAAAAAAAATGACAAAGTCGAACATTTACTATAAACCCAACCCGAAATCTCTCTCCCACATAGCTCTGCTTCTTAAGAGTCATTATCGATCCTACCCGCAGCAGCAGCATACCCTCCTGCTTTCATGTTGAACCGACGTGCTGGGCGGAAGCGCGTAAATATATATCTTATCGTTCCCAACCACTGTGATTCTTTATCGTAAAACCCGCCTGCAATCCAGGCGAACAGGTTCCATCGCCACAACGCGAACTTGGTCCACGCCTTAGGAATGAAGTTATACATGCCGGCGTACTCGAAGAACTTGGGATAAAATCCCGCACAATCCCAATCAATAATCCATAGTTGCCCTTCGCGGTCGAGTATGATATTGCGAGGCGCCAGACCATGATGGGTAAAGACGAATGGGCAACTATATGAAAACACCGGCCTTGGGCAGATCGCATGCTCTGCCGGCGTCTTCTTGATCTCCTGGCGGAGCGAGACAAAATTGGCCCAGAAATTCAAGAAAGCATTGACCTGGTGAAAGGTTGCTCTAGGTGGCAAGCCGAAAGAATCCTCGAGACAATATGACCTGCATTTGCTAGTTGCTAGTGACCCAGATGAGGTTGAAGCAGCCGACCTCAAGCGGCGGATGACGCGACGAAGTTGGAAGGCAAGCCGCAGGCTTGCTACCCAACCAAGCTCTGGCCACGCCATATCAAGTGTTGTTCCAGGAATCCGATCCATAATGCAATAAAAGCCATCATCGACCTGGATAATTCGTTGAATGTGCGGGACACGGATACCAAGCTGAGATGCGAATTTCATAGATTCTGTAGCATCTTCAAGCTCATCCTTTGCATAGCCCTTAGCTAAATACTTAGAAGATAGTGGTATAATATTAGAAAAATCAGGTAAGCTGGGAAGAGAAGTGATGTGGCTGATAAGTTCTGCCTCCGTGTAATTAAAGAGCCTCGTGTCGTCGAAGTCCGAGTTCATTCTGAAGGTATTGTAAGGAAAAAGAATAGAAATGTAAAATTTCACAACTAGAATCTTAAAGGGATGCTAATATATACTGTAGTGGTGCGGTGGGACTAGGCCACGTAGCCTTTTCAATGAGTATTTATATAGGTTTCGCACACAGATTTTCATAGATCAGACTTAGTCCTATAGCCATTGGAAAGTTATCACGACCTATAGTATTCACTCCTTTCTTGATATGCCTTTTCTTGCCATCGCTATCTTCGTCTTCTAGTCTTTCCCAGCTGCCGTTTTCAGCTGGCCGATCAACCAATTACAGCTGTTTACAGCTATGATCTAGTTCGATCGGCACTGGGCCAGTTGTTGGCAGTTGGGTAGCCCTTTTTCGTGCCTCCATCACAGCGTGCCCACGCTGCTCCTGTTCAATACTCGGCAATTTTCCGAAAGCTACATAGCTATAGGCCGCTGCTTATATTGAAGAAAAGCAGCGTGGGTACGCTGTAACGAGGATCCGTATAGATAATAGACTGGCTATCTAACTGCTAATAATTAGCCTAATGCTGATCAGACGAGATTATAGCTATAAATAGCTGTAATTTATTAATTAACTAACTGAAAAGTTAGTAAGAAAAAGATTAAATATTAAAAGGTAACTGGAAAGGTATATTAAAAAGAGTAAATTACTTTAAACTATAATATTTATAGAATAAAAATTAAATAATAAAAAACTAAGTAGAGATCTTATATAAATACTTATTGGAAAGGCTACGTAGCTTAGTCCTACCGTAATACTACAATACCTAGACACTAATACTATGAGAGTATAATTAATAATAAAAAATTAAGCTTCAGCATGTTTAGGCATATTAAAAGGTAGCCCGCAGAGAGTGGCCTGTAGTTAAGTGAAACATAGTGTATATTTTACCGCCAACTAGTACGACCGCTAGTCTAGTGGTTAACGAAAAAGTTAAATTATCCCCAAAGCTGTTGCCAGTCGAACCAGTTTGAGGAAGTACCAAAGTCGAGATTCCCATCAAGAGCAGCATCAACAGCGCCCAAGTTAAAGGTAGGGTCGAAATGACCGAAGACGTCCCAATCCGGAATTGTTTCAAGACCTGGTAAGTCGGTACCCTCATGGTTAGAGTAGACAATAACAGTATCGCCGACGTCTGAAGGCGGAGGCTCACGTTCTCTCCGTTGAGTTGGCTCCGCTCTCTTTGAGCCGTTTACGAGGCCTGTTTCTTGGGTAATCGAGGCAACTGCCTTGTCCATTTCTTGGAGGACTTGCTCAGCCATTGCCACGATAGTCTTCGCTGTCCAAAAGGTGTCGTCGAGGGATTTTAGTAGCGAAGTGTTGACTCTAAAGGCTTCTTTACCTCTGCTTCTAAACATTGGTACGTTGCTGTGACGCATCTTGCGGTAGGAGACGCTGAGGGATAAGGAGAGGCCATACGGAATGATGGGCATATACGACAACTGGCCATGAAACTCATGGCTAACGATGGATGTAATCCGGTCTGCAGCTAAAGACCGACGACTATTTGTTGCCGGAGCCGGGAGTGCCGTTGAGCGATTCTCGGCCGGAGACTGGCTCGAGAGGATGGCAACCGAGTGGTAGAAAATCTCCAGAGACGCTTGAGACGGAATGCGGTTAAGGTACGAAAAGGCTAGGCGACTCGGGGGAGGCTCACCTAGGCAGGAACTAGGCGCACGCGTTGCGCCTGCGTCTAGGATCATCTGTTCGAAAATGGGTAGGTCGATGATTATTTCTCTTTCTAGTCGGTTGCCCGGACGGTACAGGCCAATGACTTTGTCCAGCAACCCGATAATCATAAGGAACAGACGGAAAAGAGGCGGCTGTTCAGAGATGCAGTTGTCCAAATTCCACCCGATATCCCGTTCGTGTATCATGCAGGCCCGGCCATAGAATGCGCTATTCAGTCGGTCCAGTGCCCAAAGGCAACAGAGAAGCGACCGAGCAACTTGACTATTCTCATGATTGTCCCCAGTTGCCATCTGGAGCCCTAATGTGTACATCTGATTCACAGCATGGCCATTCAAGAGCGCAGGAATGTCAGCGTCATCGGAACAGCTAGGTTGCATATATAAAGACAGCGCGGCTAGGATACGTGTTAGGAACACCCGGTTTGTAATGAGCCGAGCATCGAGAATTGTCTGGATCGAATTGGAAAGCGAGGTGCAAAAGTCGTGACGGGAAAGTAAGGGGCCGTCGGCGTTGAGGCGAAGGTGACGAGCAGCCTCCGGATCTGCAGCAGCGGCCAGGCTGATGATTTGCTTCAAAACCTTGCCCTGAACCTCATCCTGGGGAGCCGACACAACGTGACCGCCCAGGATGGGGAAAATCGGATGCAACTTCTCCAGATAAATCCGGCGAAGGACGGCATAATCCGGCGCCGGCGGGCGACATACTAGGCAATTCTTCCATACGTATGCTTTAAGCATATCTTGAACTGCCTGCCGTGAAGGGGAGGTGAGAGCGAGAGGCCCGGACAACTCGGATGGCCGGGTTTCCCGAGATTGCCATATCCCCAATCCACCACGCACCGACACATCGCGAGTAGAGCACAGGCTCGTTGCCTCCATAAGAATTGCTTCAGGGCTTAGATCGCCTACGAACCGGGAGGCCGGCCCCTCGTGGGCTTCGGTTCGGGCGGCATGGGGTCCAGGTAGCGAGTCAACCTGCGGAGGACTTAAGGGGTCGGCAGAAGCTTGGACAGTAACACCACGTGCACCCTCGGGCATCGAATCGCCATCGACGCCACCCCCATTATGAGCACACCTCTTCTTCCGCCGACGGCACCTTGAACAAGCCTGAGCAACCTGCTTCCTCTTCAGTGGCAAGCCGGTTGAGTCGGACTCTACGAATCTGACCATGACAGCGGCCAGCAATTATGCTCTAGAGAAGTCAACTCCGACCCGTTCCGAGCACTCTGCCTCTTATTCAGCCACTCCCATACCCATGGCGCGCCGTGCTGCATATAGTCGGTGTCGGTGGGAGCAGAGAAAAGCGCGGACGGAGTCCGGCGGGCAGGAGGGTACGGAAAGCATAGAGGTAGGGGGAGGCAGGTAATAGGCCAGGGACAGAGACGAATAAATGCGTACCTTGGTAAACACGATACACCACCCGCCGCAGTCCTAAAAGCCGCAGTAAGGAAGTGTGGTACGGACGATCGAGTTACTCCGAATGCGTTGACTCTAGCAGCTATCATAGTTGTGGGCGGAGCGTGCAACGACAACGGATAATGGGCGAGGACCATAATATCCGACACAGGAGGTTCGCAGTTGTATCGGACTAACCGGATGCAGCAACTCCGCTTGCGGGATCACGACGGAATCCCCATCTTGGCTTGTGACTAACCCAGCAGGCAACGAAGTGGAACAGCGCTAGTCTAGTCCATGTCATCGTATAATTGCCCAGCAACGCATCGAGGATCTCCGACGTAGTCACATACCTATCGTAAGCAGCTGCTTCAACAAACGGTGTTGGAAGACGAGCTAGAAGAGTCGATCCCCTCCACCCTCGAGTAACAAAAAACCCGCCCTCGCCGCAGCGTAGGTAGGCTTGGGGACCCGAATTAGTAGTCCCGCAGTCGCGGGATGATGGCGGGGGCAAGGTAAGACCGATGCTCGACATCATGGTTAGGCGTATTAAACACCTGCCTCTGATATTCGAAGGGGAATCGACTTCCGCCTTTTCCTGTTCGATTCCCCGGTTTGTTCGATGTCTCTTCTCCTACCTCGCTCCGAATATCTCTCGATCCTAGGTGGTCTGTTTGGGTCTTCATCTGATCGCCAGTCGCGTGAGAATGCTTGCGAGACGCCTCACGGCCGGTGCCTCACTGCAGATGCGGTCGGTCATGATGGCTGCCGCCCCGACTCAGGGTAAGAGAGAAGGCAGTATCGCCGATGCGTTCGTGTCCCTATCGGGGATTGCCCGATCTCCCCTTCCCCAGCGATATCTTGAACATAAAAAGGCCCTTGTAGAAGGCCATGAAAAAGACGTGATCGATAGTTGGAATAGACTTCTCCCTCAGCTTAAGAGAGAGAACGAGACGATTTACAGGGAAGGTCCACGAATCATTCCAACCATCCGTTTTCGAGATTTAGACCGCGATCTCGTAGAACTCCGCAGCGAGATCGAGAGACGAGGTGTTGCCGTCGTCAAGGGAGTGGTTCCCGAAGAAGAGGCCCGTTCACTCAAGAGTGAAATCGAGGAATATGTAACGCAGAACCCCCATACAAAAGGTCCGCATGTCTTTCTAATTATCAAGACCTAGTTTCACATAGCTGACTTGGATTGTTGAAAGCGTTCCCCCCACACGATCCTCAGGTGTACGAACTTTATTGGTCGGCGCCGCAGATCCGCGCCAGAGCCCATCCGAATCTACTTCGAGTCCAGGCCGCTCTTATGCAGAAATTATGGCGCACGTCGGATCCGCGAAGTGCCTTATCCATGTCCCCGTTATCGTATGCCGACCGACTTCGTATTAGGCAGCCGGGCGACGCCTCCTTTGCCCTCGGGCCCCATGTAGATGGAGGTAGCGTGGAGAGGTGGGAACCAGATGGGTACGGTCGCGGTGGGGTATATAATAAAATATTCGAAGGCGTTTGGGAAGAATACGACCCGTGGGATGCTACTACGCGAGTGTCGGCAGTCATAGACAACCACAATGGACTGGGAGCCTGCACGATGTTCCGCATGTTCCAGGGCTGGCTGAGCATGAGCGCCACAAATCCGTTCGAGGGGACACTCATGGTAAATCCAGCGATCAAGCTCTCAACTGCCTACTTTCTCCTAAGGCCCTTCTTCCGGCCGATAAGTGATCTCGATCGTGTGTCCGTTGATGACTACCTTGCTGCGGAAAACTGGGAATTCGCGGGCTCGGAGATGACGAGCGAGCTCCAAGGAGCCACCCCCGGGCATGGTCAAGAGCTGAGCACGGTGTTACACCCTCACTTGGATCTCGAGAACACCATGGTGCACGTTCCGCCTATCAAGCCGGGAGACCTTGTGGTGTGGCACTGTGACAGTAAGTAGCTGGATGCGTACCTTTAGGTTGACAATGCGGAGGGGCTGACACGTCAATTAGCCATACATGCCGTCGACAAGGTGCATAAGGGCCAGTCAGACTCGAGTGTTCTCTACATACCAGTATGTCCGTTAACGGAATCGAATGCCCGGTATCTTGTTCGCCAAAGAGAGGCGTTCTTAAGTGGCACCCCCGGACCCGATTTCCCGGGCGGACGAGGCGAGGCCGACCATATTAATCGTCCAACGGAAAGGTACCTTCGCTCGATTGCTACCGCAGAGGGATTACGCGCGTGTGGGTTCCAGAAGCTCGCACCAGATAACGCAAGCACCGTCGGGGCAAGGAATATGGTTTCTTTAGCTAACGAAATACTCGGATTCTAGTTTATCAACGAAGTTGTCACGTCGGGATATGCCTCCAGCTATTGATATGTGGAGAGCAAATCTAGCTTACCTAACCTAGTTGAGCATGCATATAGGTCACAGCTAGCTTCGCACTTTTGACGACCTCGACTGTTGAAGCTCGATTTCGCCAGGATGATCTGCCCCTTATCGCAGAACTCGACTTTCACGCCACTTTTACTCAGGCAATTCTCTCCGGTCACCCGGAGTCTGGTCTGACTCGCTGGATGTCAGTGAGAATGCGCTCCTTGCTCTTGAAGATAATGGAAATTGTAGCGCTAGCTTTGAAATTCTTGAACAGTTCTTCATTACATGGCGTCTGCGATGAAGTGCTAACCAAACTACCGGAATCGTTAAGACTATAATATAAGAAACTCGAAGATGACGATCAAAAACACAAATAGACAAATCGTCCGCGGTAGTCGCAATTTAGCTGCGAGTCACCTTGACATCAACCGTACATTAAACCGCACAGACTTGGCAGACATCCCGGATTTGGGGTGTCACCCGAGGATCGCCCCGGACTGCCGCTGGCGACGAAAAATGAGAGCAGTTGGGCACTCAAGTCGGTTATCAGAGTCGACATGTCCCATACCCAAGCCCAGGTGTACTTCCCAAACAAGTTTCTTCAGCATAATGCGTACAACGTGGCTGCTATGGCCGCTTTCATGGCTAGTTCGACTTGACAAGACTACAAGAGGCTCTCCGGGTTGTTGTGAAGCGACATGAGGCCTTGAGAAGCGCCTACTTCACGGATACGGTAGCCTCTCGACCCGTACAGGCCGTACTTCCCGAGCCAAGGATCCTACTGGCCTGTCGAACGGTCTGTGATTATAGTGAGGTGCAGGCGTGGCATTGACAACTAGAGCTACCCTACTGTTTGAGGTGCTAACGTGGAAGAATTTAGGCATAGAAACAGAAGCTGCTACACTAAACCGAACCTCGATGAGAGATTGAAGTTTACAGCGAGGATCTAACTTCCCACGAATTGGGGGGGGGGGGGTGTCCGGGCAGGTTCTTGAAAGATTAGTTGGCTATGTCTGATCCCAACACCAGGCGCCATTCGGGTCGTGGGGATCTCTTCCTAGACTTGGTTCATCGATCAGTCCCAGGGGCTCAAGCTGCGCGCGAAAATGTCCGTGATGCCGGAATCCACGGACGTCGGAATAGGTACTTTATGTAGGTACTGCACTCCTATCTGTCTTGCCGTTGGCCGAGGCCGAGGCCAGTGGTAATATCCGGTCTGTCGAGACGATTGTTAAGGCCGGTCTCATGAATAGTAGCGATAAGGGAAGTCCAGATTGAATTCATTTTATAAACCCGGCCCGGTCCCGCGTAAAGCCGTCGTCGAACACGATAAAAGCAACGAGAAGGTCCGGAGACGGACCGGGTCGCAAGGAAGCAGCTGCGCCCACGATTGTACACGCAGACATCTGCGTAATCAACTCGGCGATCTCATTAAGTTGGACTCGGAACCTATGGATTCCTGAGGTCGTTGGAAGCCGATGGGTAAAATGCCCATAATCATCAGCGACGATTTCAATTCCGGAATATGGTGACGGAAGGCAAGCTACGGTGATCTCCGCTGGCCCACGCACATTGGCAAGCTTCAAGGTAGGTATTAGGAACAGTCTACTCATAGCCTGCGGCATGCTCTGCGTAACCTAATTCTTAGTTCGCCTGCCCTCACCCCGATATTTCGCAGCGCTACGGACGGGCCTTGGTGGTGTCCGTATGTTCGTAACGCGAGATACTCGGATGGTACGGAGCGTGGAAGGGTGACGCTATGCCTCGTCATAAGCATGGCCATTCGCGTTGGGCTGGCTCACCCAGCTTGGCCCCCGTTACACCGGTCTAGGAATGCGCGATCTAGCATCAAGCGGACTTTGCTGCAGCGTTGTCTCTCGCCCGAGATAAAGAGTGGCGGCCGTTCCATAGATCTGGCTTAGCCAGCATGCCTTTTCCGAACCGCTGTTGGCCCACCCGTGTATATATGATCATTGAAGGTTGAATATTTCCCGGACTGTGTTCTTTGGCGAGAGCATCCGGTCTCCATCCGCGTTATGACTGCCACCCCCACCATCATCAGTGATACTTAATACAGGCATGCCAGTGCCCTACAAATACATAGGGCTTGGAATCTTATAGGGCCTGACAGGGCTTCAAGGTGGCCTCATCTGGCTCCCCCTGAGAGTGGCCTTGGTAAATTAGGTACCTAGCCCACTAAGATACCTACCTAATCCACTTTGGTAGGTACCTAAGGTAGGTACTTCATACTACCTAACATTACCGTAACATTGGAGGTAACCTGCCAAGTCCCGTCTTACAGGTGGACAGTGAACCGGTGACGTTCCGGGCCCGCACATACCCACCTCAGGCGAGGCAGGTAATAGAGCGCATGTGTGTGTACATCCAATCCAACCAGCGCGCAACGGACGGACATGCATGTAGGTACCTTGTAGGTGCAGGGCGGATGCAGGTACCTACCTCCTAACCTACCTACCTATACTATATACCTACCTAGGTAGGTATGTACCATATAAATAGAGAGGAGCCCCACTTGGCGAGATGGGTCAATTGATCTCGTCGCCTCCACTCTATTGACTGACTGACTGACTGCACCAGCACGCGGACGCGCAGTAGGAATCTCTTGTAGATCATCATACTCTTCCTTTTTCTTTGTGTTTTTTTCAGCCTTCCAAAATTCCATTCCCCATCCCTCTCCCCCTTACCGTGTATACTTCTCCTTTTCTCCTTTGTCGCCTGACTGCCTTCACCTGTAGCTACTATACGTGCCCTCGCATCCTCTACCTAGTGGTGGCCTTCAGCCTTTCTTTCACTACCCGTGACGTTGGACTGCACCCCCTCGTCCACCCAGTCCATCTCGTCTCCCCTCTCTTCTCCCCCCTCACGCGCTCATATACACATGCGCACTCTGTCTATCTTTACCAATGTACCTAAGGTCCTAGGAGGTATCTTTGATGTATACAAGAATAAGACGGTTACTTCCGGCCCATCCCCTATCACTTGTACATGCATCGTAACCACCTCCCGTTGGACCCAGCATGCTGATCTCCCGGCCAAGTCCAAGCGACCACGAGACCCCTAACGACCCCTAACGGTCGTCATGGCTAACCCTCATCACCTACCTGCAGCTCTGCCGGCTGACAGTGACAACCACCACACCATGGACGCTCTCTCGGCAGCGCGTCAAGAAACGCCGTCTATGAAGTGCTGCTGCGGTTCTGTGGGGTGCGTTTTCTTGAGACACAATTATTCCGTCCTCGCTAGCGTCGAGAAGGATGTCCATACGGCGGCACGGATGGGTCAGGTATGTTTCTTTCCGTCAACTAATAATACTTGCGAACTCACTCGAGATTCTCCTACCCCTCAAAAGGGGCCCAAATGCCAGCGAGTCTAGCTCATCTCGAGTTTCCCCAACTCTCTGTCTCTCCGTCTCTCTCTTTTCTTAAAACAGCTCCTCGCATTCCTAGCCTGCTTTGTTAGTCTCGAAGCGTCGGGATCAAGTGAATGAACCATTACAGAACCCTCCACTGTAAATGCGCCTCGGTGCTGCTATGTAGTTTTGCTTCTCGCCCGCTCGAATCTACATTTCGAAAATCCCCCAACAACCGTCCATTCCCACAACTATGGCTGCTAAGTCTCTGACCTTTGCGTTGCAGGCCCTGCTGGCCCGCCACGAGGCCTATATGGCCGATGCAGAGCGAGATCGCAGGGAGCTCACCGCTCGGATTGAACAGTTGGAGATGGACAACAAAGAGCTCGAGGCTAGAAACGCGAAGACGATAGAGGATAATAGGAACCTCCTAGATCATCTCGAGGCCCTCAACAGTTCCATTGTCGATTCCGAATATCGCATAAAATCCCTCGAGGCCACCCTGCTTTCGTCACAGCAGACCATCCGCCGGCTAGAGGGGGACACGGCTCGCGCCGCCGCGTTAGAGCGTCAGATCCTAGCTCTCGAGCAAGAGCAGGCGGAGCTGCAAAGCCACCTGTCTCTGTCCCGGGAAGAGGCCAGATCTGCCGCATCGAGATGGAAGCGGGCGGAGCGGGGCATCAACGACCTACAGGAGCAACTGGAACGTATGGAGAGGGAAGCCAAGGAAGAGAGAGAGCACCACGTCGAGATGATAAGTCGAATAGAGCGGCAGCGCGAGATGGAGAAGGAGCTGAACACCGCGGCTGGCCGGCTGAAGGGAGCTGCTGCTGCTAAGTCGCTAGATCACGGCAACGGCAACGTAGGAGGAAGCAGTGTCGTGTCGCACTTCGTCCGCGATCTGCTCCAGGATAACGCCAATCTTCAGTGTGGCATCGCGGAGCTGCGCGAGATGCTCATGAACTCCAACGACGAGATACAGGCTCTCCGGGACCAGCTCGCATACCACCAGCCGCTGGAAGACGACCGGGCGAATACCATGTCGACGCTCCGGGCAGAGCTTGAGCCTTTGGCCTCTCCTGTGACCTCGCCGAAACCTGCCCCGGAGGTCCACATCCACCACCATTACCACCTAGAAAAGTCGAAGCAGGAGGCGAAGAAGCCCCGAAAGAAACGCGCAGGGCTGGCGCCTGGAATTTTCACACCTCCCTCGAGCTCGGCGCCTAGCACACCCCCGAATGGTCCGGCACGGTCTTTGCACACTCACAAAGACTCCCTACTCTCTAACTACTGGTCTGATTTTGCGCCTTCCTCGGTGCCCAGCTCGCCTCTGTCAAACAACCGGAACTCGCTATTCGATCATGTAACCGATTCCACCCCAGCTTCACCGACTACCAGTATAGACCCCATGTCGCCTTCGTGGCATGCTACTCACCACAAACAACTTTCAAGTTCCTCACGGAATTTTCAATTCCCAAATCTAGCTATCGTGCACACGCCTACCCGGGCCCATCCCGTCATCGAGGAATCCTACGACGAGGATACCCCCCCGGATTTGACCACCGCAACCGACGACTCTACCGTAGATGACGTTACAACGTCCTCGGAGCATCAGGATATGGGAGACGACGAACTTTCGGTGACCATCGATGATACCGGCGACCATCGGACGCCATCGATCCGCCTCCGAAGACCGCCATCGCACGAATCTATCATATCACTCTCCGGCGGTCTGGATATTCACACATTGACATCGCGGCCTAGTCAGCTTACCCTACGTCATCTCGGCTCTGCCGCTTCCGTAACGGGCAGTAGCATCGTTACTGCACGACCCATGCTCTCGCACCGGAATGCAAATCGAAGCAGCGCAAGGCTGCGTGAAGATTCCGACACTTCTCCTGTGGGGAGCCTACAATCCGTCTTGGGGATCTCCTTGCGAGATTCTCGTTCGTCCAGACTCGGGAAATGGGTCGGTTGGCGGCCATGGGGCGGAGGGGGCCTCGGAGGGACCAGCGGAGGCGGCATTTCGGATGCGAGTAGCGATACATCCACGAAAACGAACAGAGGGAAGGGTGGCCAGAAGGCGGCGAGCCGCCCTCCCGGCATCAACCAACCGGGCGCGATCCCAGGGTTTCTCCCTCATGCTGTCGCAGCGCAGCGAAAAACACTACCCACACACACTCAACCCGACGTGGTCGATCGCGACGCATTAATGGAGGGTCTCGTTGAAAATATACAGTCATAACCGATTATCAGCAGAACTACGGGGAACTCGGTTGCTCACACCTCTCAAACCTGTTCACCTACAACCCAGGAGATCGGCTGCAACCCGTCCGGTCCTATATACGTATGTCTGCATCTCAACATTACGTTCCGGGGGCGTTCAATCCGCAATCACAGATCAAGATACACCCCATACCACGCACCGCCACCCCCTGAGGTATTCGCAACTACTGTCCGTATGTGCGATCCGAGACTAGGACGTTATAGATGTCTTATAACTGGGCGGCAGGAATCGGTAGCTGGTGAATATGCGACGAGCTGCGAAGGCATACTATTGTATTATCCTCCTCCCTTACCACCATCCCCCAGCCCCCGCGGCCCCAGGGCGGGCCCTCCAAAAAAAAAATGCTAGGCAGCCCAATTGCGGGTTGCCGGCCATCTGTCCTTCTATTCCCCTTTGTCACTAGCATTGGTGTTTGGCGTTGAACGGATATCGTGCCGTTATGGGCACAACAGCATATTCCCCCTTTTTAATCTTCGGTCTCAGGTGTTGAAAAAGGCGCAACGCGACAGTCGCGTAGTTTAAGCATCCAGAAGGATAGCCTAGCGATGAAGAGTCCAGCATATGTACCATTTCTACCAGCGTAAAGAGGAACAGACGCCTTCATCCTTGTTTTCTATTTTTTATTATTATTACACATCTACCTACCTACCCCCCTTGGACAAGTCTATCGGGTGTCTATCCATGTACGCATCGCTGCGTCAGCCACCTTCTTATCTACTCCTTCTCCTGTTACATCCATAGGCCTATTCGCGTCCCAGCCGCCCGCTCGGCTAGCATTCTACATGTGTACATATTCAGACTATATTCACAACAGTGATCAGATAATATTCCCAGGTAGTATCGGGGTTGTTCTTACCTGTGGGGAAGGGGGAAGCATCCTAACAACTGGGTAGCTTGCTCCTGTCGGATGAGGGAGGAACGAGGAGAGACGGGACAAGAGAGAAAGAATAATAATACTAATCTATAATATCTTGTCGCGTAAAACGTAGACGCCTACATTCACGCTTTGCGGTATGTAGGCTTATATAGGCTGGTTCAATTACTACGTGACATATCTTCAACGTCCAATATACTCCAAACGTCTGGGCAAAGAATTCTACGCCTGCCTGTCTGCTCATTTGTTACTGCATATCTGCCATTATGTCCCCAGGATCTCTGCGAGGGATATAGGGGGTTGACACATGTATGGACTTCAGCCGTTTGTGGTCCTGACTGTGCACATATGCCTAGTATATTTACCCAAGTATATATATGTATAGGTATGTGTATATATATATATATATATAGCAACGTCTGCGAGGGAATCCGTACCACGGTAGTAACGGAGCAAGGATAGGGAATATCATACTGTGACAATATGTACCAATATATATATATATATATGCATGTGTGTATGTGTGTATTACCAACAAAAGTTGGACCACAATCTGCCTGTATCTCTCCCCGTCTCTATCACCCTCTCCCTTCCCTCCCCTTCTCCCCTTTTATGCGAGGTTCCCGCAGTTGTATTATGATTACCTATGTACATGCACCCACACCCACATACACTAGCCCCTTTCCCCCACCCCGTTTCCCCACGAGTATGACAACGGCGACAGTGGTCACTATAATGTCGACAAGGCAAAGGCTTATAAACCTCCCAGAGTACCTTGTCCAGTTGCTCAAGAGCGGCTTTTCCCGCTTTATAAAAAGAAGTCTATGACCTATGGGGTGCGGGGGGATACCGGCGGGTGCGCGGTAGGCCATCTTTACCTATCAGATACATAGGTAAACGGATGGCGAACGATTTAAAACACGGTGCAATCCCCCTATCCTTTCTCTTCTACTTCCTCTCCCGTCCCTTCTCCTCGGCTCTCAAATATGGCAGTCACAAAGCCTCACCGTGTGCTTCTAGTAGACTGTCTAGGAGGCAGAATGCGACAACCTCGAACTCAAGGCATTCGTGGAAAGGAAGGGAGGAATCATTCAGTCGCTAAGATCACGTTAGTAACTACCAAAAGAGTTCACTTCGGGGCCTAGATACAAGCTTTCCAGGTATCAAAGGGGGGGAAGAGAGGGGGGGGGGGGGGGGTGGAGGCTTACTATATTTCCTTTGGCGCTAACAGGTCTGCCTGGTACAGCCAGTGGTTATCCTTTTCCTCAGTCTCCAACCAGTCGTAGGGGAACTGCACAACCGTTCCTTGAATCATCCCGCATAGCTCCTCGGCTTCTTCGCGGCTCAGGAGTTCATACGGAATCCCGGCTCCGCGTCGGCTACCCTTAGTCGTGGCCCGCCGTCGACGTCGAGTAGAATTGTGATTATATGGGTTTGTGACACTGCCTGGTTCCGGTGCTGATTTTTCGTAAGACGAGAACGTTGCTTTCCGGTCCCGTCCCGCGTTCTGAATGTCTAAGTGCGCGTTGTCATGCAGGCCATCATAGGAGGGGAATGGGACGTCCCCAGCTGGTTGGACTGGAGAAGATGCTTCGGCAGAACTCTTCCCGCGATCCTTCTCGGAGTCAGGGCCGAAGTGAGATTGTCCACTTTCTATAGGATGGATGCCGTCCAATGTAGACGCCTTTTCGTTCAGCGCATTCCCGTCAGAGACTAAAACTTTCGGATTATTCTCAGCCGGATCGACAGCGTGTTTCTCAGAAAGCTCTGGGCCTCCTTGACTAAAAGTCGGTGCTGATTCGGATTCATCATTCCTCGAGCCTCCCATACTCTCCTTGAACCTGCGCGCGTAATCCTCGAACTCGGCGTATTCCTTCCATGTAGACACCTCGCTATCGGGCATGCACCGGAAAACACGCCGGTAGAGCTTCGTATTATTGACTGCGACACGCATCCAAACATTCTCCCAGAAATCGGGGTCGACCGGGTCACGCATACAATCCTTGTCGATTTTGGCGGGTACTATATCGGCCAGTAGAGGGTTCGGAAGTTCATTTCCAGATTTCGTGGAGTCCTCTGGGCGCCCCTGAGCGCCGCTCATGTCGGCGTCATCCGGCACCGGTAATGCTGGGGGCTGGCCAGGGTATGGCAACTGAGGCTTGACGGACAAATCTGGATGGGGAGGGGGGAATTGAGCGTTGCCCTTGTCGAGACCCCGGTGTGAAGAGCCCTTAGCAGATGCTTCCCGAGGCGTCCGACCAGGCTTGGTGTCCTTGTGGTTTTGGGAACGATTGGCCCTGTGGAGGAGAACCTCGTGCCCATTCATGACGACAGAATCGCTTCCTAGGTCGAGCCCCATGGCCTGTGCCGCCTTCCAGTTATCCGGGCCATACCCCTCGACATCTCTCTTATGTTTCTCATTATCGTGAACCCGCGAGTCACGATCCAGGGACTTGCCTTTTGAGGAGCTCGAGGGGTTCGAAGAAGCTGAGGACGAGGACAAGGACGAAGTATAACCGGCGTCTTCTCCCGGAGCCACATCATGGTTAAAGCTGGCTCCGCGGTGGTAAGTGCTAGGCCCCGCGGACGTCGCACCCAGCCCGCCCGGTGTCTCATCGTCGTCCCCATATATATTCCCCATCTCGGCTTCAAAGCGGGCATCTGCACTGATCTCTGCCTGCCTCTCCTCTTCGGTTATCTCATCGACGTCCAGTCCAAGATGCTCTCTCATAAGCCTCATACGAAGAGTGTGAGCAAATCGGCCGACCCGGTATTGTTTCCCACCCATCGTTGACCACATCATTTCAGTGTCTCGAACGATGGCAGCGACTTCGGAGTCTCGGTTGCCTAACATCGAGCGTTCGTTGATATTAGCCGACCCTATTAGGGCAACCCGGTCGTCCACGACGATAGTCTTGGCGTGGATATACAGCTGTTCCGTCACAATCTGGTTGTCGGCACCGATGCGTCCCCACTGCCGTAAACTGAAGAACTGGATGTAGTCTTCAGGCTCTATCCCAGCCGCTTGCAAACGACCAAAGATCGAGTTCGGGCCCCTGCATATACTGCGGTACTGGAATTGCATAATCAAACGCACGCTGCTCCCCTCGGCCTGGTCGACCGTATTCTGGAAACCAGGCACGAGGGGAATGATGATACAGCACCGCCACTCCTCATTCTTCTCGTGAGCCCTGATAATGCGTTCGACGAGCGCATCACCGATCCGGTTCACTACCCTCGTATTCATCGTCTCGGTACTCGTGATGAAAAATTGATTCTCGATGTAGACGAAATGTTCCGATTCCTCGATCATTTTTACGTACGCTGACTGGATGCTGTGCTCTCTCAAGTCCTTCGGGTAGCCAAGAGACCAATCGCCAGCCGAACGCAGAATCTGGACCTCACACGTGCCCGACAGACCGAGAGCCTCAAGATCCACCGGGTTCGCATCGGGCGGAGGCAAAAGGAAGGGTGTTGGCCGAGTGGGCTTGCGCTCCCGTCGCAGGTAATTCCACCGCTGAACAAAGTGGCGGGTCAAGTCGCGTGCTGGCTGGCCCACAACTTGCATCGCAATATCGTGCCAGGGCATTCGAGGAACCTTGCTCCTGTCATACATTTCTTCGTAGGGCTCATTTAGTTTGAAGAAGTCTAGCACGCGGGGGTTCGAGTAATCCTTGCCGGGGAACAGTTGACAATGTTCTGCATCTCTAGGGCTGTCTCCGTCGGGCTCCATACCAGTCGGCCGATCATCCGCGATTGGATGTTGGGGGTTGTCCCAACGGCCGAAACAGAGATCGATGCCACCCAGAAAGGCAACATCGTGATCGACGATGCAAACCTTCTCGTGGTGGGCATAGAAAAACTGGTTCTTCTTCAGCTGATTTGGGGACCTCAGAACCAAAATATTGTCGTGCAGGTTGAGAAGGGAGAACTTGGTGTACTCCGAATCTATAGGGATGGCCTGCTCCACGTTTCTGTAGATGATGATGAATATCTTGACACCTTCCCTAGCCTTTCTCTGCAGCAGCCGATCAAGACGCCACTTCTGGCTGATACAGGCAGGACGTCGCATATACAGCTCGGGACTGAGCCACCAGTCGTGGATATAGATGACATCCTGGGCCATGCTTATGGCTCGAGAAACATTCCACATGTAATCCCTCCCGTCGACGAGCCACTGAGCGAACGCGGCCGTTCTCACAGGCGCAAAACTGTCAAACCTGTGGCTCTGATGCCATTGTGTCTGCTTCAGCATATCCAGGACCGACTCCTCAAACTGATGCAAGACCGTCTGGTTCCGGGAGAAGAGCTTGATTTTTCGGTCGACTGAATATATCTTGAGGGTATGGTGCTTTTCGTGGAACTCTTCGTCAGTAAGGTGGCCACCTTCATTCTGCTTCCCTTTTCCCGCCTCGACCCGCAATTTAGCGCCGAACCGCCGTAACTTGTTCTTCTTGGACACGACACGAAAGTGCGGGTCAACCAGGTAGACGTCGTAGATATTCATCGTTGATGGCGATTCGACGACAGCGATGTAATGCTGCCTGACTAGGAACCACTTGCGGCTATGCCGCGCGATGACCTTCTGCGGGCTTAGTACCCGCCTGAAGTCGATGCCGTTCGTAGATTGTATGTGCAAGTAGCACTCCTTTCCATGAAAGCTGCCCTCGGCAGCGAGCCGCACGCCTAAGGCAGAGAGTTCCAGAAATTTACAGAGGCGATTGCTGTCGGCGCGGAACATGAGCCAGTGGACCATTTCCTGGAGGTACTTCTCGAGCGTCTTCCTCTGTCTTTCGATATACTTCTTCTTCAGCAAGGCGGAATTCTGAGAGTTTGCCGGGGGCACCTCGCCATTTTCCGCTAGTCCGGTCGACTGCCGACGTGGCAAGAAGGTATTGATGCGGGACTTCTTTCGGTAGGCATTCGGCCGCCTCTCGTTGTCGCTGGCCGTCCCCTCGGCAGCCGTCGCTTCGCCCGCAGTCATTTCGGCGACGGTGTCATCGGCTCTAGTTCCAGGCGGCTTTTCTTCCTCGTCAGACTCTTCGAGATTTTGGTAGGTTCGCAGGTAAGGGAATGCTTTCCTCGGAAAACGAGGTTGCTTCGGGCGGATCCGTTGGTTCGTCGTGGCCTGAAGTGTGATATCATTCTTTAGGGATAGCTTGTATTTCCAATGGATATTCCAGATCTCTCTGACGCTCCGAGTAACCGTCCATCTCATCCGGCTAAGCCCGCTCCCGTATTCCAGGGCGATGGTGAAGATGGTATGCCGCTCGCTCGTGCTGTCTTCGGGTCGGCTATTGATTACCCGCAGGTTCAGCTGCTCGAGGAGAACGGGTATGCGCTTGTTCCCGTGTTCATCTCTCTGCAACATACTGGCGAGGATGACAACGGCCGGCGTCACCGCTCGGAGCTCAGCCATGAGTTCTGCAGACTTGTAGAAATCGAACTGGTCCGTCCTCCTTTTACCTAGCATTCGCAGCGTGTTCTTCACCTGCTTCCACCGTTGGACGCCGAACGTCGCAGCTCGATCGGCACCTAAGAACGGTCGTTTCGGGGTCGTCAGCCAATCGCCATCAGACATCCCACCAGCACCAAACATTTCCGAGATGCGGCGCCGGTGGCCAGGGGTGCGAGGCTGCGGGCTCTCGGCATCCTCAGCAGTAGCATTTCTAGTCCGCTGGGCGCCAATCCACGAGCTACCGCGGGCCCAGTTGGGTCTCCGGCCGATTAACTGATCGCGGCCCTCGCCCTCGGACAAGCCGCCACGATGTTCAGCAGCTTCGGGCATCGTCGAGCGCCTCGCCATTGTGTTTAAACGGCCCGGATGAGGAGAGTCGAGGTCGTCCATGGGTCTAGGGCTGCTGGGGGCGGTAAATACGTCCAACTGCCTCAGGCGACGCCGCATCCTTTTCCTTCTACTTTTGGGCAAATCTCTATTCTGGTCCTCGTCACCGCTTGCCTCCACATCAGCGTCGCTCCCCTCCTCCTCATCGAGGGTATCTGGAACCCTATGAGACCTGCCTACGACAGGCGAGGCATTCGCGGGCTGAGCTGGGTGGTCCGATACACTGGAGAATTTCGGCGGCTGAAGAGCAGCCGAACTGCCTAGGGTGGACCTCAGCTTCGACACCCACCTTTCGCTGCGTGACCTATTATTCCTGGCGTCGAGGTCTCCTTCGTCCCACGATCCGTGCGGAGACTGTTGTCGCGGGGGATCGAATAACACATCGGCGTGAGCAAATTGCACGCTAGGTCTCCCAGGAGACACGGGCTCCCCTGGTGCGGCGGTACCTTGATCGGGCTCTTGGCACAGGGTATTTCGCAAGGGAGATAGAGAGCGCGCGGGAGCCGGTTGGCGGTAAGACGCGGGCGCCAGGCCGCCGCTCGCGGTGGAGGGGCCCCCATTCAGATAATCCAACGGGGGATCCGACTCGGGCGCCGGAGGGGGACGAGAAGCGGCATCGTCGGGAGGACTGCTATGGGAAGGAAGAGAGACAGACGGGAGGCTGCTCGCGGCGGTCGGCAGAGAGGGCGGTGGGTCAGGGAGTGTAGGTACAGGAGGAGCACGAGGAGTGCTCGCCATAGGAGAGGTCGAATGGTCTCGACCCGGGGTTGACATGGTATCTGATAGGCTGAGAGGTAGCAGAAACGTAGCGTCGAGATGCAAGGCGGGAAATTCTGTTGCAGCCCCGGCGACTTAGGTCTACCTGCTCGCGAGCAGATAACAAGGCTGCCCGTTGTCTGACGGTGTCTTTCTCAGTAGCATAATCCTATTGTGCTTCGGTTATGCCGTACACGTCTCGGCGCGGATCTGAGGCTTCCCGAGTGCGGCGAGTGTTCCGAGTCTCCCTCTAAATCATCCTTTTTCTCTCTCTCTCGGCGGCGTGCGCTACAAAATTGAGGTTGCGAGGTTGTGAAATGGGCAACCCGGGACGTGCGGACCGGGCGACTTTAGCGGTCGCGTCGCGTGGGACAGGCTGGCAAGTCGTTGCGGCTATGTCTCGAATCGCGGAGGCAAATGTAGGAATGGAGTCGGTGCCGGTACGAATAGGGGAAGCCGTTGGGTCGGAGTCATGAACCGTTCGATAAGAGGCCTGCGTAATGCAATATGAAGTGTGGTGGGAGGTGTGTCTGGTATAGGTGGTAAAACGAGGTATGCAATGTGCTAGGCGGTAGAGAAGTGTACCTGTAGATGTTGTAAGGCTACCTCTCACCTGGGGAGGTACCTACCTAGGTACCTACCTAACCCAGGAGACGTTAGGTACCTACATTAAGGGGGAGGGATATGATCCGGAGGTACCTAGGTACCTGTTTCTATTACCTAATTTAAAGCGCATGGCAAGAGTGCCCCCGGTATTTGCTATCGATTAACCCTCTTAGGACAGGACGACGAAGGGGGCCAATCATATCGCCATCTGTACCAAGGGGTAAGTGAACAGCTCATGTTAAGTGCACCCACCAGCATATATATCTAGTGTAACACACACGTACTTACGTGCATTTGATATGTTATACCTAAGTAGCCTACGTCACCGGTGCCTTACGCAGATACGAGGTAGGTACCTAGGTAGACGGTAGGTAGGCACCTAGGAAACCTCACGCTCTAGAATGATGTACGGTTCGCATTTGATTAAGCGTCTATTCCGAATTCTGCTCAAGGAAGTGTGCATGTTTAGAGTTGCCAATGTATTCAAGGTCACATAACAATCTATAAACAGCGTGGAATACCTCTGGTTGTCCATCCAGGGGTATCTTACCCCTATATGGATGTGGGCACCTACGCTCATCTAACGGTAGCGCCAAGGCAAGTGACCCATAACACTACCTACGGTAGGTACCTCCTACGCACCTCCTATATCCGTCTATCCCGGCCGAATGCCCACATCGGCCCGTGCGTCATGGGTCGCCAACGAAGAGGTCCCTAAACACCGGCATTTGCAGGGCAGGTCGTGTCGCCTCGACAGGCGCGGAGAATACCCAAGTTGTAGAGCATGTATGGGTCGGCATATATGTATTGGTAAACAGCCTCAATCGTAAGCAGTTGTAAGGGCCAGCTTGCACCGAAATGTTGGTCATTGTGAAGTGTAGGTGAGAGTCATATGCATTACAACTACCTGGTTGGATTTAGAGGAGGTAGGTAAGTGGTAGGTACCTAAGTTCGCAGTGGGTAACCCACGCAGGTCAGGTGTATTAACTTGAATATGACCGAAGCCAGGAAGGCTCACGATCAAATATTTAAAGCTCTGACATTACCTACGCACATAGTAAATGCCTAGGTACGTAAGAGGTGCTTAATATTTTCATTGACATCTCCAGTGGCCATATAACTACCGACCTCCTGTGCATTAGGTGTTAGTATAGCCTTCCCCCCCCCAGTTGATCGACAAGCGACGACTATGTGTAGTCTTCTATTCTTATCCCAGTTGTATCGCTTCTGCAGCGAGCATTTACCCACCTCGCTAACCCTCTATGCTCTCCCCTTCCTTCTATTTTCCAGGCTTCGAGACCAAAAGAGGCGTGTCGTATCGCGTCGTCCGAGGCAGCCTAGTGCCTCACGCTCCCTTCGCTTGCTCCTGGCTAGGACTCCTCGAGGGGCCGGAAGGTTGCCGTATCGACGTGATGGGCATGATCACGCATGCATGACCCTTCCCTGGCCGCATATCCGACCTACAGGGAATACTACCTACATACATATACGTGTAGTAATGGTGCGCGGCGACGGGACATGGCGAGGCCGCTGCAGCATCGTCTAATTGTCGGCATATGTTTTTACTGACCCTCTTCCGTTGCAACCCTTCGACCGCTTTCCAGTGTAACATCTCGCGAACGAGCTTAAGACATCCATCCCAAATCCCACCTGTGTACCAAAGTCCCATCCTCTGGCTGCGTCCTCGTCGGTATGGGTCCCTCCAGACGCACCAGAGGCCCCATGTGTCGAGATGGAAAACCTTGATTTTATTCTTCCCAAGCCCGCCATCCCATAGCCAACTCATTTCCCCACGACAGAGTGAAGCTGAAGGCCAAACCCGCCCCCAACCCACCAATTCCGCCTGCATCCCCCCTCCCCCGATCGTGATTGAGAACCCTCCAAATCTCTTTTCGCGCGTGTGGGTGTTCTGGTGGTTGTCACGATGTTTCAAACCCTACTCCCCACCCTCCCCTCCTCCGCCGCTGGGCCAGAGATTGGACGTGTTCCCGTGATGGTTGAACTGTAAAAGCCAGACATCTGTTCGCTCCTCCAACGTGCGTACCAAATGCCGGGCCTCTCGTCTTATACGTCTTACTTCGACCCATTCTGGGCTTACTTCCTCTGGGCGAGCTGATGGGAATCCTACTTGGTCTTCGCCAGGCTGCCGAGACCAAGCCGCGGAACGATGGCGTCCATCATCGACACCCATGCCCAAAGGCTCACCATCGGCATCGTTGTCGTATGCCTCGGGATGTCCGTCCTATCCTTTGGCCTGCGGATATATGCTAGAAGCGTCTCGGCCGCGAAGCTTTGGTGGGACGACTATTGGATGGCCCTGCCCATGCTTGTGTGTATAGCCATGAGCACAAACGACTTCATCGGACTCGTATACGGGTCCGGCAAGCACCAGGCGGAACTGGACGAGGATGTAGTGATGGCTTTTATGAAGGTATGAGGGAGACGAAAGTTTCAAATTCGTCCTCTCCGCGGGCGAGGATGTTACAACGGCCCTGCTAATCAAGAGCTCCGATATACCACCGGCCTAGAATCTCTACGTTTACATGATCTTCTGGTCAATAGGCGTCTTCAGTGTGAAGGTCGGCATCCTTCTGTTCTACTGGCGGGTTTTTCACACGAATGCCTTCCGCGCAACAGCACTCGTCGTCGGCTGTTTCTCGGTCGGGATGTTCGTTTCCAACTTCTTTTCTTTCACTTTCCAATGCACCCCGATCGAGAGCTTCTGGATGGCCAGGCCGGAGGATTGCATCGATCAGCACTCGTTCTATCTGGCGTCTGCCGTAATCAACGTCGTCGGTGACGTTACCGTGCTCGCCTTGCCGCTGCCAGTTATCTGGGGCCTACATACCTCGAGGGGTAAGAAATGGACGCTGAGCTTCCTATTTCTTCTAGGTACCTTGTAAGTCGAGCCTCCACCTAGGGCAAGTATGAGAGAGAAGAAGGAAAACTCGCTTTTCTTGCTGACCCCGATAACTCAGCGTCTGCATCGCGAGTATTTTTCGCATCGTTGGCGTGTACGAGATCGACCCGACCGACTTCACATACAGTAATGTTTCTGGCGGGCTGTGGAGCACGATCGAAGTGGAAATCGGCTTTATCTGTGCCAATCTCCCCGCGGTCCGACCTGTCGTATTCAGGTGGTTCGGAATTGGTAGCTCGGCGGCCGCCTACGGATCCGAGAGTACTGGTCCGAGACAATACGGTATCTCTGCCAAAGGCGCGAGCAGGTCTGGCCACATTGTCCTCGGAAGCGGACAGCGGGAGCCGGACCTGCTCGACTCGGATACAGAAGCGCTCACAAGGCGAGGGAGGGATAGCGGATTAACCCTGACTACCACGGGAGGGCTAAGCGGTGACGGTCGAGGCTCGGCATTTGGGCTCGCTGAAATTGTCGTCAAGACGGATATCGGTATATCGATAGATCCCAACCATTCCCCATTGCACAATGGAAAGCCGAGTCACTTCGTTCGGATCACGGCACTAGGCGCGGGGAAAGACTATTACAAGTAAAACAGCACTCAAACTCGCGATTCACCCCTTGAAAAGCGGTATAATCCTCTTGTACATGTAACCTGAATGGGAAAATATTAATGTACCTACTTAATAATATATGTGGCTGGCTTCTTGACCCTGCCTATCACCTAATACCGCTCCCCGAGGCTTATTGCAACCATATGAGCGGTCGGTCCTACAGATATGCTACCATATCCTACCTACATATAGCTACACTTAATAGTACAATAACGCGTAAGCCCTGTAGCGGCGACCAGTAGGCTAACAACTCTGCAAGTTCGCGGCACCGCGAAGGTCCGAGATAAAGGATCTACGACGGAATTGCCTTTGTGGGGAGTACATGATATGTGAAGTTCGTATGCAGAATTACTTGCTGCCGCCGGAGGATTCGCCGGTTGCAATACCTCCTTACCACCGGATGAAACCCTTCACTCGGAAATATACCTACTTGCCACTACCCGGCTCCATCCTAGACATACCGAGAGAAAGAAGGATGGTTGCGCAAAACGTAGACGCCTACATTCTGCGACTTGCAGACGTAGGCTTATAAGGGCCGATCCCGTACGTGACGCGCACCTATATCTCTGCAAGTAGGTGTATAGTTCGTCAAAGCGCACAAAGCGAGGGATGGGAATTTACTAGGTAGTGCGAACCAATGAGGATATGTAGATACCCACCGCCCCCTTGGGCTTCCAACTATTACAGCCCACTACAAACAAGTTTCTCTCACAAAGATGGTTGATATCAATATGTCGTCCATTTGTTGCTGCGTCGCCATTTGCATGAGGCATCACATATCCATTGCGGTACGCACACACCCTTCAAACCAGGGACAGAATCCTTCGCACCGGCAGTGGTGGCCGGCGGCCTATAGAGTCTCGCGTAGGCCGCAAGGATCCTGCGGGAGAAGGAGGGATATGTGGATAATCACGGACGTTCCAACCTAACCTGGCCAGTTTCCCATGCAGCCCTCTCGGCGGCAGGCCCAGGCCCCCTCCTGCAAAGGCATTACGTAGACCGGTCTACCGGTCTATTCTCACGGGCACTAGGGCCTGGTGAAGCTTGACTGAACTACAAACAAGCCACACCTAGAGTATCCCCTCTCCTTAAACGAGGGAGGGTATGCATCAAAGAACCAGCTTATTTCCCTCCGCATCCGTGCCGTGATATTCACCGTACTCGCCCTGGACGAGAGGGGGATTTCACCTAAGCCCGTAACTAATAGATAAAACCCATCGACTAGTGGTGCCAAAGCCAGTATAAAAGGTGGGCTGAGGAAACCCGACTTCTTAGCGGTAGAGAGCCGGTTGATCAAAGCATCCCTATTTGCATATCAAAGGGAAGTGGCAAAAGTCGCATTTGGCTTCTGAACTACTCGCAGAATCGAAGGTCTAAGAGGACGCCATAGAGCGGAGTGATGTTGGTGGTATTAGTTGCCAAGTTCATGCCGATATATCCCGTGTCTTCGGTGACATCCCGAGTTCGCGGGTGTACATGAAAGGATCGCTTCCTCGGCGAGATACAAAGGATTGGTATTGAAGTAAGTGTTGCATTACAAAAATATCTTTCTGATCGTAACACGAGTCCTGGGCTGCCGTGGCAGTACTATCGCTTTGTTGATGCATCTCGAGGTAGACCCAACAGAACGGAGGACACACGGCTCCCACGTGCCAACAACAATGAGTCCAGTCAAGCGGTGAAAGCTGCCGCTCTGCAGGCATCAGGAGGCCGTTGTAAGAGTATAAAGTCGTACGCATAGCATGCACCCCGTACACACCCGAAGCCATGCCCACAGCTATTCCCCCCTTACTACCTTGCAACTACACGTTCCATACTTTGACCGACGCTCGCGAAGGACTTCTTCCCGTCGTTGTTGGGTTTTAGTAACTTGATATTACTATAAGCTCACCCGTCATGGCCAATATCTCATCCGAGATTATTGAAGAACGAATCCGCAAGTTCGGCAAGCTATGGATGATAGACGACCTTCTCCGCGTGCGAGGGAGGGACGAAGAACAAGTTCCCATCCTCGGCTACCCCAGATACGAACACGACGCTACTGAATATGAATACTTCACGGGGAAGGACCTCGATCGTATGGTTGATGAAGCTTGTCGGGTATTGGTAAGCGCCGGCCTCAAGGTCAACTCACACAGGACTGTCGCCCTCTTCGCGCCTTCTGACTTGTCTTTTGTCGTCTGTTTCTTCGCCCTCTTCCGCCTCGGATGTAAGGTATTAACCATGTCAATCCGCCTGAGCGAGATAGCATGTATCAACCTGCTCCAGCGGTCAAACTGTGATACAATATTATACGGGACCACGGCTCGTATTACGACAGCGATAGCCGAGATCGGGACCGCGCGTCAAGATCTCAAGCTCATACAGATACCGGCTAGGAAGGACTTTGATAAGCCAGAAGGACCCTCGAGACCCTTCCATCGTCCTATATCCGACATAGAGGCAGAACACGCACAGGTGGCGCTCGTAATGCATTCGTCTGGATCCACGGGGCTTCCCAAGCCATTGCTACTGTCCCACCGAAGCCTCCTGAACTCCGTAGTCTTGGGAACGGGCCTCCGAGCATTTAACGTACTGCCATGGTACCACATTCACGGTGTCATGACATCCTTCCAAGCAATGTGGATGCGCAGGCCTACCCATCTGTTCAACTCGAACTTGCCGCTGACGGCAGATAACCTGATCGCGGCGCTCAAGTCGATCCGGCCCGAGATCTGCCATACGGTACCATACGTGCTGAAGTTGATGGCCGAGGAGGAGGACGGCATTGACGTCCTCAGAAATTGCAAGGTTGTGACGTCGGCTGGTGCGAGGACGCCGGATGAGCTCGGTGATAGGGTAGTCCAAGCCGGCGTAAAGCTCGGCCTCATATATGGTTTGTTCGTCTCCCATGGGGCCCCTAACCGTTTCTCGAGAATACCTACTAATCAGACCTCTTTAAAGAACCGAGGTCGGCCACGTTGGCGACTCTATCCATCGCGAACCCGGCGATGGCACATGGAACTATATCAGGCCGTATCCAAACATACGTGAACACATGACCTTCCAAAAAGTCCACGATGATGTTTACGAGAGTGTCTACCTCAAGTCTCACCCTGCGCTCATAGGGAGCAACTCGGAGGACCCTCCGGGATCCTTTCACTCGGGCGACCTCTTCACCCCCCACCCAACTATAGACTGGGCCTGGAAATACGTCGCTCGCGCCGATGATAGGATTACCTTGCTTAGCGGGGAGAAGGTTATGCCCCTGAACACGGAGGGGATCGTCCGCGAGAGCCCTCTCGTGCGCGACGCCCTCATGGTCGGGAACGATCGTCTCGTGCCCGGCCTATTAGTATTCCGCTCTTCAGTTGCGGATAGTCTATCAGATGAAGAGTTCGTCGGCGCCATCATGCCTTACATAGACAGGGCGAATCAGATCGCCGAAGAGTTCGCCCGCCTCACCCCAGACATGATACTCCCCGTCGCTTCCGATGCCGAATACCCCACCACGGACAAGAACACCATCATTCGTGCAGCAGCGTACGCTCGGTTCAAGGACGTGATCGAGTCCCTTTACAACAAGGATGATGTCGCTGCCGACCAGCAAGACAGCAAGCACCTGAAGCTCGATGTCGCGCAGCTAGAGCAGTTCATAATGCGACTCGTGTGCAAGGAAACAGGAGTCGAGGCGCTGGACCGGGATGCCGACCTTTTCGCCGCTGGGGTCGACAGCCTCCGCGCAGCCCATATACGCAGGCTGCTGCAGCACGACGTCGATCTTGGAGGACACGTGCTGCCTACCAACGTGGTGTACGATTCGGGTTCCGTCGCTAAGCTCGCCCAGGTCCTTTTCGCAATGCGCACAGGAAAGAAGTTGGAAAATGGACATGCGGGCGACGAGGATGGGATAAAGAACATGGAAAGGATCATTGCCGACTTCGGTCAGTTCCAGCCGTGGACGCCAGGTAAACTTGCGAACCCTGAAAAGCACACAGTGGTAAGCAGCATAATCCCCCCCTCCCCCTCTAGCCTCACCCCTTTCTCGAGAGACTGCTCAACTTACGATTGAACCTAGATCCTCACGGGCGCAAGCGGAGCACTTGGAGCACATCTGCTAAGTCAACTATTGGACGATCCCAAGGTGGAGAAGGTCATCTGCCTCGTGAGAGGCGGTGACGGACCGGGCCGCATCCGCAAGTCCATGGAGGTCCGTGGGCTCGGTACTATGAGCAGCGACGAGCGACGAGCTCGCGCGCTCGTGGCCCTCTCGACGAACAATCTGGGGGCGCCGAAGCTGGGCCTGGCCCCCGAAGACTACGCGGCGCTGCGAGCGTCAGCTACCCTCATCATCCACGCGGCTTGGCCGGTTAACTTCAACGTCTCTCTGGCGAGCTTCCTCCCCCACATCGCAGGTTTGCGCAACCTCGTCGATCTGTCGCTGAGCGTCCCGTTCCGCGAGCCGGCCCGCCTCGTCTTCGCAAGCAGCATCTCGGCGGCCTTCCGGACACCGAAGCCGGCAACGGTGCCCGAGGGGCCGGTGGAGTCCCTCGCGTACGCCGCGGCGACGGGGTACGCGCGCTCCAAGATGATCGGCGAGCGCATCTGCTCCGCCGCGGCGGCGGGCGGCGCGGCGGTCGGCGTCCTGCGCATCGGGCAGATCTCGGCGGACACCGTCAGCGGCATCTGGAACGCCAAGGAGGCCATCCCGATCATGGTCCGCAGCGGGGTCGAGCTTCGCGCGCTGCCGCGCCTCGAGGGCGGCCACGACGTCTGCGACTGGATGCCGGTAGACATCGCGGCCCGCGCTTGCCTGCAACTCGCCGCGAGGGTCGAGGCGGGGGCGAACGAGGCGCGTTTCTACAACGTCAGGCCGCCGCATGGGTTCTCCTGGAACGAGCAGTTCTTGCCGGCGCTGCGCGAGGCCGGCTTAAAGTTCGAGCGTGTCGGCTTCCAGGAGTGGCTGGAGAGGCTGCGGGCGCGGGCCGGAGAGCTCGGCCCTGCTGCCGAAGCGAGACTGCCAGCCATCAAGCTTGTAGGTTACTATGAGGATGCGTACAGCGGCTCAGGCGTCGGCTCGGGTGCTGGCTTAAGGTACGATATACAGGGGGCGTGTCGGGACAGCAGCGCTATCCGCCTCTGTCCGCAGATTCTCAAGGCCGGGCTCGTCTCTAGGATGGTCCACCATTGGGTTGGAGGCGCCATACCGAACATACCCTGACCTGGAACCCCGGCTAGCGTCCATAGACACCACTCCTCCCTTATGGATACGTGCTGGGCATATGTACATTCCTGGCGGAGTGTACGTAAACAGAAGGGTTGATAGGGGGGGGGGGGGATGGGAGCCCGAACCACGTCCAGTAGACAAGTAGAAAATAACTTGTTGATTTCTTGCTCACATCCACAATGTATCGACATATCGACGGCGGCAAAGCAGGATACACATTGGCAGGTATACACGATAGCTATGGTGGTGACCTATTTACGGGCTGGATACTTCGTACAGTTCGGAAAATTAAACGGATCGTAATTAGGATGTGAACACCCTGCCAGAGACGGGAAGTGTGGCCAGTAATAGGTACAAAGCGATATCAACATATCTACACCGAAACCGGGATCGTAACACCGAACCGTAAGCCGTCATGACCCAAGCCGTCAATCGACGCCTATTCACCCCGACCTCTATAATTCCCCATCTTCTCGATAGAACTCATGATGCCGCTCCGCATGCCTATGCCACTACTAGGACGCGGGAGGCCGCCCTGAGACCCGCCGTTCTTGGCCCGTTCGTGAGAGATGCCGCCAATCCTACTTTCGGTGGGCTTCTTCGCCGAGCCGGGAGCCTTGAGGCCCGATGGACGTCCGCTTATGCTATTGCGGAAATTGCCGGAGCTGGTCGGCTGGACCCTGGGAATGGCAGGCCGGGCTGGAGTCGGTTCGGCCTGGACGATACTCTGAATCGACATCATCTCTTCGGCCAGCTGGACAAGCTCTCCTTTCTCGACACGCTCCTTTTCCAGAAGCCGATGGAGTTCGAAGTTATCCGTCTTGATGCTATGGACAACAGCCTCGAGCTTCTGGATCTCGGCATTCAGTTCCTTGATCTGCGCGGAATCCCTGGCAGCTTGTGCTTTGCGCTCCTCGTCGACGATACTCTGGTTGGGGTCGACCCTAGTCATGGTGGCATCCCGACCAAGTTTTAGTCGCTCGTTCTCCTCCGCAAGATCCCCTACTTGGCCCTCGAGCTCGCGGACCTTCTTCTCCCAGCGGTTCTCGTAGCTCTTCTTCAACGCCGCGACCTTAGTTTCGTGCTTACTCTTATAGAGTGCGTGGAGCTCGCGAGCGACACGCTCCACGGCGATCTCGACATCGCGGGACCCGGAATTCTTCGTCTTGTCAGACGACTTATTGCTGCCGGGGTCGGAGGACGCGTCTGAGGTTGCCTTGCCAGCTCGCATACCCGCCATCTTGCTCTCGGCTTCCTGGGCCATCATCTCGGCCGCCTCGCGTCGCTTCTCGCTCTCTTCGAACTTGAACTCGAGCTCTTCGCGTTCTCGCTGGCCGATCACAATTTCCTCCTTCACCTTGCGCAGCACAGCCTCCATCTCCCGGCCGCGCCTCTCCCAGCTATCCTTCTCCTCGGCCAACGCTTCTCTGGCGGCCCTATCCTCGCGAAGCTGCTCCATGCACTCACCGACGCGCTTCTCGGCATCGCCAACCGCCGTCTTGAGCGACGAGACTTCGGCTTCCTTGCCGCTAAGAGATGCCTTCAAGCTACTGATCTCGGAGAGGAAGCCGGATTTGAGTGATTCCAGCTCCCTGGGCGTTATGGTAGGGATACTGCGAGGCGTGGGGAGAGGTGGGATCTCGAAGTCGAGGAGGTTGGACTGTTGATGATGGGGTGTCGCAGCGACCGCGCTCTGTGGGGCTCTAGAAGAGGAGAGTCTACCTGGGAGCTGATCGGTGAAGTCCATGAGTAGGTTTGTCGTATTTCCGGATTCATGCATGGTAGGAGGCCTGGGGTTTCTCAAAGGCGATGGCTCGGGTCGACTTCGAACAGAGGCAGGAGACATGCCGGCATTGGTAAACCGAGTCGGACTATGCCCGATTTTGGCAAACATAGTCATGTCGGGCACAGCGGAGAAGGTGCTCAAGGCGCTAATCGCGGTGTCATCTGCCGAGGGGTCTTCGTCCGAGTCCGCGTCTGCGTGTTGGCCACCAGTAGACACGGCCGCTACTGAAGTACTAGGGTCGTTTTCATGGGCATCGTCCAGCGCGGTATCATCATCCTCAAAGATCTGTATGGCGGTTGCTAGGCCCTCATTCTGACGCAGCGCCTCCTCGAGACTCATCTCTTGTTCCCGCACCGGGGGCACGCTGGGCTGCTTGTCAGGCGTCGGGGAGAGGCTGCCGTTGTTTATCCTAACAGGGAAGCGAGAGATTTTTCGCGGGTTCTTGGTGAAGGGCGATTGCTTTCGGGGTGATTGAGAGTCGAGGTCCAGGCCCACATCATGCGCGCTTAGGATCTTCAGAGGCGAAAGCTCGGTACCAGACAGTATTCTCGAATGGCGAGACTTGGACGGGGAGACATTTTCCTGGTTATGGCCGGCGGGGCCCTTCTCATCCGTCGCCTGAGGGGCAGGCGGGGGGCTCGACATATCGTGACGGTCAGCAGCGGGTTCTCTGCTTGCTTCAGTTGTGCGGGCTGTGGCTTCGTATTTGTCGAGGAGGCGGCTTGCAGGAGGCGTCGCGATGTTCAGCATGCTGCTCTGGGCGGGAGTCAGTGGCAAGGCCATCCAGGAACGGAATTGGTTATCAAGATGCGAATGCGCGTGCGCTGTTCTTGGCTATGTCAAAGAGATCGAAGGTGCTAATGCGTGTTCTGCTGTGGTAGGAGCAAGAATTATGAAAGGCGGGAAGGGCGGGATGGGAAATGGATTTGTTCAAGGAGTTGTGCTGCCGCAAGAGGTCAGGCCTCGTTCTCTCCTTCGTTGACAGAGCAACAAATATCACCAGCCTTATCCGCCTCAGCAAAAACAACCCCAAAAGCGTAGCGTACATAAGTAAGCACGTGACTTCTTGCGCCTCTCATCCAGCCTTCCGACCAATACAATACCTAGGAGCTCCCTATCTTAGGGGTCAGGTACCTACTCCCCTAAGGCAGGTACCTCCATACCCTGTGTTATGTAGGAAGGTACCTTAGGTATATTTATTAGGACTTCCACACAGACGAGCCTCGGAATGCCCCCAGGGGGAGAGGAGACCTCTGACCAGCCCCCAAGCCCCCCATTCCATCAAGGCACCCAGGAGACAGAAGCTCTATTAGCTCTAGGAAAAAGGGGCTTCCCTCCCTGAGTGCATCAGTACCTAAATACCTACATGGTGCCGAGATCATATCCGTGCTGCTTATAAAATTGAGTTGTTGTTAAGCCTATTACTGCGAACTCCTGAGGCAAGCGTGAAATATATGTATTGGGAAAACAAGGTGGAAGAGACAGCAGGATTGCCTGCCCCTTCAGAGCTAAGAGTATACCTTCCTTTACGGTACACGTCATATGCCGTATCTAAGGTGTTCGCAGAAGGAGCCTTGAACTGGTAAGAATAAAAAGGACGGAAATGTTGCAAAAAAGGTAAACCACAGCCCCCGGCGAGATTCGAACTCGCAATCTTCAGATCGCTCTTTTTACATAGCTAGGGGTCGAGTTAGAACATAAATACATGCGACATCTTCAGAGGAATACGTACAAGTCTGACGCGTTAACCATTACGCCACGAGGGCATTCTTTCCCCCAGCATGTGGGATCATTGGTTAAGAGCACAAACTTTTTCAACCAATCATTGTACATACCAAATCTCGAGTACTTGTCTTTATATTCTCTTTGCCAACTTGCGCATGGAAAGGCAGTGTACAATGCTATGCGGTTGTGAGCTTTGTTAGGGTTGCATTTACGGAATCGTAGCCTCGGAAAGGCCAAGTATGATGCAGGTCATTTGGGCCGAAAGCAGCGTGTTGATGTTGGCGGTCCGGGTTCTCAGATGCTCACTCACTCACCAGGTGCCAGTCCTGCAGCTGCCCAGCAGGCGGAATGCCAGATCTTCTTGATGGTGGAAGCTACGGCCGAAAACTGCGAATCGGCACATGCAGCGCTTGGGAGGAAGTGCTCACTGGTAACATGAGAACCCAGGCGCGGCGATGTCGCCTCCGGTCGTGGCGGCTTAAAAAGCCTAGTCGCGGTCACGACTGTTAGCTAATCAGGGGCGGCTACTCCCTTAAGCAGGTACTTCATTAAGCACAGGTAGTATGTTTGTTTGATGTATACGTATAGTATACACCCGTCTGGTAACGAGGTGGTGGTGCGCTGTCATGCGCCGTTGTTACCCCCCCAGGTACCTACTTACTCGTAGTTCCGTATTGTTACGCACCCCTAAAGTATAGCATGTAGAGCATGTGACAGGCCGGCAAACGGCAGGCAATTCCGATACCCATATTTAGATAATATTTGAGCCGATTGCAACTTGCTGGGGCTAGGAACATCTGTTTTTAATGCATTTGCGCATGCTGTGAGCCTCTACACTAAGTAAGGAGGCATACGGAGTCGCATAGCTACAACTGGGAAAAAACTCCACTTTTCGGTACGTACACCCTAGGGGTGTGGTAGGTAGGAAGGTACAGGTTGAATATTCAATTATACGTAGGGAAGGAGCTACCCTCTGGTTAGGTCGGCTAATAGGTAAGCTAGACTATCCCTTCGCGAGCTAGGTATTTTATATAGGTTTATATATAAACGATTTATTACCGTAAAAAACCGGAAAGAAATCGGAAAAATCGGAAATTTACTTACGTAATTAATTAGCTTAATTAAATTAATATATAAACTTTTCGGATTTTTTACTTAATAATATAAGAAATTATTTATGATTTAAAGGGTTTTAAAACGATATTAATAATTTATTATATAATTTATTAATAACATTATTAACTATACTTATATCGATATATTTACTATAGTGGTACGGTGGATCTAGGCTACGTAACCTTTTCGATATATATTTATATGGGTCGCGTACTTATATTTTCATTAGCTAAACTTAGACCTATAGATATTACGACCTATAGCCATTTACTCGTTTCTTGCTATGCCTTTCTAGCCTTCCTCCTTTTCTTTTTCTAGTTCCCTTTTCCTAGCTACCGTTTCAGTTAGCCGATTAACCGATTATAATTATTTATAGCTACGATCTTAGTTAATCGGTACTAAGCTAGTTATTAGTAGTTAGGTAGTTATTTCGTACCTCCGTTAGCGTACCTACGTTACTCCTATTTAGTAGCGATTACTTAATAGCCCGAGCCGTAACCTTATTAGTCTTAGGAGCGACCTTTTACGTTTGTTTTTATAGTTATTAAGTTTAGGATTCGTCGATTAAGAGATTCCTTAATTTTTAATTAATTAGGAGCTATTTTTCGTAGCTTTTAGATTAAGCCTTTTCAGGTAACTGAATTAATAGGAAGGGCAGATAACCATAGCGACCATTAATAACCTACGCCCTCCCATTAGCTTTTAATTAGCTTACTTAAAAGCTCGTTCGTCGATTAATAGATTTATCTTATTCTCGTTTCTTAGTTATTTTTTTTAAAGGAGCTATGTCCGTTTTTACCCGGTTTCGCCTTCGTTTTTAATAGTACCTAGATGGCCGTTTTCTTAATTGATTTAACCAAGTTACCGCTACTACCTCCTTTTTTATAATAATAACCTCGTACGCGCTTAAAAGCATCCGTTCTTTACCGATTAATTTATTTCGATTATAAGAGGCTTACCGATAGCTTCGATCGCCTTTATTTTATCCCTACTAGCTAGTTACGGTACCTAGGGAGGTTTCTCCCTAACCGATAAGGTACTACGATGCCTTTATTTACTATACGAAGATACCGATAGACCTTATACCTACGAACGTGATCGGGGAACCTACCGATTAGCGCGAGAGACCTATAAACGATACCGAAACGAACGAATTAAATAGATATTAAATAAAATAGCCTAGAAAAAAAAAAACAGTTATAAGTCATAGTCGAAAATAGTCATAGTAATACCCGGAGACCCTTCTTATCGCCCTTACCGATATATGGTTAATAGGAAGAGCCTAGAGAGCCCCTAGAACTACGTACAGGGGAGGGATCGAGGGTTAAGGGAAGCCCGGTAGATACTACCAGACGAATATAAGAACGGTTATACGAGAATAACTAGAAACGAATCAGAAACGGGCCTTAAATAGGATATATTAATTAGTTTATAGGATTAGGATTAATTAAAAGGATTAATAACTATAAACGAAAAGGACGGAGATTACGTTATATCGTATGGGATTATTTCTTTATTTCTTACGGGAGCTACGCTTATTTTACCTACCCGTTATAGTTCCTATTTTTTAATTAATCCCTATTATTTCCTAATAGCCCTAATGAACCTAGCTCGCTCCTAATTAATTAGGGTTAATTAGGAATAGGTTAATTAAGTTAGTTTATAGGTTATAGCTCCGCTAGCCTAGTTATTCTTATTATTAAATCTTTCCTATTATTTCCTATTAATCGTTAGTTAAACTAGCTTAGCTCCTAGTTAGTAGCGATTAAATAGGTTTGGAATTGATTAGGAATTAGGTTTAGGATTAGGTACGGCTGCAGTTAGTTACCCACTCCACCACCTACTTATTACTATTGTAATTATTCCCAGTTATTAGGATTACCTTATTTCTTCCTAACTTATCCTATTAGCCTTTAATTAAACTAGCTAGCTTTTAGTTAATTAGGGTTAATCGTAATTAGGTTAATTAGTAGTTAATTAGGTTTAATAGAAACGAGAGCTACCGTACCTATTACTATTAGGAGTTTAATTACTCCTTACGGATTAATTAAACTAAGGAGGCTATAGTAATACGGTAGATCTAGGCTACTAAGGAGGAGCAGAGCGTACGCGATGCTAGAGACCCGGATATATTTACTCGAAAGTATACTCTATCGAAGGCTATAGCACGTACGATGGTCCAAGATAAATAAAACTAATATCGTTATTCTAATCGAAAGGCAAAGAATCTAATGCAGTTATCGTATCTTAGTTATGCCCCTTAGTCGTAGAGATATAATAGTCGCTAGCCCGAAGGTATAAGAGGTAAGGGGAGAAAAGGGGCAAAACGCAAAAGTTATTTATTCGGCTATAGCGGCACGACGAAGTAACTTAAGCGCTTATAACTAAGATAGATGCACTAATCGGAGAACGACGAATCTAATGGCAAAAACGAATCTTTAATTAAGGTAAAAATGGCAAAGATAATAATCTAGCTAGGTAATAAACTAAATAATAAGCATAGCATCTCCCGTACTTACGGGAGCTATAGTTACTCTATATAGGCATAAGGCCTATCGTAACGTGTCACGTAATACATCAAGAGGGCATGTCTTACCGCACCACTACACTACGTAGCCTTTTCGATATATATTTATATAGGCCGCGTACTTATATTTTCATTAGCTAGACTTAGATATATAGATATTACGACCTATAGCTATTTATTCGTTTCTTGCTATGCCTTTCTAGCTATCCTCCTCATTACCCTTTTCTAGTTTCCTTTCCTAGCTACCGTTTTAGCTGGCCGATTAACCGATTATAGTTATTTATAGCTATAATCTTAGTTAATCGGTACTAGGCTAGTTATTAGTAGTTAAGTAGCCGTTTCGTACCTCCGTTAGCGTACTTACGCTACTCTTGTTTAGTAGCGACTACCTAGTAGCCCGAGCCGTAACCTCATTAGTCTTAAGAGCGACCTTTTGCGCCCGTTTTTATAGTTAATAGGTTTAGGATACGACGATTAGGAGATTCCCTGTTTTTTAGTTAATCAGGAGCTATTTTCGTAACTCCAGAGCCGTTTTTCGTAGTAAGGAGGAGCAGAGCGTACGCGATACTGGAGACCCGGATATGTTTACTCGAAAGCGTACTCTATCGAAGACTATAGTACGTACGATAGTCTAAGATAAATGAAACTAATGTCGCTATACTAATCGAGAGGTAAGGAATCTAATATAGTTATCGTATCTTAGCTATGCCCTTTGGTCGTAGAGATATAGTAGTCGCTAGCCCGAAGGTATAAGAGATAAGGGGGAAAAAGAGGTAAAACGTAAAAGTTACTTATTCGGCTATAGCGGTACGACGAAGTAACTTAAGCGTTTATAACTAAGATAAATATATTAATCGGAGAACGATAAATCTAATAATAAAAACGAATCTTTAATTAAGGTAAAAATAATAAAGATAATAATTTAATTAAGTAATAAACTAAATAATAAGTATAGCATATCCCGTACTTACGGGAGCTATGGTTATTTTATATAGGTATAAGGCTTATCGTAACGTATTACGTAATATATTAAGAGGGTATGTTTTACCGTATTATTATAACCTCCTTAGTTTAATTATACCGTAAGGAATAATTAAATTAAAAAGGATAGTACGGTATATCCCGATTAATATCTCCCCTTAAAAACTACCGCGAAACTTCATTTTACCGGTTATTATTTAATTATTACCGTCGTATCTTTAGCTTTTCGTTTAATATTATAAGGAGGCCCTTTTATTACTTTACGGCTAACTTAGCCCGGTTTACCTTCGCCGATCTAACCCGATCGACGTTCTTCTTCTTTATTTCGGCTACCTTTTTCTTAATTTCGTTTTAGCCCTCTTAATTAGGGGGATAGTAAGGGAACGGACGCGTTCCGAAAGTTAATTAGGTATCTTT